TCTATATCCTCTCACTACTTTGTGCCAGACTCAGGGAAAGGAACTGGGAATTTTGTGATGAGAGATTCTCCTGGCCCTCCTCCTTTACCTATACTAGGTTCTATTTTTTGAAGGTGGAGGGGACTGAGGTTTGAACTCAGGGCTTCATGCTTGCAAAGCAGGCACTCTACTCTTGAGCCACACCAGTCCATTTTGCTCTGGGTTTTGTTTTGTTTTTTGTTGTTGTTGTTTTTGTTTTTGTTTTGGTGATGGGGTCTCTCAAACTATTTGCCTGGGCTGGCTTTGAACCATAATCCTGATCTCAGCCTACCAAGTAAGATTACAGGTACGAACCACTGTGGCCTGCTGAGTCAGGAGCTGTGCTTGAACGTGACCCTTTCATCGTTTGTACATTATTGGTTCAGAAGCATTGTTCTACAGCAGATCTTGGACATCATGCATTTCACCCCCAAATACCGCATTTCTGAAGAATGCGGCATTTTCTTACATAGCCATGACATTCTAATCATCTAACAAAAGTAATGATAATTCTTTGACATCAGTTAAGACCCTGACAAATCTCCCTGACTGTCTCAAACTGTCTTTTTAACAGTTGGGTTGTTTATATTAACATGCAAACAAGGTCCACACGTTACATTTCATTGTTATGCCTCTCTTATTCTAGAGGACAAAGCCCTGGTCCTCACCCTTTGGCTTCATGCCTTTGATCTATTGTACAACTTGATCACTTATTTTACATCATACCAACATTCAGGATTCATTCATCTTGCTCCGACGTGTCCTTCTAGCCCCTGAGTCTCAGCAAAGCCGGAATTTAGTGGTACATGCTTCACTAAAGTCAGGTTTAGTCAGGCTCACACATGTAATTCTATCTACTCAGGAGGCAGAGATCAGGAGGATCAAGGTTCAAAGCCAGCCCAGGCAAACAGTTCGTGAGACCCTATCTCAAAAATACCTGATACAAAAAGGGCTGGTGGACTGGCTCAAGTGGTAGAGTGCCTGCCTAGCAAGTTCAAAGCCCCGACTTCAAGCCCTAGTACTGGAAATAAATAAACAAAATAAAGTCAGGTTTAACTTTTGGCGAGCGTACACTAAACACTTAGGAGTGGCCATACTTGCTGCCTTTCTTTCTTTTTCCCTCCATGTCAGGGTCTTCTCAGGCTTCTCTCAAGCTCCTGGGTGATCTTCCTGCCTCAGCCTCCTGAGTAGCTGGGACTAAAGATGCCTGTCACTGTGCCAGGGTCTCCATTTATTTCACTACTCCTTTTTGTTTCCTTGGCCAAAGTGTTTTGTTTGTTTGTTTTTTTAAAGCATTGCTACTCAAAGTGTGGTCTAAGGACCAGTATGGGGGAACTGATTAGGAACACAGAGTCTTGGGTCTGGGGTCTCTTAGGCCTTCACCCCAGGAAGCACCTGTGCTATGATGAACTTCTCCATCAAACTTTCATCTAGCAGTTTTATCCTCTGGTGAGCACAGCCTGAATTAATTATTATATTTTTAAAATTGTTTTGCCATGGTGGGGATGAAACCCAGGGCCTGTGCATGCTAGGCAAGCACCCCTGCACTGATCTACATTCCAGCTCCAATAATTGTATCTGATGAGAGCTTGCAAAATAGTGTTTGTCTGGTTCTAGTATTCCTCCTACATTTATTAGTAATAATTCATTTCTATACAGAGACAACCTTTTTCTTGTTAACTAGAGTTATTTGATGACTCTGAAGTGAAGTTCATACAGGAAAGGCAAGATGATGCTGAGTACTTCCTCTTTAATAGTCAGTTTTCAGAGAAAGGAGATGGGCTCCTGTTTCTTCCAATGGTGACCATGAGTGTTTTGATTTCTTTTATTATTTTCTTTTCTCTCTTTTAAATATTATTATGTTTTTTTATGTATTCAATGTGTTTCACTCGCTTGCAATATTATTCCCTTTTTTATTTATTTATTTATTTTTGGCAGTACTGGGGATTGAACTCAGGGCTTCACATTTGTGAGGCAGGTACTCTACCACTTGAGCCATTCCTCTAGCCCCAATTTTTTTTTGTGGTGCTGGGATTTGAACTCAGGGCCTACACCTTGAGCCACTCCACCATCCCATTTTTGTGATTTTTTTTTTTCAAAATAGGTCTCATGAACTATTTTCCCCGGCTGGCTTTGAACCTCCTGATCTCTGCCTCCTGAGTAGCTAGGTGTAAGTCACTGGCCCCGGCCCCAATTGTTATCTTCTTTCTATTTTTTTACCCAGTTGTTACATTTTTAAAAAGTACAACATACAGAAAAATGGACAAACTCCAGATCAGAAAATTTTGAAATTAAATAGGATCCATGTAATGTACCCATATATAGAAACAGCATTGCTGAGAGAACGTGGCTCAGGCCTGTAACCCTACATGGAAAGTCTTATTTCCTTTATGGTTAGTGCTTATTGTGTCCTATTTTTAAAATATTTGTCAACCCCCTCCAAGTACCTATCTTTTCTCTTAAACGTTTATTATTTTGTTTTTCACATTTAGATCTGTAATCCATCATGGTTAAAACATTTGGGGGCTAGGGTAGAGTATTTACCTAGCATGTGCTAGGCCCTGGGTTTCATCCCCAGCACTTGGAAAATTTTTCTTCATTCTTTATCTGATCAATGATGATGTGTAAAAGTACAATGACTCCTTTATATAGCCTCTGAATCTAGTGACCTTGCTAATGAAATTTAGATTCATGAGACCCTATCTTAAAAATATCCAATACAAAAAAGGGCTGGTGGAATGGCTCAAGTGGTAGAGCCCCTGCCTAGCAAGCATGAGGCCCTGAGTTTAAACCCAGTACTTCCCCCCCAAAATGATGTTCAGCTGGATGTCATAATAGATCCTAAGACATTTACAAAATAATGAGAGGATGCTATATACATTATGCTAGTAAACTTGGTAATTTGAATGAGTTGGGGAAATTCCTTATAATAAAAATTTACCAAAACTGACAAAAGAAGGCTGGAGGAGTGACTCAAGTGGTAGAACACTTGCTAGCAAGCAGGAGGCCCTGAGTTTAAACCAGGGCCACAACAAAACAAAACAAAAACTTGACAAAAGAAGAAATATGCAGTCTGAATAAGGGATTCAACTCATTCCTAAAATCCTTAGGAAAACTTTAGATTCAGTTGGTTTCACTGATGGAATCTTCCAAACATTTAAAGAAATAATATCAACCACATACAGACTGTTCCAGAGGATAGAAAATAAAAGCACACTTTCTGATCATTTTATAGGAACAGTGTAATATTGATACTTAAAACCTGACAAGAACAATAAATGAAAGAAAAATTGATAGTTTCGCTCTCTCTTGAAAATAAATACAAAAAGCTTAAACAAAATACCAGCAAATCAAATCCAGGGAAGTGTGATAAAAAAATTCGTAGCAAATTAAGAACAGAAGGGAATTTCTTTAATCTGATAAAAGAATTTCCAACAAACAAAACCTACCTTCAGCAAACTTTTTTGAGACAGTTTCACCAGATGGCTGGTCTCAAACTCAGATCCTCTTGCCTCCTCCTTCTGAGTGCTGGGATTACAGATGTGTACCGCCACACCCAGCTTGTTATTCTTCTTTAAAAACAAATTTTATATTAATTTTTCTAAGATAAGTTCATTTTCTATTTCATTGACATATGTTTGTATATTCCTTTCTGTACTTTCTTTGAGTTTGATTTGCTATTCTTTTAGCTTCTTGAAATAGAAGTTCAATTGATTTTCAGCCTTTCTTCTTTTTTAAAAAATGCATTTAAGGTTGTGCATCTCCTCTCAGCACTGCTTCAGCTGTATCTCACAAATTTTAATTTCTCATATCTTAATTCTCATTCAGTTCAAAATATTTTACCATTTCCACTGTGATTTCATCTTTGGCACTTGGTTATATAAAGGTGCATTGCTTAAGTTCCAACAAGTTCAGATTTTTCTAGTTCTCTTTTTGGCATTGATTTTAACTCCACTAGCCAGAGAACATATTCTGAGTAACTCACTGATACTTACTGAGGCTTGCTTTGTGGTTCAGTGCATGGTCAATTTTGGTAAATCTTTCACACGTGTTGAAAAAATGTTTATTTTACCATTGTTGGGTGTAGTGCTCTGTTTGCTGGTTAGGTCAAACTTGTTAATTGTACTGATCAGATCTTCTATATTCTTAATGATATTTGGTCTGCTTTTATAGCTAACATGAAAGATTTGTTAAACTGTTAAAGTTTCTCACTTTGGTTGTGGGGTTTGTATTGTTTTTAATTCAGTTAATTTTCGCTTTATATATTTTTAAGTAATGCTGTTGGGTACATACGCATTAAAAGTTGTATCTTCCTTCTGAATGAAGAACAACATATTTGTGTGTGTATATCTTCTTCTCTTGATAGCATAGTTTATAAATTTGTCTTTTGCATAATAATTTTGATTTGTTCCTAAAGTCTCTACTGATAAGTAAAAAGCCATTAATTGAAAATATCTCCACTAATTTCAGCAAAAAAATTGTGATGCATTCTATCCAACCCAAAACATCCAATTTTTACTAATAGGAAATACATTAATTGATCAACTTCATTTTTGTAGTGCTGGAGATTAAATCCAGGGCCTCACGTATGCTAGTCAAGTGCTTATCACTGAACAACATCTTTAGCCCAACCAATGAAACAGTTTGTACAAATAAAAAGAATAATTTGAATACAAAGTATGGTTTGTGTACCAAATTTATTTTAACAAAGTTTATTGTCCATGTTAAAAGAGAAGAAAAGACTTGAGAGTGATAGTGGCTAGATGTGGGGGAGCCATTAATGTGAAAGTATATTTCCTTTCTAGTCTGTTTCTTCACTGTTTTTTTTCAGCTTTTGGGAGACTCATGGATATCTCATATCCAAACAACCTTTGCACATAAAAATATGTTGCACAGAAAAATACTTTGCAGGCATAATAAACACTAAACCTGAAAACATTTTTAAAATGCATGAAATAGCTTGTGTACTCAACAGACTGCAGATGATAGAAGAGGCCACCTGCATAGCCCTTCCATTTGGCACACGTAAGCAAAATGTGGCATGCAGTACAGATTCATGCCATGGCATTGTTCGACTAGAAACTGTTGTATTAAGTAAGTTTGCCAATGTATCTTTGCCCGAAAGGACATGTTTATTCAATGTATTGAGATGAAAAAGTCATTGTCCTAAAAGTGGTGTAACTGTTCAAGAGCCATAATGGCAAAAAAGTTATTAGCTAAACAGTAATAGGACAGGTAAGTCTGTGAGTAGAACTTCACCTTGCTTTTTTCTATGGAAATATACATTAGAATTTTAAGCACTGGGGTGGCCAGATCATGCTTTTAAAAACCCTGGCGAGTTGGTGGGGAGAGGATTTAGTCACAGGGACAAGTCTTAAACGAGAAAGGACAGGAGATGAAGGTTTCCAAGCAAGAGCCCTGGATCAGTAAGGCAGAACTGAGAGCTAACAGGTCCAAATGCACATGAGAATTCTGAGAATGATGGAGATGGTGTTCAAGTCTGTGGGGATAAAATGAGCTATTCAAGAAGTAATGTTGAGGGAGTGTAGCTTAGTGGTAGAGCACCTGGTTAGCATGTGTAACACCCTGAGTTCAGCCCCCAGCACCAAAACAAAGAAGCAAACAAAACAAAAAAGCAAAACAACAATAAAAACAAGGCATGCTGAGACAATTGCATTAGAAGGAAAAAGAGTAAAGCTGGATCCCTATTTCACCCATACATAAAAATAAAGTTCAAATGGACCAAAGATTTAAGCATTAGAAATGAAACAACAAAAAAATCAAAGAAAATATGAGTTAATTTTTTAAAAAAATCTCTGCGTGGGGAAGTATGACACAAAACTCAAGAGTAATAAAGCATAAAGAACGACTGGGGAGTACTTGCCTGGTATGCAAAATGCTTGCTCTGGGCTCAACTTCCCCCACCACACACACAAAAAAAGAGGGGAGCAGAGAGACACAAGGGAAAAACAATACTACATAAAAAATATAGATGTGGGAAAATATCATATGCAAGTCAAACACCTGCAGTTCATGACAATTTCCCTTGGATAGAAAAAAGTTCTTATGAGTGAATGAGAAAATAATAAATATGTGTTTGTAAAAATGGATAACATACAAATAAAAAGTAAACAAATTTAGAAAATTAAAGAAATAATTAAGAAATAGGGTTTTTCCACCACACCCAGTGTTGGGAATCAAACCCAGAGCCTCCTACATGCTCGGCTATGCTACATGATAGGCTATGCTCTATCACTGAGCTGCATGTCCAGTCCTAAAAAGTAGTACGGAACAAAAATGATAGGATATTCTTTTAAAACAAGGATGAGGTTATAAACATTGTACCATGGTAAAAGTCCTCTTCTGTTATTGGAGTTTAAATTAACAGAGAGCCATTTTGGGGGGTGAGGAGTCAATATCAATTTTCCCCCACAATTTTTAATGAAAAATGTTATTTATAGACAAAATTTCAGAAACTACAAATTGGACATTTAGTTTTACAATTGTGAACTTTTTATACTTGCTTTTCCGCATCTACCTATCCATTATCAAGTCATCTTATCTTTTGACACATTTCAAAGTAAGTTGTGGACATCAGTATACTTTATCCCTAAACATTTCAGCATGCATATCAACTAGAGTTCAAATTTTGTTCAAAGTTGGTTTTTTTTTTTTTTAAATGAGACAGGGTTTTGCTATGTAGCCCAGTCTGGTCTTGAACTCACGATCCTCCTGTCTCTGCCTCCTGGGTGCTGAGATTATAGATATGCACCACCATGCCTGGCTATAGTTTTTTTTTTTAAGGTAGAATTTACATATTGAGAAGTGCACAAATTCTAAATGGACTATTTGATGTATTTTGACAAATAAACAAATTTTTGTAATCCAAACTTCTATCAAGATGGAGAATATTTTCATCATTCTGGAAAGTTCCTTCCTGCCCCTTTCCAGTTGATCCCCTCTCCCTTTCCACTCAGGCAATGTCTTCTCTATCGATAATTTTTACTAGTCCTAGAACATCATAGCAACAGAATCAAAGTAGATATCTTTCCTCAGGATGACCTGACGAGGTTCACCCCTACACCTGGCATTGGCCTCAGTTCTTTTTTTTCATTCCCAAGAGTGTGCACAGTTAGTTTACCAGTTCTCCTGTTGATGAGCATTTGGGTGGTTGATAAGTAAAGCCCTCTCAAACATTCTTGGGCAGGTACTTTTAAGGGCATGTGTTTTCTCTTGGGTCACTTGATGGGGAGAACAGCATGTAGGCAGAGTCTCTTTGGAGGCTCATAGTGTATCTTAACTTTGGTGCAGTACTCAATGATGAGTATGCACCCTGTGACAGGATGAAAAGGTGTGGTGGGAGGTATGGTCAGGTAGACAGTGCTCCAAAGGGAAGGTCTCCTGGAGGAGGGGGTCCTGGTGCCAGCATAGCATGGTTTAGGAGGGGAATCAGAGGCTCTGGATCAGACATACCTGCAGCCACTCCTACTCCCACGGGAAAAACATCCTTAGGGGTCTCAGTTTTCTAATCTGCAAAATGGGCATAATGACTCCAGAGGATCTGATGGATTACTGGGAATAAAGGCCCTGCCACAGTCTCATAAACATTATTGAGACTCTTTCATCAAATGTGTCTTTTTTTGCCCACAGGCTTGACCCCTCTGTGGGCCTTCAATGTGGATGTGTCCCAGCCCTGGGTCACACCTGAGGGAGGTGCACCTTTCGTGCTCAGCTCCCTTCTGCACCAAGATCCCAGCACCAATCAGACCTGGTAAGTGGGGCCTAGCAGGCAAGAGGGTGAGGATTGGAGGAGGAGCTCCAGGGAACCTGAGACACATCCCAGAGAAGGCCATGACACCCCACCCCACAGCCTGGGCGGAACTCTTTTCACTTGCAGAAGCATGCACAGGACAAAGAGAGGTTGTGGTCCCCAGACCAGTCTGTGGGGTTCATGGAGTCCTCCTCCTTCTCACTCAGGCCTCCCCTGCTCCCCTGCCTGGAGGAAGGGGAACTTAAAAGCTATCTTAAAATAAAGTCCAGGAAGGCTCTTTTGTTACTTATAAAAGTAACATAGACTCAATATAGAAAATTTGGAAAGTGACAAAAAAAATCAAAGAAAAGTTGAAAACCTGAGGCCTGAGAGCTAGGTGAAGAGGCGGGCTGCAGTGCTGGTGGTCGTGGTTCAATGGCAGCTGCACTTGGGGCTCGCTGAGCAGCCTTAGCAAGGTGCTGAGCCCCAAGCCTCACTTTCTCCTCCCTGCAGTGGAGGTGACAATTTTCTTATCTCATGGGTTGTTGCAGAGACTGCTTGAGATCGTGAAGATAAAGAGCTTCACACAATTTCTGTCCCAATTAATTCTCTATAAACCTTACCTTATATTTTGAAGCTATCATCTGTATTCACCTATTAGTTAACCACAAAATGTCAACTCTGACTATGCTGTGCTGGTAAGGATGTGGTGGACAGGACCACGTGGGGATGTGCTGCTTTCCCCACCTTGGAGAGCAGTGTTGCCATATCTGGTAAAGTTGCGGCTGCACATGGCCTTTGACGCAGCACTCATACGCCACATACCATTGCTAGAGAAACACTCCGGCCCGTGTGGTGCTGGGAATCAAACTCAAGACTTCAAGCATTCTCAGCACATGCTCTACCACCAAACTACACCTCCAGCCCATAGGCTTTTATTCTTTTATTCTTTGATTTTTTATCTTTTTTTGTGGTGCCAAGGAGTGAACCCAGGGTCTTGAGAATGCTAAGCACGGGCTCTGAGCAGTCACTGTAAACGTGTTGGTTTTAGCAGTGCTTAACGGTGAAAGACGAGAAGCGTGCATCATTGGGATAATGAGAAAAATACGGTGTGAATCATGTAATGCAATACTATGCAGGTCAGATGGGTGAGCGCAGCACAATGATTGTAACTGGGCTGATAGGAAAACACTGTGATATGGAACAGGCAAGTTGTCATTTACTCCAACGGTCATTCATGGAGCCCCTACTATGCGCCAGGCCCTGGGAACGTAGTGGTGAGCAAAGCAAAACAGAACTGACTAAGCTCAAGAAGCTTATATGTTCACTGGGAGAGGCAGACAATAGTCAAATAAGTCAAACATGCCTCTATCAGATAGATATGGCAGTACCCTGAGGCAGGAGTGTGTCCAGGTTTACAAGAAGCTCTGGAGTGATGGTTGTGATTTCTGAGGCCCATGTCTATTTCTTGTTGCCTCCAAAATGACTTTTACAGCTGTGTTATTTTAACTTAAGTCTGTGTGCGTGTATGTGTGTGTTTGTGTGCGTGTATGTGTGTATATATGTGTGTGTATGTGTGTATGTGTGTATATGTGTGTGTGTATATATGTGTGTGTATGTGTGTGTGTATGTGTGTATGTGTGCATGTGTGTATATGTGTGTGTGTGTATATGTGTATGTGTGCGTGTGTGTGTATATGTGTGTGTATGTGTGGAGCAAACCCCAAGGTCTCACAGGCACTTCGTTGCTGAGCTACAACCCCAGCAAGCTATGTTGTTTTAAAGTCAGGATCTGGTTGTGCATCATGTATTCCATGTTGTTGTTGTATCTTTTTAATCTACTTTAATCTAGAGCAGTTGTTCCTCCTCTTACCCCTCTTTTTTTTTATGATGGTCATAGGGCATTTTCTGTGCTTGCCCTGCTATACAGCCAGGTTCAGGACCAGCCCCTGGCTGCTTCCCTCCTCATCCCACCTTTGCTGCCTAATTTCTGGTTAATTGGTCAAGGGTTTTCTATTTTTTTTCCTTTTTCTTTTTTTTTTCCATGGTGCTGGGGATGGAACCCAGGGCCTTACAAATGCTAGCCAAGTGCTCTACCACTGAGCCATATCTGCAGCCCAAAGGTTTCCTTTTTTATTTTATCATTATTATTATTATTTTTTTTTTTTTTTGCAGTACTGGAGTTTGAACTCAGGGCCTGCACCTTGAGCCACTCCACCAGCCCTTTTATTGTGATGGATTTTATCAAATAGGGTCTTGCAGACCTGTTTGCCTGGGCTGGCTTTGAACTGAGATCCTCCTGATCTCTGCCTACTGAGTAGCTAGGGTTACAGGAGTGAGCCACTGGTGCCTGGCCCAAGGGTTTTCTTTATGTACCTACAGGTGCAAGTGAGACCAGGATCCAGAGAGGCTTTGAGCAGAGCTAAGAGAGAAAGTGTTCTTTACTAAGCTTGTAGGTCTGCTTGGTGGAGGATGGACAGTGGCAGCTCCTGTGGCATCCTCATAGCAGCCAAATGGGTTTGGACCCCTTTCTGGATTCTGATTTCCTCATTTGTATGATAAAAAACCTGGTGAACTTTAGCTATAACCTGTTGCTTACATTGTCAGTAGTAGAATTCTGTTGCTTGTAACTGAGAACTCTATCTGAAATACCAATATTAAATCCAAAAATAGCAGGTGTCTATTGATATGAATGGCTTGTAAATCATAAAATATCCACTACTAGAGATTAAACTCTTTTCACTCTGGGATTATGTGTCAACTCCTGGCTTAACTCTATTCCAAGAATATCAAACATTATGATGTTAGGGGCTGGGCCTGAGGCTTGCTCAGTGGGTTTAATCAGTAGATTTAAGTGGTACGGGCAGGTGCAGTTGGTTCTTTCATCCATTCACTCATTCAGCAGGTATTTATGGAACATTTTCTCAGAGCCAGGCCCATACCTTAGGAGAAAAGGTAGTGGAGGAGAGGGTAGCTCCTGGGCTCACGAGGGACACAGACAAGCCAGACAAGAACAAGAGTGATGACATCCATAGTGGAAGCTTCTTGGGTGCCTGGAATCAGAGTGACAGGGGTGTTCCTCAGTATCTACAGGAGTTAGGGTGAGAAGGTTGGGAAAGGGGAGTCTAGGCAGAGAGCAGCTAGAAGCCTATAGCCTGCTCTGAGCAAAGCGAAGTATGGGGCTGAGAGTGATGGAGGATAAGGTAGAGGAGATGGGTGGTGTCTTGTCACCCAAGCAGGGAAGGTTAGGACAAACCAGAAGGATATGAAGCAGGGAGGAATGATGAGAAAGTTGTCAGGAAGATTTGGGCTGCAGAAAGATGAATTAGAAGTTCACGTTTATTATATTTTGTTTTGGTAAAATTTTATTGACATATGCCACACACACACAAATGCACATTTCCTAAGGATGAAGCTCAGTGAATGTTCACATAGTGAGCCCGCTGTGCAGGCAGTGTCCTGATCAAGAGGACGGTGGCAGCCTTCTGGAAGCCCCCTGGAAGCTCCGTGCTCTGCTCCAGACACACCGCTGCCAACAGTGACCTCCTCTGACTTGCATTTCTGTTGGGTTAGTTCTGCCTGGTTTGAGCTTGATTATACACGAGGCCTACAGGATGTGCTCTGTCTGGTTCCTCTCACTTCACCATAAGGTCTGTGAATCTCATTGATGGTTTTGCCTGATGCTGTAAGCTCATGCTTGTTGCTAGAGTTTTCCATTGCATGAAAAGTACTGGGGGTGAGCATGTGGGCAGTTTCCTTGAACACTTTCACTTGATGGACGGGTGCCCTTATTTTTATTGGGTCCAGGAGTGGAACTGCTGGGTCACGGGTTATATGTTGGTTCAGCATTCTGTTTTCCAAACTGTTTGTAGTGCATGAGTGGTTTTTTAGCCAGTTATCTGTCAGGAGACCTTCCCCTGTCATTACCCCAGTGGACCCCACAGACTTTAACACTCCCCTTAGAGGCCTAACAGCCCAAGTAGATGAGAGGTGTTTGTGTTTGAACCCCTTGCTACAGAGGGCTGGGAGCCTGCCAATAGGTGGGAGCTTCAAGGGGCTCATGAACACTTCCCCGAACACCTGATGAGGCAGAGTGACTCACAGGTTTGCACGTGGTGGGTTGAAGGATGTGGTAGAGGCTCTTCTGGGTTCCTGAGACCATGGGCCTGCTGCATGGGACAGGAAATACACTGGTTGGCCGATCTGGACCATAGACCATCCCCCACCAGCCCCTGGCAGTTTGACTCCCTTGCTCTTTCTCTCTGAAGTCTAGAAGACTAGGGTTGACAGCTTCCTGGGCTATGGCTGCTGCAGGGGAATAAGCTAGAACATAAAACAGGCTTTCCTGGGGGTGTGGGGATGCCTCTGAGAAAAGGGAAAGTTAGAACTGGGAGAAGGCAGGAGAGGGATGAGAGGTGCCGCAGCTTTACTCAATCCAGGGTAGAATAGGGTTCCCAGAGGCGAGTAACAGATGGTCAGACCTCTGTCATAGCTGGCAAGTCAATGTTTAGTAAGTTCATAGATTACTCACTCAGTCAGCAAGCCTGGAGACTACCAGCTGGGGAGGAAGAAAGGGGTGAGGAGCAGAAGCAGCTTTGACTGGGCCTCAGGCCACAGAATTGTATGAATGCTAGATGAATGGCAGTCCTGAAGATCTGCAGTATGCAGCCTGCATCGCCACACATGGTGATCTCTTGGGAGCTCATAGCTCAAATGGGAACAAAAGCTGGAGATGGGAGTCAGGGCTACCTAGATGGCTGAAGGGAGTCAAGTTACATCTTTAAGAAGGTTCCTGAGGAGCTGGTGTCTGCATGGTTGTTCTGCAGGAGAAGGCACTACACGTGGAGGAAACAGCCTGGGCAAAGACTCCAAAAGGAGATAGCCAGACTGCTCCAGGCCTGCACTTGGCCCCAAACACAGCCTGGTGAGAAGCCAATTTGAGCTCCTCTGTTGTGGGGAGCAGGGAACAAGGTGTTGGGCCAGGGCTGAGGCTTGGAGTGGGGAAAAGTCTGGGGAGAGAAGTGGGGTTGCTGAGGAGTGACCTAATTTGGGGACTTAGCTGTACCTGACCTTCCACTGCCTTGCCCCAGACCAGCACCTCAGCCATTGCTTGGACTGTCACTCAAGTCATTCCTCAAATATTTACTGTGTCCCTGCACTAGGCCAGGCACTGTTCTAGGCTCTGGGAATTGCATGAGGAGCAACTAGACAAGAGCCTTGGGAAACTCACTGGCTAGTGGGGGAGATAGATAATAAGCAGGTAAACAAGTAAACAAGATATTATCAGGTGATGACAAGTTCTGAGAAGGAAATAACACAGGGTGATGTGAAACAGTGTAACTGGGTTGTGAAGAGGGGCTTGTTAGAGAAAGCATTTGTGAGGAGGTAAGAGTTAAGTGAGGCTGCAGAAATAAGAATGAGCCAACCTTGGGAGAGTAGAAGGAAGGGTTCCAGTCAGAGGAAACAGCCTAGATGAGGGCCCAGGACAGGAAAGGTCCCAGAGCTGCGGCATCTGAAAGTCTGCAGCATTGCATTACAGATCTTTCTCTCACTCTGATCCCCACTGCCTCCCTCTTATAAGGATCTTTGTAGGATTGGGGCATGGCTCAAGTGGTAGATCTCTTGCCTAGCAACTGCAAGGTCCTGGAGCCCAATCCCCAGTACTGTAATAATAATAGTAATAGTAATAATAATTATGACCAGAACCTTTGTGATTGCATAGGGTCCACTCAGATAATCCAGAATCATCTCCCCATCCCAAGATCCTTAACTCAATCACATCTATTAAGTCCGTGCTGCCAGGAAAGGTGACATAGTCACAGGACATAGACATGATAAAGAACTATTTTTCTGCTTACTAAAGCCACAGCTGGCTGGTCCACCTTCTGCTGGAGGGATGCTAGGGCCACAGCATAAAAATGGGATGTATTAAAAGCCTGGCATTAGAAGGGATCACTAGGGAGAGTGTGTTGTCTAGAAAGACAAGGAGTGAGCCCCAGGACCCTGGTGACTTTCAATGGTCAGACAGTAAAGGTATCAGCAAAGACATCTGAGAAGGAGAAATGAGAGTGAGGGAAACTATGAAGAAGTGTGTGAAGGAGGAGATGGCCACTCATGTCTGAGCTTAGAGGCTGAAGAAAATGAAAGTAGATAGGGGTCCTCTGGGTTTGGCAGTGTGGAACAGGTGACCTTGATAAGAACTGTATCAGAGAGTGGATGTCACCTTAGGGAGGGGCATACACAAAAGTGTGGACTTACTATTCTGTCAACCATGCAAATATATTTCATCATTTAAAGTAATGTGTAGCATCTGGATGCAGTAGCTTACGCCTGTAATCCCAGCTACTTGGGAGGCTGAGTAAGGGAGCATTGTGGTTCGAGGCCAGTCCAGGCAAATGGTTCTTAAGAACCCATCTCCAAAATAACCAGAGCAAAATGGACTGGAGGCGTGGCTCAAGTAGTGGAGAACCTGCTTTGCAAGCATAAAGCCCTGAGTTTAAACCCCAGTCCCATCAAAATAAATAAATAATAAATACAAATAAATAAATAAAATGTATAGTGATAGGAATTAGGGAAGTGGAGCCAGCACCTCATTTCTGTCCCTCACCCTGTACTCTCTAACCTGGCCCCAGCCCACCATATGCACATCATGACCTTTCAAAAGCACATATTAATCATGGATTTCCCCTCTATGGCTTCCTGCTTCTCCCAGCACAAAGACCTTGGACTTAGCTCACTATTACCAAGCTGGCTTCCGATCCCATTCCCCACTAGGCTCTCTTTACAATCTCATCCTCTCCTTACGAACTCATCCTCTGTCTTAGGCCAGCCCAGTCCTCCTTGGGCAATGTAGATAGTAAGAACATTCAGGGTGACACTGGATTCTCTGTCATCTTCCTGATCTGGGCATTAAGTAAGGGATGAAAAGTTTGCAATCAGGACTCACATCTCCTGAGACTGCCTCAATCAGGCCCCCAGACCTCCAGTTCTAACTGACCCATAGGATAGGGGGTGCCAGTGAACTCTTCTAAGGAAATGCTGTCTCCAGGGCCAGGTGAGGCAGGCCCCCTGGGTAGCCACTAGGAAGCCAGCATTGCCCGAAAAGGAATAAACTCTGTTGGTGGTGGTTTCAGCTTCCTAGTTCCCCCACCCCCACAAATAGCAGAGTCTTTACTTACCGCCAGTAGAGTCTCCCATTTCTGTCAGGGTGGACAGCAGACAGAGAGGGGCTGCATTTCACCATTTCCTGCTTGAAGCTAGTAGAAGTAGAGGTTGAACAAATGCCTTCCCCCTAATGCAGTCTGCAGTTCTGGGCTAGGGATTTGCCTGTGTTTCTAGGTCTGGGCCTTTTCCATGGCTGACTGACAGGGAGCTTGTGGGCCTGGAATGGAAGACTGTGTGGACAAGCAGGGAGGAGAAGGGAGTCCTCAGTCAGTTTGGCTTTACTTTCTGCTTCCCATACAGGCTCCTGGTCACCAGTCCTAGTACCAACAGGACTTCAGCACCCCTCCATCGATGCTCTCTTACCCAGGATGAAATCATCTGCCAGGCAGTAGGTAGGTCAGCCCTCACCAGAGCATGCTCCCTAGGAACGCCTTCTAAGAATCTCAGTTATCCCAGCCCAAATAATCCCAAGCCCAGCCCTGCCTAATTCACCCACCCAACCCCGTCCTCCTGCACAATTCCCAGGCCCATCCCACCCACCACAATCCCCTGCCTGCCTCTCCTAATGTAGCTCTAACAATAGAGTCTCCCCAATATTTACTGAGTGTTCACCATGTGCTTGGCACTCTGCCTTCTCAAAACCATGCCATTTACAGGAGAGGAAGCTACAGTTCAGAGGAGGTAGTTCTTTGGCTGTTAGTATAACTCAGATCACGCCTCTAGAGTTCGTGGCACTGGAGATGCAAACCTCACTCTGGCTGATTCCAAACCCCAACCCACACAACTCCTCACACCTCAATGGAATCCAGTCCTACCTATTCCAGTCTCACTATGGTCATTTTAGTGTCTAGCATGGGGCCTGAAATACATTAGGCACACAGTGCTATTTAAGTGAATGCATGAAGGACCAAATGAACCTGACTCATTCCTTAACCAACTCTATCCATCCTGCCCAACTCAACTGAAGTCACCCATGTGCTGACCACCACTGGTGGTTTGGGTAGAATCCTAGTCTCTGTGAGAGGCACTGAGTTGTGTAGACTCAGTCTCTGCCCAGACAAGTACACTGTCTATCAGAAGGTTCTGGAAGATTCCATGACTCAAAAATAAAACAGCATCCTGAGACCCAGCCAGAGGTAGAGGGGGAGCTTCCACTTCTGCCTCTGGGGTTGTTGGGCAGAAAGATTCCCCAGGAGGGCTTTTGAGCCTGAGAGATCACTGGTCCAAACAGGCAGTCCCTTGGCATCTCACACACTCCCTGAGCTGTACACACCCACCAGCAATACTTCCATACCCAGAAGGACCCCCAGACCAGAAGTCCCTTGAGAAGAAGCCCCAGGTCTCAGTTATTTCTGGATTCCTATCCCCACCAGTAACAAGGCTGGGCACAAAGCAGATGTCAAGGGGCATTTGTTTAGATGGCAAATGGGTTTGGGATAACAATGTATCCTGTGTGTGCCCAAGCCTGTCCTTGCAGCCCCCAGCTCCAGCTTCTGGAGGCTACTTGGTAGCCCTGACCACAGTGGCTCTCTGAGCCTAGCTCTAGGGTGGCCTCCCAGCATCCCTTCCTCCTTACCTGGTTTAACTGTTTCAGAGCATGTCCCCATCCCCAAGGGGAGGCACCAAGGAGTGACAGTTGTCCGGAACCAGCACGGTGTATTGGTAAGTCTGCATGGGCAGGAAGAAGCAGGGCCTGGAGAGGCTGGTACTGATCCCTGTGGGCAACTCTGGTGATGATGCCAGTTCTGACTAGTGTGCTGTCTCCCTGAAACCTGTTCTGGTGCTGTGTGTGCTCCGATCACCTATGCTGATGCTCCAAGTGCTGACCACATCTTTGATCCCAGCACTGACTCTGGCCCCTTGTGAGGGGTGAGCTAGCTGTTCCTGTGTTCCTTGTCTATTTGAGACACTGCACTGAGTTCTGGCATGGGGGGAGTGACAGCATAACTGTGAATAGGAGACATGGGGCTGACCCAGCCTTTCCACTCCCTTTCATGGTTCTTTTTTCTTTCTTTCTTTTTTTGAGACATGGTCCAGACTCTGAGTAGCTCAGGCTGGTCTTGAACTTGCCATCCTACTCCTGAGTGCTAGGATTACAGACTTATGTCACCACACACACCCAGCTTTTATATTCCCTTTCTTCCCCTCTCCCCAGATATGCATTCAGGTGCAGGCCCGGCAGCCCCGAAGCCTCAGCTCAGAACTCACAGGTACCTGTAGCCTGCTGGCTCCTGACTTGCATCCCCAGGCCCAGGCCTCCTTCTCGGACCTTGGTAAGGATTGGACACTCACTGGACTGGACTTGGACAGCACCAAAGAGATCCCTTTATGTTCCCAGGGAGAAACATCAGCCCATAGTAGAGGCAGAAGGACTCTGAGGCCCAAAATGGGGCAAAGCAGGCTGTAGGTCCCCCAGGAAAATCAGGTCACGACTAAGTGTGAGTTTGCCTCGGGGACGCAGAGCCTTCTGACTCAGTCTTCTTATATGTTTCTTAAAGAAGATCTCCTGAACCCAGATGTACATGTGGATGCCAGTGACTGTGACAGAAACAAACGAGGCAGCACTGAGGAGCATAAGAATGCAGCCAGGAGGCCCCGGGCTCTGGAGGAGGCAGAGCAGGAGGAGAAAGAAGAGGAGGAGGATGAGGAAGCTGGTGAGATGAGACAATTCTGGGACCCCTAGAGCAGACCCCCAGGGTGGAAGCCTTCAGTGCAAGATGTGCCCAGGTCTGGGAGATGAGGGACAGTAGCTGGATTTTACAGGCCTGGCCACTCCCTGCTCTGCCCCCTCTCCATCTTACACACGTCAGAGTCATAAGCCAGGTCTTTGCCTCTGAGAGAAGGCGTCTTCCCTGAACTGAACCCTTGGGGCTTGACTGGGGTCATGTACATTACAGCATAGGACATGCTAGACCTCATTCCTGCCCCAAAGCCCATGCTCACTACTGACCTACTCCTCTGTCTTGGCCAGGCACTGAGATTGCCATCATCCTGGATGGCTCAGGAAGCATTGACCCCCCAGATTTTCAGAGAGCCAAAGACTTCATCTCCAACATGATGAGGAACTTCTATGAGAAGTGTTTTGAGGTGGGTGGTCTCATGTGGACTATCACTTATCTATAGCTGTGTAACAAATTGCCTCACAACAACCACCCTTTTACTTGCTCACAGTTGTATGAATCAGGTATTTGGGATAGGCTCAGCTGGGTGGCTCTTCTGTTGGTCTTGCCTGGAGTTATCCTGAGATTGTAGGCATTTGGCTGCTCGCCTGGGGCTGGATGGCCTGAGATGGCCTCACTCACTTGTTCAGGCAATGGGTCTCCAGCAGGCAGCCCAACACTCCAGGTGAAATGGCAGCAACACTCCAAGAGGGCAAGACTTAGGGCACACATTTGCTTATATCCCACTGGCCAAAGCAAGTCGCACAGTCAATATTACAATCAACATGGTGGGGGGGGCTGTCTTTACAGGAACATGGATTCAGGGAGAAAGCTGATTCACTGTGGGCCTGATTATCACATCTTCCCTCCCTCAGCTTAACTTGATTAGATTCCTTAGCATCCCTGCCCAGGGACAAGGTGCTGTGCTTCCAGGGAAACCCTCTCAGGAGCAGGGTGGTTTTGGACATGCCAACACTGACCAATCTCTCCCCTTTGTCCCCACAGTGCAGCTTTGCCTTGGTGCAGTATGGAGAAGTGATCCAGACTGAGTTTGACCTTCGAGACAGCCGGGATGTGATGGCCTCCCTTGCCAGAGTCCAGAACATCACTCAAGTGAAGAGTGTCACCAAGACTGCCTCAGCTATGCAGCACGTCCTGTGAGTGGGATGCTGACAAGCAGTCCTGTCAAGGGTCTGTGGTATCATGCCTGGAGAAACTGGCTGGACAGAACTGAGGAAGGAGTCAGGGTTCCAGTTCTTTTTTGGCTGAGAGGGAATGTGCAGGACGATGTTCTAGGACTCCTCCAGAAATTCCGCCAACGACTTCCTCCTGTGGGATTCAGTAGAGCAGTGCTCAGAGGATGGGCTGATTGGTTTCAAATCCCAAATTGTACTTGTGTGATCTTAGGAAGTTACTTAATCTCTCTGTACTTCAATTTCCTCACTTCTAACAGGAGGATAATAATGGCCTTTGTCTTCTAGGATTTTCTGAGGATTATATAGTGTAAAGTATATATAATGCTTACAACAGTGTCTAGCACATAATAAGTAAGTATTGTATCAGCACTATTCATGCACATGAGTAAAAGGGGCAGGTACTGTCCAGCTCCTTTCTGTTGAGAGCAGCAGAAAAGCAAGTACACCTGAGTGGCAGATGCCTCCCTGTGATATAAAGGCCATCTCTACCCTTCACTGGGTTTTGTTTCCCCATTTAAAGGGCTTATTAATCTCTTCAATTCTAAAGCAGGTCACTGAATAAAATCTCTCACAAGGCTCAGTCACCCCTCTGGAAAGTTCTTTTCGTTTTCTCTCCTGTTGTTAGAGACAACATCTTCACACCAAGCCACGGCTCCAGAAGAAAGGCATCCAAGGTCATGGTGGTACTCACTGATGGTGACATATTTGGTGACCCCCTCAATCTCACAACTGTCATCAACTCCCCAAAGATGCAGGGTGTTGAGCGCTTTGCCATTGGGGTAAGAGCCAGGAGCCAGGAGACACCCCTGACCCTGCACAACCTGGGTGGGGAGGAGCCCCTGATAGCAGCCTCTGGAAGCAGTGTATCCAAACCCTCTCTATTCACAAATACTCCTTTGCTCCTGGTTCCCACCCCCTTTAGGTCTTCCTACAGAGGTCTCATTTTCCATGGTGGGTACAGCTTACTTGCTGAGTGGGTGGGGAGAGCCCACAGGAAGGTTCCTGGGAGAGGCAGTCCTCAGCCGAGTCCTGGGAGATGACAAGAGTAGCTGACCTTGCACACAGGAGAAGTGGGATGGGCTCTGCAGGCAAAGGGAACAGAAAAGGACAGAGAAGGAGAATGCTGTGCCAACATATAGTTGGTAAAGCTAGAGTTTTGTTCAGAATATGTGTGTATACGGCGGGGTGGGGGGTGGTGGTAGGGTGTCATAAGAGCAAGGGGCAGGAAGGCAAAAAGAAGGGAGATGGGTGATGGAGCACCTTCTGACTCCCAGGTCCCTCTCTGTGCAGGTGGGAAATGCATTTCAGCAAGTGAAGACTGATCAGGAACTGAAGCTGATTGCCTCAGACCCCAGTGACACCCACGCCTTCAAAGTGACTAATTATGCAGCGCTGGACGGGCTGCTGAGCAACCTGCAGCAGAGCATCATTCACATGGAAGGTGGAGGCTCTAGGCTGGCCCCTGTGGCTGCCCCTCAGCATTCAGCCATACCCTGATCCAGCCCTTTTATTCCACCCCCATCATCTCCCTTAGTCTCAGTTATTCCTCTTCAAAAAGGCCCTCCTCACCTCCCAAAATCTCCAGGAAGCTCTGATGAACTGATGCTTGAGAAACAAGGAGCTATGGTTCCTCTCAGTTTCCCACAGATAAGGAAACTGAGGCCCAGGGAATTAACTGCCCAAGCTTACTCAGCCAGTTGTTGCTAAAGCAGGACCCAGGGCTATGCTCTCAGCCACTGCTCATCTCATTATACCAAATACTGATCCCTCTGGACCACTCCCCCAGTTGGGCACAGTATCTAAACTGGGCTCCTTGGTTTCCAGGCACAGTTGGAGATGCCCTTCACTACCAGCTGGCACAGACTGGCTTCAGCGCCCAGATCCTGGATGAGGTTGGTGGCCTGCTCAGCATAGGCAAGCTTGTTCAGATAGGATGGGCCCAGTGACCCCCAGGAATTGAGGGCTCCTGCTCACAGCCTCTGAAGGAGCCATTTTGGGATAAAGGGAAAGAAGTCTGCTCCCTAATCTAGACCACTGAGATAGACAAAATAACAGACCGTAGTTCTTACAGGAGGCCATTTTCTTTTGTGTGGTCAAGGATGGGGCCATTACCTAAGAGATTCAGTAAACCAAGATCTAGCCTGGGTAGGCTTGCAAATAAGTTGCTTACTTCTTACACCAATAGAGAGAGATATAGTACAGTGAGGACACAGTCCTTGTGCACAGTGGTAGCACAAGTTAGCCCCATCACTTCATAGATGGCCTTGGTGGCCTAGGCTGGACAACCCAAGGAGGAAGACTTGAATACTATCTTCCTCAATCATACTTTTTTTCTTTTTAGTGGGACTGGAATTTGAACTCAGGGCTTCATGCTTTCAAACAGGCACTCTACCACTTGAACCACACCTCTAGTTCATTTTGCTCTGGTTATTTTGGAGATGGGGTCTGGAGAACTCTTTGTGTGTGCTGGCCATAAATCTCGATCCTCCCAACTCAGCCTCTGAAGTAGCTAGGATTACAGGCGTGAGCCACCCCTGCCCGGCTCACACTTTATTTTTATTTATTTGTTTATTTATTTTGAATGTTCAACCTCTAGGTCCCTGGTGGGCTTCTAGACGCACAGCTGCCTCAACAGGGTACTGGTACAAGGCAGGAAACCATTTCTCTTTCCTACCTGCATCCCTGGCCAGATCACTGAACGTCCCCTTCTTCCAGAAAGATTCGCTGCGCTAGCCCCTGTGTCCCTCCCGCTCATTTGGTCCTCTCTGCAGGGGCAGGTGCTGCTCGGCGCCGTGGGAGCCTTTAACTGGTCTGGGGGTGCACTGCTCTACGACTCGCGTAGCCGCCGGGGCCGCTTCTTCAACCAGACCGCCGCTGATGCGGCTGGGGATGCGCAGTACGGCTACCTGGGTGAGGCTACCAGGGTGAGAGCGGGTGCTGGGGGGCGGGGTTGAGTGAGGTGAGGGCGGAGCCTGTAGTAGTGGGGCGGGGTGGGGGTAAGGGCGGGGCTTGGAGGTTGCAGTGGGCTGGAGTAGAGGGAGCTCTGGCTACTGCAGAGCGGCAACTTCAGGAAGGGGAGGGGTAAGGATGGGTCCTGTAGACTAGATGAAGAGAGGCCTGGAGGTTACCTGGGCTTGCAGGTGAGACTGGGACACCGAGGAGGCTGTGCCATAGTTTGTATATTAAGATCCCTGCTGGGAGCAGGGAGGACTTTGGTTAGGAACCTTGAGATTGAGAATTCTAAGTGGACACCGGATGGCCTTAGGCAGCTGCCTGGGGGAGGACTGGGCCTCTCCGTAAATAATAGCAAGTGGGTGCCCCTCACCCCTCGCCTTGGTCCTCATATACCGTGTGTGATGAAAGTGGTGGGCGCGAATGTGTGTCAACAAGTGCATTCTGAACGAAACCGTGTAGATGATAATATGTGCATGTGTATCTACCCTCACCCCAGGTTACTCGGTGGCTGTGCTACACAAGGCCTGTGGTGTCTCCTATGTTGCTGGAGCTCCACGGTACAAACATCGTGGAGCTGTGTTTGAGCTCCAGAAGAAGGGTGAAGAGGCCACCTTTGTGCTGGGGCTAGAGGGAGAACAGGTACTTGCTGGAGAAATCCTCTTGCTTAGTGATTGGGGTTCTGGATGCCCTAGGGGAGAGCCATGGGCCCAGCCTGGGCAAAGCTCAAGCTCCTGGTATAACTCTGTGACTCTGCAGTCTGCTGGATGGTCATAGCGTCACTAGTGAGCAAATTGATCTGGAACAACCTCAGTTTGGTGGTCCAGGTAGAACCTAAGCGGTAGTCTAGCCTTGCTGAGGGGTGGAGAAGGGCCTCCCCTGCTATCCTCAGTGCTGAGTTCCTTCTGGGCTGTAGATGGGGTCCTACTTTGGCTCTGAGCTGTGCCCTGTGGATGTGGACATGGATGGGACCACGGACTTCTTGCTGGTGGCTGCACCATTTTACCACATCTGTAGAGAAGAAGGCAGAGTCTACGTGTACCAACTGCACGAGCAGGTCAGAGAGAGTCTCTGGCCCCTGAGCTTATGGAGGCTGTGGCTACTTACAGAGGTCATGAGGCTTGATGCTCCCTGGCCCTGCCTGGTAGCAGTGGGTAGCCATGGAGAGATGCTCAGGGTAGATGAGTGTCCCCTCCCCATTTCTCACTGGAGAGCAGTTGTAGATAATAACGTCCCTCACCCGTTTACAAAGCACAGATTGTCTATTGTCCATGATCTCACAGTAACTGGAGGTAGCTGTCACTCCCCTATTACAGACAAGGAAGCTGAGGCTCAGTATGTCTCGGTGATGCTGTTCATTTTCCTAGCAAGTATGTGGGAGAGCCAGGTCTAGAGCCCAGGCCTCCAATTGCCAATTGCATATTCCTTCAAGTGAAAGTAGAAAGGGGCAGGCTAGGGGTTCTGGTGTCAAGGCAAAAGGACCCCAGCTTTACTGCTGGCTCACTGTGTGACACTGGGCAGGGCCCTCACTTTTTCTGAGCCTTTAGCATAAGCAAACGCTGGGGTGATGTGGGGTGGGTATCCTGCATGCCTTTCTTGAGGGCTGAGTGGTGGTTTGTTTTGCAGCATGGATCCTTCTCCTTGGTGAGCACGCTAAATGGACATATGGAGCTCACTGATGCCCGCTTTGGCTTTGCCATGGCAGCTGTGGGGGATATCAATCAGGATAAGTTCACAGATGTAGCCATTGGAGCCCCCCTGGAGGGTTTTGGGGCAGGCGATGGGGCCAGCTTTGGCAGCGTGTACATTTACAATGGACATTGGGACGGCCTCTCTGCCATCCCCTCACAGGTAACTTGATGGGCTCTCTCCTGCCTTCCTGCCTCTCTTCTGAGACTCAGACTCCCCCTAGATAGGATGACCTGAGCCCTGAGTCAGCCCTAGTTCTAAGTTCTGGGCCAACCTCCAGTGGTTGGGAGTACCAGTGAAAGTGAGAAGTCATCCAGGCTGGGGAGGGTCCAGGCAAGGGCCTCCCCCAATCCCTTCAGCTGGGGAGAAGTTGGGGCACTATCTGTATACTTCCTTGATCTACATTGCCTTCTTTGCTATTCCTGACCATTCAACTACCTTTGCCACCTCCCTCTTCTCTGCCCCTTCTCTGGCTCCTGTTTCCCATACAGCCCTTCCATGTTTTAAATTTCAGCCCCTTGGGCTCTACTGCCAGCCTGGCTACATCTTTTATGGGCGTGTGGCCCCCTCTTCTTGCTGCCTCCTAAACACCTCCCCCTGGATTGCCCTCGGGTTTCTTACTCACATTGCTGAGCTGAGACTGTCCTCTTCCTCATCCTCCTCCTTCCCACACCAGAAACCTGGGTTAGTCCCTGGCACTTGGACACCCTCTGTACAGCCTGTCAGTCCCCATGTCCTAATGATTCTAGCTTTGTCCCAAATCCAGCTCCTTCTGTCCATCCCCACCACTGTGGACCCAGCTTGGGTCTTATTATCCCTCCCTGGGACTCTCACCCTGCTCCAGCTCCTACCTCCTGCCTGGCTTCTACTCCCTGCCTTTAGTGGTATTTCTAAAATCTAGTCACTACTTCATAAAAGACTTTGCCAATTCACCCACCCCAGACTTTGGTCCAGATACCCCATTTTTTCCCCTGCACTGACCCCTGGTAGTTTCCTCAGAGGACCCTCCTCTTTTCTGATCCTTCACTCTTTCCCTTGGTTTTCTTAGCAGATCCCAGCTGCCCTTCACGGCTCCATCCAAATGCCAGTTCCTCTGGGTAACCTGGGCCCCTATTTCCTATTTTTAGGTTGAGGGCTCTCTGGGGGAGGAAGGTAACATAAGAGGCTGAGTGGGACAGTGTTAAAAGGACTTTTCTTTCTCCTCCTCTTCCCCACCCCACACCTGTGTTTCTCTCTCTCTACAGCGGATCAGAGCCTCTGCTATGGCCCCAGGACTCTACTACTTCGGCACGTCCCTGGCTGGTGGCTTAGATTTCAATGGCGATGGCCTTGCTGACATCACTGTGGGCACACTGGGCAGGGCAGCTGTTCTCTGGTAGGGGTCTGCCCCGCCTTGCCCTTGATGTGCCCTTGATGGCCACCTGCAGACACCAGGCCCTGAAGGAGAGAGAATGTTTGCCTCGCATCATTGAGAGGATTATTTGAGGGAATAGGTGTGAGGTGTTCAGCACAGAGCTCAGCTATGACTGTTACTGTTGTGAACTTAGACAGTCCTGAGGCTATAAGTAAGCCAGTGGAGTACATGTCTGCCTTGTCTTCTCCAGTGAGCTCCATACCTGGCTGTCTGCTCAACACCCTCTTGGCAGTTGTTCAAGGTGTCCTCAATCAAATCTGCCCCCAAATAGAGCTCTTATCCCTACCCCGCCCTCAAGCTTCCTATCTAAGCAAATGGCACCATCACCCACCCTGTTCAGGATAGAAACCCAGGAGTCAGCTTTGATTCCTCTTTTTCCTTCCTCTGTTGGCTTTGTGTCTGAAACACATTTTAGTATAGGAGGCTGACCTCTCTTTCCAGGACCACTACTGTGGCAGGGTTCCCTGCATCCAGCTCCAATCCAACAGCAGATGAGGGATCCCTTTACTCTGCTGCCTAAAACCCTTCAATGGATCCCACCTAGAGGAAAATCCCAATTTCTTAGCAGGGCCTGTTCTCCATGACTGGCTCTGCCCAACCTTCCAATTCCCTGTTACCTTCTGTCTCACTCATTATGCTCCAATCTCACTGGTATTTGTGCTCCTCAAACAAACCAAGTTCATTCCTGCCACAAGTCCTTTGCATTATCTGTGGTTTCTGCCTGGAATGCTGTCCCCACAGATCTTCACATAGCTGGCTCTTTCTCATTAAATGATCAAAACATCAGTGCGCCTCATCAGGGAGGCCCCCTCTGACCCCCACCTAAGCAGTCCCTGTCTCTTATCCTATTTTATTTTCAGCATAGTGTTGCTAGTACACATTATCCCCCATTTCTTGTTTGTTGTCTGCTTTTACACTAGAGTAGGATTTTGTCTATTTTCCTACTATATCCTGAGGACTCAGAACATCCGCTGCATATTGAAACTGTGATAGATGTTCATTAAAAGCACGAATGAACCAGCCAAGTACTGACCCAGAAGTCCTGTGTCACTTCTCATGGGCCTCTTTGCTGTCTTGTTTAGCTCACGACCTGTGGTTCACCTGAAGGTGTCCATGACCTTCGTCCCCAGTGCACTGCCCATTGGCTTCAATGGCAGTGTGAATGTACATTTGTGTTTTGAAATCACCTCTGCAACCATGGCTGCCGACTCAGGTAATAGACAGCCTAGCAGACCTCACATGTTGTGCTCATTCCTTAGCTTGCAGGGGGGTGGGGTAAGAGGGCTTTTAGTGTGGGTTCTGGCACCTGAGCTCCTTCTACTAGTGCTGAGCTCCTTTGTCATGAGGGTCTATTACATCTGCCCTGCCCCAAGAAGGGTGGTCTCATGCCATATCTGCCCTGTTGGGAAAGGGGCTTGGGAGCTCCTCCTTGGGTTGCAGGGGGAGGGTTCTGAGAGAAGACACAGAAAGGCAGCCACTGTGCTGACTCCACCTGCCATCCTGCTTATGTGTGTCCAGAGCTCCTGAGAAGTGTCCTTCCTCTTTCCTCTGAGTTGTATTTTCCCCCTTGTCTCATCGAGTCTCCCTAGCCAAGGTGAGATTGAATAACCTGCTGGAGGCCTGACTTCTCTTCCATCCTTTACACTTGTTGGGAGACTATTTACAGAAGGGAGGGTAGGCATGATTCTCACAGCCCAAGTATCTACTGGCAACCCAAGAACTCCCCTCCACACAACCTCTCAGCAACAGTACTCAAGGTGTAGTCATCAGAAACTATCTCAGCAATGGCTCCCTGCTCCCTACAGATCACAGAGCCATCTCCTGGTGTGGGAGCCTTTATCAAACTGAAGGCAGAAAGAGACAGACACATCATTTCCAGGTCACAGAGCCTACTGAGGGCTGTGTGACACTGGGCAGATGTCTTTCCCTCAATGGACCCTAACTTCTGAGCAGTAAAGGAGCTGACCCAGGAATCTCCAAGGTGCTTCTGGCCCTTTTGCACTTAGGTTTTACTCAATGGTTTCCCTCTCCATTCCCATGTCGTTTCTCCCTCTCATATATGTACATGTATATACATGCCTATACATACATATATATATATATATATGTATATATACATACATATATATGGTGGTACTGGAGTTCAGGCTCGAGGACTTGTGTTTGCTAGGCAGGTGCTCTATTGCTTGAACTAATTCCATAGCCCCTCCTTATTTTCTCTCTCCATCCCAACCTCCGGCTGGAACCCTTTTTCCCTACAGAAGGTGGACTCAGCTCTGGGAATTTGCTGCCCTGGGTGGGGTCAGAGTGCTGAGGGACCCTGGTCAGATTCAAGGCAGTAAGAAAATGATCTTCGACATGTGGAATCATTAGGAGGGACTCATAGAGCCTCATGCAATCAGGGGTGGAGGACCCTCTGCCTGGGCCTTTCCTATCTCAGCCTCCTTAGGAAGGCCTGGTTTTTTATCCCCAGGCCTCAGAGAGACATCACTCAACTTCACAGTGGATGTGGACATGGGGAAGCCCAGGAAGAGGCTGCAGTGTTCTGACATGAGGGACTGTCTGAGCCATATTAAGAAGTGGAGCAGTGGGTCTTCCCTTTGTGAGCGCCTGCAGCTCATCCCCACAGAGGGAGAGGTAAGTGGAGGAATTTAGACAAGAGTCCAGATTGGCCTGTGAGGCTCAGAAAAGTTCCTGCAATATGGGATTCACACCATCCATATGGATGAATGAGGTCATGAAAATAATCACAATAGATGGAGACCACAAAATGGCATAGGAGATGGAGATAATCAAACAAGAAATCAAAATTAAAGAACCTGGGCTGCAGATATAGCTTAGTGGTATGTGTGAGGCCACAGCACTGCAAAAAAAGAAAGAAAGAAGGAAAGAGAAAAAAAAATCCCAAAACAACAACAAAATGAGAAAGAAACTTAAACTGAACAGTAAGTGTATCTCTGAATTTCCTGGAAGTTGGACAAAAAGGAAGATGCTTGACTTATTGACATGTTTCCTGGTAATAAATCAGAAATGTTATGTTATCTAACCTCACTTGGTAACAACAGTGAGCTGGAGGCCCTTGTGCAAGTCAACATCAGAAAAATAAAAAAATTAAAAGGCAGAACTAGAAAGATAGAAGTTATCATTTAGGAAGGCTTTCTCATGGCAAAGATGTCCAGACACATGGAAAAAATGTATTTGTCAGGACTCAAAGCCTAACAGAACCCAGAACTCTGAACCTATATATATTATTTACTCCAATAATCAAAACTCATGAATTCTGCTTCTACTATACATCTGCTCCCAAGGTGATTGTTAATTGGTTTAAATTCATAGCACATGCATGGCCTTCCTTAAGTAGAAACATAACTACATTTTCCCCAAGGGAATGAAGCTGGCTTGCTCTCCTAGGTTCAAAGTGCTCCTCCAGCAAGGAAAGCTCATTTAAACAAAGCATGGCAAATGGATCTTCAGCTATTCCCTTATTTTCATTTTTATGTCTCCAATATGTCCTCCAAGCCCCTTTAATATAGATTTTTGTAAATTCAGATCTTCCCTCCCATAACTCCCATTTACCCTCCAAATAAATTCAGACCAGGTATGACCACATTCCTTTGTGACTGGGAATAAAACCCTAAGGAGTCATGGGATTTGATGCCATGGCAGATAAAGGAAAATTTTTCCAAAACCCTTGTCGGCTTGCTTGAAGGAAGTTTTCCTTCAGTCTGTCTTGTTTGAAAGATGCTTAGACTTCTGATTCATCACTTTCATCATTTATTTCTTAATGACTGCATTGAAGTTAAAAGTATTCTCCTTGTCATCTTCTCTCCACATCCAACTGTGGCTCTGCTTCCATGGGGATGACAACCCTGTAGCTCTGTGAGGAGGACTGCTTCTCCAACATCAGCATCAAAGTCACCTACCAGCTCCAGACACCTGATGGATGGAGGGGCCATCCCCAACCCATCCTAGACCACTACATGGAGCCCTCTGCCATCTTCCAGGTGAATGCCCACAGCTGGCCCTAGCTATCCTATGAAACACCCACTCCCCTGACTTCAAAGAAAATTACAGTTGGAAGGGAGCATCTTCAGACCACAGTGGGGCCCTGCACTGTACGAATGGGGAAGTAGAGTCCCTGAGATGGTGTTAATTTGCTCACTGGTAGGCATCAGGTCTCCAACCATCCCCCTTGCTCCTTCTTATTCACTGCATATTTAATGAAGTATTCATTGCATATTTAATGAAGCATATGAATATGCTGCATTCTGGGACCTTCAGATGCCATTACCAAGGGCATCTGAAGATGGTGTGGTGGGGCCCCTTGTTGTTGGGGCTGGACTGGAGCTGTCCTGCCTTGTACTACAATGAGGAGGTATTTTGTGCATCTGCCAAGAGGAAGTCCTCAGACCCCACTCACGCCTTCCTCTGAGTGTCTTGTCCCACCAAACTTGCACCCCAACCTCTCCCCTGGTGCCCATCAGTGCTGCTGAGGTAGGTGGGTGGTGTCACAGAAACTTTTTCATGACTAAGGAAAATCAACGGGGGAAGATAAATAGTCAAGTCTCCTGATCCTATGATATCTAAGGTGATTTTGTTCTTACCTGGGTCCTGGCTCCAAGACACTCTACCAATCTCCATTTAGAGAGTAAAGAAAAATGAGCATTAAAAAGTAGTAACTAAGAACTGGAGGTGTGGCTCAAATGGTAGAGTGCCTGCTTTGCAAGCAGGAAGCCCTGAGTTTCAACCCCAGTCTCACAAAAAACAAAATAAAATGCCTCAGTCACACACACACACACACACACACACACACACACAAAATTACTAATTAGGCCAGGTGCTAATTAGGCTGAGTACCAGTGGTTCATGTCTGTAATCCTAGCTACTTGGGAGGCTGAGATCAGGAGGGTTGTGGTCTGAGGCCAGCCTAGGCAACTAGTTCACAAGACCCCATCTCCAAAAAAAAAAAATAGAGCAAAAATGGACTGGAGGTGTCATTCAAGTGGTAAAGTGCCTGCTTTGCAAGCGCAAAGCCCTGAGTTCAAATCCCAGTCCCACCAAATAAAAAAACCAGCAGTAATTATAGCTGGGCATGGTGGCACACACCTGTAAACCCAGCACTCATGAAACTGAGACAGGAGGATTATGAATTTGACGCCAGCCTGGGCTACATAGTAACACCCTGTTTCAAAAAAAAAACAGGAGTAATAACAGTCAGTTGGGATGAATTGATGAACTCAGCCTTCACAGAGAAAAAGAAAGCCCAAAGTAGCAAAAGTCCCAGATAGTCACAGAACAGTCATAATTGATGATTGTCAGTGTTTTTGTTGTTTTTGAGACAGAGTCACATTATGTAGCACAGGCTGGCCTCAAACTTGGTGATCCTTCTGCCTCAACCTCCTGGATGCTGGGTTTACAGGTGTGCACCACCATGGTTGGGTATCCAGTATTTTTAATTTATAAAATGCTCTGTGTGCTGGGTGCCAGTAGTTCATGCCTGCAATCCTAACTACTTGTGAGGCAGAGATCAGGATTCGTGGCCAACCTGGGCAAATAGCTCTTGAGACCCTACCTCGAAAATACCCAACACAAAAAGGGCTGGGGAAGTGACTCAAGTAGTAGAACATCTGCCTAGCAAGCTTGAGACCCTGAGTTCAAACCCCAGTACTGCCAAAAAAAAATGCTCTGTGTTAAGTTATATAAACCATTAGCTCTGGTTGTGATCAATACCCAATGTATCAGTCACAAATATTGAATGGAGATTGGAGAGTAACATATTTGGGTGACTGTTCCCATTGCTTATCCATCCAGAAGAGAGAGAATCTTTGCTGTGAGCAAAGATTGATTGCTACCTTAACTGTTTAGGTAGAGACTGTATTTTAAATTTATTTATGTTTATTTTTCAAAGATTTAAGAAAAATTGTTATTGACAAATTAGATGATTCAGAAGAGATAAGAGAACTAACATAATATAATTTGATAAGTAGATTTATATTAGCTAGTATGTTCTCTTTTTTAAAAGTCTTTATTTTGAAATATTTAACTTACCAGGAGGCTACAAGAAGAGCCAGGTGGCCATACCTGTAGTTCCAGCTACGCAGGAAGCTGAGGCAAGGAGGATTGCTTGAGCTCAGGATTTGAAGGCCAGCCTTCAACTTTGAGACTCCGTCTCAAAAAAAGTCCAGAGAATTCTCCTTTGAGAGTCAGTTACAGATATGATGATTCTTTATCCTAAAAAAACAAAAGCATTCTCCTACTAACACAGAACAAGATCGAAATCAAGAGATCAACACTAGTAAACTGGGTACTGGTGGCTTACACCTGTAATCTTAGCAACTTTAGAGATCAAGAGGATCGTAGTTGGAAGCCTCTCTTAAAAAAAACCCAACACAAATAAAGGGCTCAAGTGGTAGTACAACTGCCCAGCAAGCATGAGGCTCTGAACTCAAATCCCAGTACTACAAAAAAAAAAAAAAAAAAAAAAGAGAGAGAGAGATTAATACAGTAAAATACTACTATCTAACCTAAAAACTTATTCAGATTTTGCCACGCATCCTATTAATGACTTTTGTAGCAAAAGAAAAAGTTTTCTGGTCTAGGGTCATTCATTTTATTTTATTTTATTGTCATTTATCTACTCTCTTTTAATCTGAAATAAGTTATCTGTCTTTCCTCTTATCTTTAATGACCTTTACAATTTTGAAGTTCACAGGCCAGATATTGGTAGATGTTCCTCAGTTTAGGCTTATCTGATGTTTCTATAGACAAACCTCAGATTCAGGTTGTGCCTTTGAGGCAGGAATATCACAGAAGTAAAGTTGTGTCCTTAGAGTAGCACAGCAGGAGGCATGCAATATTGATTTCTCCCATTGCCATTTCTGTTTCCCTTTGTAATGAATAAGTATTTTATGGTGAGATGCTTTGAGATTTTGTCCTTATCCAGCTTGGCATCAATTTATGAGTCTTGCCTTAATTATTACTATGATGGTTTGGAAAAGAGATTTAAAATTTTCTATTTCATTTACAAAAAAGGATGAAGAAAAATTGTCTAATGTAGATGTTACCAGAAAATGATTTCTAGCAGGGAGCTTAGATGGTTTGGTTTAACCCTTTTCTCTTTCACAGGTGTTAGGTGAAAGAGAACAGACTATTTGGTTATATAAAAAATGAAACAGGGCTGGGGCTGGGGCTCACTGGTAGAACATTTGCCTAGCATGCATGAGGCCCTGGGCTCCATCCCTAGCACCAAAAAGAAGATTAAAAAGAAGAAGCAGAAGGAAAGGAAGGGAAAGGGAGGGGAGTGCAGGGGAGGGAAGGTTTGGGAAGGGAAGGGAGAAAAAGAAAGAAAGAACGAAAGAAAACAAAACCCAAACCCTCTTAACCCAGCTAGAGCTCCATGATCTGACTTTTGCAAACAGCATCTTGGTTCTCCAGGAAGTAGGTCTGGTTTCAAGCTCTGGGCCCCCTTCCAATCCCAGGCCAGGAGGCCCTCTGCAGAATGCTACAGTGGTGGTCACTGACAACCAGGAAGGTACATGCAGATCCTCCCAGCTAAGGAGCTAGCGCTTTCCTTCATTACCAAAGATAGAACCAGCTACTTTAGAAATTTAATTGTTCCACTCAAACTAGGCTTTTCAAACCTTGAAGGGGCCTTTTGAGATAAATGTGATTTTTCTGAATTAGTTTGTGATGCATAAACAAGATTGCAAGGGAAAGAGTTAACTTACAGAGAAGACTGATCATGGATCAGTGGGGGAGGAGGAGGGTGGAGAGAGGTGCGAAGGGGGAGAACTGCCAAAGACTGGACCTGACAACATTTGGTCAGGTGACCCCTTGAAAGGACTTTGGAAGCTTCACAAAGGTTTTCATCCTCCCCGCCCCCGTGTTCAAAATAGCGAGCTGGTTGTGACTTTAACTGTTTAATGCCCATGATATGTGACAGGTATGCCCATCATTCCATGAAGGTCACCACATTTTTGACCTTGGTCAGGGGCCTGGCTTATAGTGTGCCGATGTTGTAAGCCAGGTCCAGGAATGTCCCTTGCGATGTGAATACAATCCCAGTGTCAGCCTTCACTCTTCTCTAACTGCACTTGTCAAAGCAGGAAGAATGGGAGATAGGAGGGGTCAAGTGTTCTAAGCAGATCATGAGGCAGGGCTGCTGGAGAAGGAAGGACCCTTGGGCTGACCCTGCATTTTGTGTCTGGTTACAGCTACCCTATGAGAAGGCCTGCAGAAATAAGCTGTTTTGTGTCGTCGAGTTACATATGGCCACCACCATTTCTCAGTGAGTTGGATCCTGTCATTATTGTTTCTGCAGTTGACTTCCTCCAAAAGGTTTATCTGGGCAAACACCTCATTGGGATACATCATCGCATAGTTCCTTCTCCTTCCCCTCATGACCCTCAAAAGGTGTCAGCATTTGTAATCTAAGCCAGCCTGAGAGGAAAGCAAGACAAGAGATTCCTATTTCCATTTTATAGATTAGAAATAGACATAGTAGCTGAGGGCCTTACCTAGGGTCACAATGGTTATTGGGTGAGCTTGAACTCAGGACTCTTGATATCCTGGATAATGCTGATTCATAATTCAGTGATCCTCACTTCTAGGATGACCTCAGTTAGAGGTGACCTCTTTCCTGGCTCACCTATTGGCCAAATTAATTAATTCATCAAATATTTCTGGAGTGTCTACCCTGTATCAAGCACCTCAGTGAACAACACAAACAAATATCTCTGCACTCCTGGTGCTTTTAGGAGGGATAGTAGATAAGTAAGCTCTATATTGATAAGATGTACTACAAAGAAAAATAAGGCAGGAAAAGTGAAGAGTGCTAGGTGGAGGTGAGGCTGAATTTTTTAATATGGTAGTCAGGGAGGGTGGCATTTGGCACAGTGAGGAAGAGGCGGGGGGAATGATATATGTGGGTGTCTGAAGAAAGAGGACTACAAATATCCTGAGGTGGGAGCATGCCTGGCAGATGGGAGGCAGGACAGGGTCCCAGTGCGGTGGCAGTGTGGTGAGGGAGGATGGGAAGCAATGCAGGAGAGATAGAAGTGGGATCCTTATATTCGCTGCAAACTGGGAGGCCAGAGGAGTGGCTCTATGTCGCATTTCAACACTAGAATTCTTGCTGATGTGTTGAGAATGGACTGTTGGAGCAGAGGAGGAAGCAGGGAGGTAGTGATTACTACTGTAATAATGCAGGCAAGAGATGACAGTGGCTTGGATCTGGTTGATAACAAAGAAAGTTAGAAGTCATAGACTTGCTCACAAGGGACATGGGCAGTGAAAGAGAGGGCCTGAACTTCTAGAACTGTACCTTTTGACACACTGGCCATTCACCCACTTACCTATCTTAAACTTAAAGTCATTAAATTTAAATATAATTAAAAATTGAGTTCCTCAGTGGCACCTGCCACATGCCCACATGCAGTATTAGACAGTAGAGATAGGAACCGTTTCCATCACTACAAATTCCAGGGCCTACTATAAAGGTTCTGTTGAGTATTGAGACACCTGAATTCTACAATGATGGAGTTCCCAAGAACTGAACCAAGATCATGAGTTTAGTTTTGGATATGTGCTCATGCCTGTCATTCTAACTACTCAAGAGGCAGAGATCAGGAGGATCATGGTTGGAAGTCAGCCCAGGCAAATAGTCCGTGAGACCCTATCTCGAAAAAAGAAACCCATCACAAAAAAAGGGCTGGTTCAAGGTGTAGACCCTGAGTTCAAACTCCAGTACTGCAAAAAAAAAAAAAAAAGACGCCTTCCTGAGTGCTGTGTATCATGATGCTGATGGCCAGTTGGCAAGATTTGGCATCTTTGGAAGAATGCTGTTTCTCAAGCCCTCTCAGACCTGCATTTGTAGGGCTTGCATTTCAGACAGATGGCTAAATGATGCCCATCACTGAGGACCCACCTGAAGACCTTTGAATGCTTTGGAATGCTGCCTAACAAGCAGCCACAGCAGTTTCCAACAGGGGAGTTAATTATAGCCAAGAACCACACCCTCCTGGCCGGTGAGAGATGCTGCACTCACACATTTCCCTGCTTTGCTCCCTAGTGTTCATAGCACGTGTTCTCATCTATTTCAAAAGTACTGCTGAGCCTAAGAATGGTGCAGATGTCACAGTGTTTTTTAACCTTTCTGCAGGCATGAATCCCTGAAAAAAAATATAACAAACACTGAAGACCCCCTCTCCCTAGAAGACCATGCATGCATACATAAATGCTTGTATTCTGGGACCTCTGAAACACTGAACTTAAGGTTAAGAAAGCTTGTTAAGTACTCTGATGATGCTCAGATCTTCTGGCTTTAGAACGATATATCCAACAGACACTCAGCAGCTCTACATTTTAATCATATTGGCACCTCTGCTTCTGCTCCAGACTGAACTTATCTTCCTCTGTCCTGGAATCTCCCTCCTGTGGTCTTGTCCTCAGTGAGTAATGGCAATACTCAGAATTCCTCATTCCTTCCCCCTCTCTCTCTATCTCTCTCTCCTTGCTTTATCATCTCTGACATCCTCCCCTTCTTCCAACTTCTACTGTTGTCTTCATAAGGCATGTATCACCTCTCATATGGATTTCCACAGAAGACTCTGTGTCTGCTTCCTATCTTTCCCTCAATCAATCCATTTCTTTCCAGCTGTGACAAAATGAAAACACAACAAACAATAACAAAACACATTGCTTCCAAGATCTGTATATTCCATCTTTGGACATTTCAGATGGCTAATGTGTTTCCTGCTGGGCGTGATGGTACATTCCTATAATACTAGCACTTGGTAGGCTGAAGCAGGAGGATCGAGAGTTTTCAGGGCAGCCTGGACTATATAGCAAGACCCTGTCTCCAAAAAACAAAAAAGAAAAGGGAGGAAGGGGGAGAGAGAGAGAGACAGAGAGATAGAGCGAAGTTTTCTTTGTGCTATTACTGTGTCGTCTCATAAATCTCAACAACTACTTAAGTCTCTGAAGTCTGGGATCCTTGGTAGTCTGGAGGAAGTGATCACATATCCCCAAGTCTTCTCTTCTCCAGGCTGAACAGACTCATGTTTTAAGTGTACTTTTTCGATTGGAAGGGCCTGAGTACTTTAGTGAATGGGGAAGCTGAGGCCAAGAAGAGGACTCTGAGACAAAGGCAGAGCTATGTCTTGTGTATTCTAGTCTCCAGTACTGAGCAGAGCACCTGGCACATGTACAGTGCTCTGTCAGTGTTTGTAAAATGGATGAATTCTTGTCATGGAGAACCTTGCCTAGGGTCATACTGAATTGATGGCAGAAAGAGGATTTAGACACAATTCTCCTTTCTTTGGAGTCTGCTAGGCCTCAGGCGAATTGTCCTCTTGAGGCTTGTTTCTTCTTCTTCAAAATAAAGCAATTGTATGATTTGTAGTGATATTATGAGGATTAAATGTGAAACACAGTGTTTCGCACACGGTCAGCACTAAGTAGATGATAGTCATAATCTCACCTAGCAACTGAGGTGGGTGTGGCATCCAGGTGTTTGCTTCTGTTGAAGGAAGAAAATCTAAGGTAAATGTATCTTTTAGGCAGTTTATCTAAGAAGTTAGTTAAGAACGTGCTATTCTAGTATATTGAAGCTTTTACAGGTTACATAAATGGGTAACACTTTTATGTTTACCTTGTGCAGTCAAGAACTGGTGGTGGGTCTCACCAAGGAGGTGATCATGAACATCAGCCTAACCAACTCTGGGGAAGAGTCCTACATGACAAACATGGCCTTGCATTACCCCAGAAACTTGCAATTTAAGAGGATTCAAAAGGTAACTGACAGCAGCTTTGGAAACACGCCATTCATGGCTTCCATTTGCTGCATACCTGCTTTTTTTATGGTGGCCTCCTTACTAGTCTCCCTGCTTCCAGCTTCCCCCTGGTTCATCCAGTAAAACATGAGTAGCAGCTAGGTGAATCTGCTTCAGTCAGAGTTTAGGCTGTGGAGCCATTCTATGCCCTAAAAACCTTCAGTGGCACCATTTGGCTATACAATCACCCCTGCATATGGCTTTTCTTAATGAGGATTGTATAAGTGAGCTCTACTAGCCTTGAGGCATTGAGAAAGTAAAAATTAACCTGGATTGGGAAAGTAAAAATTTGCCCTGCCATTCACCAGGTTGCGATCATAGACACAAGGCCAGTTACCAAAATACTAGGAAACTCTTCTCCTAAAGATACCTGCAGCTGTAAAGTATAACAACATTGAGAAATTTTGTTTTCTTACCTCACAGATGGTCAGTAACTTTGCTATTCAAAATTATATCAATAATTATGAAACCATCTCACTCTTGCCTGGAGAATCTAAGTTACTTTGACAAAGAGAAGCAGATTGAATTGGTAGTCTGGAGGAAGTGGTCACATATCCCCAAATCTTCTCTTCTCCAGGCTGAACAGACTCATGTTTTAAGTGTACTTTTTCGATTGGAAGGGCCTGAGTAGTTTAGTGAATGGGGAAGCTGAGGCCAAGAAAAGGATTCTGAGACAAAGGCAGAGCTATGTCTTGTATATTCTAGTCTTAGATACAGAGCTTCAGATAAAGTGTAATCTATATTAACTTTTAATTATTTCCAAGGAAATGGACACTGGGACCACTCTGCCATCCAGACCTGTCATTGGTTGACTCCTTTACTCAGTTCTGCTTTGCTTGGAGGCTACCAAAAGTACTTTATTTACATTTTGCCCGAAATCTGTCCAACCATAGAATCCTTTAATTACTGTCTTTTCCTTTATTGGAGTGAGACACCCCACAGTACAGTTTCCCTCACTGCAATGAGTCAAAAAACCTGACTTTGTTGAAAATATAGTTTTTCTCCAGTGGTCTTAGATTATTTGGGCTAGGATAGCATCCATTATATTAAAAAAATGAAATGGTCTCCTATGCATCTAGACTAGAACTAGTGATGCACCATCTGTGAAAGAACTGATTTCTTTTTTCTTTTTTGATACTAGGATTTGGATTCAGGGCATCAGGCTTACTAGGCAGACGTTCTACCACTTGAGCCACTCCGCCAGCCTGTTTTGTGTTGGGTACTTTTGAGATAGGGTTTCATGAACTATTTGCCTGGGCTGGCTTTGAAGCTCAATCCTCTTGAGTAGCTAGGATTATAGGCACGAGCCACTGGCACCTGGCCTGAGAACTGTTTTCTATATCCAGTGGTCCAGATGAGGGGCAATGGTTGAAAATGGCCTCTTCCTCTGTTTTAGTATGTGGCATTTGCATTGGTTCACAGCCCAGTGCAAATGTCTCCTTTCCTGTACAAGAGCTCTGTACTGACAACCAATCTCTTGCTAACAGCTACTCTGCTGCTCTCACAAAACTACCCCTTAGGCCTTTTAAAACCCCTCAGCTCTCTACTGCTGAGCCCTCCTGCCCAGCCTGTGAGGAAGACAGGGACCAAGTCTGACTTACTGTATCCCTGCTCTTGGCAGAGTGTCTGGCTTATAGAAAAATCAGTGAACAATTGCTGAATTTGTGTGAAGAAACTGCTCTTCCATTGTTCCTTAAGAACTGCGTCTCCTTCTGTGTTAATAGCCTCTGTTTCCAGATATTCAGTGTGATGACCCTGTGCCAGCTGCTTCCATCCAGGTCATGAATTGCAAGATTGGTCACCCAATACTTAAGAAGTCATCTGTGAGTCTTTTTTTTTGGGGGGGGGGAGAGGGTACCAGGGTTTGAACTCAGGGTTTCACACTTGCTAGGCAGGCACTCTACCACTTGAGCCACTCCACCAGCCTTTTAGTGTTGGGTATTTTCAAGATTTGGTCTATTTAATTATTTGCCTGTGTTGGCCTTGAATCACAATCCTCCTGATCTCTGCTTCCTGAGTAGCTAGGATTACAGGCATGAGCCACCATGCCTGTCATGCCAATCATGTCTTGATTGGTTGGCTCTTCTCACAACCCTGGAGTTGGTGTCTATGTCCCAGCTTCATTCAAATCTTTCAGTCATGACATCTGTGCTTCCCTTTACTTAGTCAGCTCATAGCGGTGCTAAATTTACTCTGAAAAGAGTGGTGGAGATGGGGAATAGTTTTCCAGGATGCAGCCATTGCCAAAGTGTTGGTTCACCCTAGGAAAGCAAGTGAAGTGGGGGTAGTGTGGAAGGGCATCAGACCAAATTATCTCTGTGCCACAGGAATTCACTTCTCAACTGTAGAAGTGAATAATGCTGTCTGCCTTTCTTACTCCATTATTTGCATTGTGAAGCTTATGTGAAATAATGGATGTGGAATGTGGCATGCTACAAAAAAATGAGAGGAGTGCAACTTATGTTTCCTAGCTCTGCTTAGTTAGTAAGCAATTTGGATTATGAGCAGTAAAAGTATAGTGGAATCAAGTGAGCATTTCCCCCCTTTAAAACAGGCAAACGTCTCAGTAGTTTGGCAGCTAGAGGAGAATGCTTTTCCCTTTCCTAATAGGACAGCAGCCATCACTGTGACCATCTCCAAGTAAGTAGTGTCCATACTTTGGAAGAGATGTCCCTCCCATGTGCATGCTGTGAGCTGTGGAACCCTCACTGACCAGGAGGGCAACCTCAGTGACCCACAGAAGGCCCATGTGCCCCGGCAATAACTCTGCTTTTTTTTTTTTCCTGTTGTCAACATTTAAAATGTCCTTTCATTCACCCAAAGTAAAATTATGGGGATAGTCTGGTGGAATGAACTTTGAGTTGGAGCTTTTAGTTCTGGCTTACTTAACTTTGGGGTCACTGTCATCTGTGAAACCTCCATGTTTAGGGAAAGGGTGTGGTATGATGTTGGGAGGGGGCTATCAGGAGAGATTTTTTTCCCCAGAAACAATGCCTGGAAACATTTTTGATTGCCATGACTTAGGAGGTGCTACTGGCGTCTAGTGGGTAGAGACCAAGAATGCTGCTAACCGTTATACAATATATAGGACAACTGGCCCAAAATGTCCAGTGTTGAGGCTGAAAAATTCTTCTAAAAATCAGTATTTCTCTAAGTGTGGTCTTCTAGTGATTCTTTTGCACTTTATCTCTAAGAGAATTTTCTGACACCCTACCCCCAACCAAGACCCTAGGAAACTAAGGTAGAAAAGCAACTGTTAAGTACGAAGCAGTTATGCTGTGAACTAACATTTCTTATTCCCAGTTCTGATGAAAGGTCTTTGGCCAGAGAGATGCACAGCCTTCTATTCAAGCATGTCTTCATTGCAGTTCTTTCCAAGTAAGTACTCCCAAGGGACTGACAACTGTGTCACCTGATAGAGGACAGCTTTAGCCCTTCTCTCTTGAGGATGGAATTGGTAGTCAGGGGAGATGTGGACATTGTCCTTCTCTGAGAAGGGCACTAATGGTTTGGGTTTTAGAAATTCCAAAATGGTCATCAAAGGAACAGTATTAACTGGCTTGCTACAAAAGGGAACTGATTTGATGCTATAGACAGAAAAGAGGGGCTGTGGGGTTGGAATTAAGGAAGAAGAAAGGTAAGGCTACACTTACAAGTGAACTAGTCCGACCATACAGGATACAAATATCCCACTTGCCCTGCAACCACTTTAAATTTGATATTTAGCTTTGATTCCTCTTAAGCATCTGGTGCCCTCTGTTCTAGTGTATACAGTTGGAAGCATTTAAGTTCATTCAAAATGAGAAGGGGACCTTGAGGCCTAACACTTGTTCTCTCAATTGCAGACCGTCAGTGATGTATGTGAACACAAGCCAGGGACTATCTGACCACAAAGAATTCCTCTTCAGTGTGAGTGCTTAGTGCTTATTGCAGACCTACAGCTGGCAAAATAACACAAGCTTTGACTTCCTGCTCTGATTTTATTTGGCAGATCCATGGGGAAAATCTCTTTGGAGCCCAATTCCAGTTGCAAATTTGTATTCCAACCAAATTACAAGGCCTCTATGCAGTAAGAGTGAAAAACCTGACAAAGACTCAGGTATGTAACAGTGATTCTTTATAATGACCACATCTTTTTCCAGAGTAACTAAGGATCTCAAAGGTATAAAACCTAGAACGTTAGGAATAAAAAATAAGATTAATAGCCAAAAGTGGTGGTGCATGCCTATAATCCTAGTAATCTAAAGACTGAGGCAGGAAGATCATGATTTCAAGGTTATAGAGTGACATCCTGTCCCCTCCCCCACCAAAAAAAAAAAAAACAAAAAACCAACCAACCAATGGAGGAGGGTGGCTAACCTTGGGAAAGCATAAGGAGTAATGTTCAGAAGGAATAGTGACCACTCAGGTCTTAAAGCAGCATGTTTTCCTTTCTCTGATGAAAATAAGCAGAAATTCAAACATTATTAGTGGCAATAGAGACATTTATTTTCCCTTTGAAAATTGATAGATTTTGGTTTTTTCTATGTGATTGGTTTGAGAGCTTGATAAATGTAACATTTCTCACTTTTCAATATGAATTGTCTTCCTTTCCTCTCCTTCCAATCTCTTTCTTGGTCTTTGCTACAGCCTCATTGCTTTCATTTTACAACACATCTGTTGTCCAGTTCCCAAAGCCAGCCTCAATACCTAAAACAACAGAATCAGTATAATGGCTAAGGCCTGGGCTTTCCTGATTATTTTGCTCAGGCTACATGAAGTGTCAAGGCTCAAAAACAAAAGTATGGAATTTATGGGATGGATTCTGCTGACAATTAGAAGGAGGATTTACAAGTTTTAAACACTTGTTCCCATATGTAGTTTAAAGAACATTTTTAACAGCAATCTTAATCATTTTAACAAACATTTCAATTTCTATTTGAGAACAAATTCTGGTTTAAAGAGCTGCTGGAAACACATATGAATGGGCATTCACCCTCCACCCTGCTCTGGGAACAGAGATTGAAAAACAGCATTAGAGGTTTCAAGACCAATGTCCTTTTAGTTTGGGGCAATAAGATACATTTGGCTTACTTAAATAGACTGTGTTGGCAGAGCAGGTCAGCGGCAGAGCTGAAGTTCAGTACTGTCCTTTGGAAATGCTGGAGCTGTCTCTTCACTTGCCTCATGGCAGGAGTACTACACTTTTTCTTAAAGGTCATTTGATTCAGAATCTTGTCTGTGAGGTAATGTAGCCAAAGCACATTATTATAAGGGTGATATTCACCCCAGCAGTTGTTGTTCTCCTTCCTCATGAGCCTGTAGATTTCAAACTGGTAGTCACCTTCACCTGTAAATAGGTCCTCATCCATGGAAATGTCACAGAAAACCACAATCCCATCCCGTTCCAAGCGTGACAGTGTGTAGTCAATGATGTTGACTTGCAGCCCACGGGTGGGGATGGTGCTTGTCTTTCCATTAAGAGTGTAGTGGAGCTCTTTGAGGTTGGTTTTCTTTAAGAGCACATTCCCCCAGTGTAAGTCCCGGTGCTCAAAGTGCAGAGATGCCTCTGCCACTGCAAGGGATGCTGTGATCTGGTGTAGAATGCTCTTTGCAGTAGCAATGGAGGGCAGTTTAGTTTTCATTTGCTCTAAGTCGATGCCACCAAACTCAAATTCAAGTACAATGAAGAGCTGGTCTTCCTCAAAAAAGTCAGGCCGGTCATTTGCAGACCCTTTGGTTGAGTTATAGTGATCCCAGGCTTTGAGGAGCAAGGGAGGGTAACACCCTTGAACACAGTGCACCGAGTTCAAACCAATAAAGCCTTCTGTGCGGTTGCATGTCTCATCAGACAGGAGGCTCAACTCTTTGGAAATGATGATCTCTGGCAGGATTTCCTCAAAGGTTTTCTGATGGGATCCATTGACTAAATCTGGTCCTTCAATAGCAATGATTTTTAGGGCTACAGGTGTGTGATCAGTGATTGTTTGAAACACTTCACCAAACACCCCTTCCCCAATCTTCTCACAGTATTCCAGTTTTCTTGTGGAAAGGCAACAGCTAAAGGGGATAGGGCCTTCCTGATTGCATTCCCCATAAACCTTTTCAGCATCAGATGCCTTTTTGTCTACAACATGTAGAGTCTTTAAAGGGCTTAGCAAATACAGAGAAGAGGAGTGCCAAGGGGACAGAGCACTGTTTGTTCTGTTCACGACAGAACGGTTTGATAAGAGGGACCCAGAGAGGGAAGTGGCAATGGTATAGTTGCTGCATGCCTCCAACACATCAGTCACAATTTTCTTCTTGTGGAAACTGAAGGAGGCCTTGGCTTTGGTCCAAGAGCAGGTTTTCTGTAAATGAGTTAGGTCCTGGGAAAGGGATGAATCTTCTCCCATCTTTTGGCCTTTTTTAGTCTGGTGGGAATGGAGAACAGAGGTTTCCACTGCTTCCTGATGCTTCCTCTTCTGGCTTGGCTCAGCTCTCTTAAGCCTGCTGACTTTCCCAGGTACAATAAAGCCGCTGCAGCCTCTAGCCTCCTCATAATCTATCCGGACGGCTCCTTGAGACCCAGTCTTTTGACAAGAGCCTTGGTCTGCTGCCCTCTTTTTACCCATGCCCGATAGAGCAGGGGCCCCGAGTCTGTCTCCTTTCCGCCGCCTTTTACTACAGGACCCCTTCACATCCTTTTCATCTGTCCGGAACTCAGAATCCTCAGGGCTTCCTGAGTCCGTAAGGTTACAGAGGGCTGACCTGAGGCTGGCGTGCGCTCGGAGGGCCATCCTGGTGAACCTGCCTCCTCCGGTGTATGCTTCCCGGGAGTCGGGGAGGGATGTTCGGTCCGGGGAGGAGAAATCGCTCGGGGCTGCGGAGGCTGCATCCGGAGAGGCGGGGGCCTCGGGCGAGGCCGGAGAGCTGAACAGGGAGGCACTGGTGCCCAGCTCGTCGCCGTCCTCCGGCTGGCTGCACACGCTGAGGTCCGGGCTCAGGCGGCCCGGGTTGCGGCTGGGGAAGGGCGGCGGTCGGTACGGGCCGCACGGGGTGCTGCACTTCTGCGGGGGCCGAGCCCTCAGCCTCTGGCGTCTCGGGGTCGCGGTCAGAGCCCGCCGGGCCCCAGGACGCCTTCGCCGTCGGCCGACCGGGCTGCCGGGGAAGTCGGGGTCGTCAGGGTCGTCGGAAGGCACGGAGTGCGAGGGCTCGCAGCTGGCGTCGCTGCTGGCGCTGCTGCTGAAGAAGCGCTTGCGATCCTGCGGGGAGAACCACCGCACGGCTTCCCCGCCCAGCCGGCACCGCGGCCTCCCGCCGCCCCCAGCCCCGTACGTCCGGAACAGCCGGCTCCCGGCCCGCGAGCGTGACGCCGCCATGGCCGGCACCCGCCAAACTGTTCAAATACAAACACCGCGAGACTTGGCTCGCGGCGCGTGTGCTCCCGTCTGTCCCCTGGGTCCTAGCGCCCGGCCACTCGCGGTTCGGCCTGGCCCCGCGGGAGCCGCCGGGGGTGGTTTGCTCACGCGTAGCGTCAATGGTTCTCGTTTCAGGCCCACACTGTGTGCGCCCAGAGGCAGGAGCGCGCTTGTGGGAGCCATCGGTCTCGGGTGAGCGCGGCCGCCCCAAGAGGCGGAGGGACGGGTCGGGGAGTCCCGAAACGGGTGGCAGGAGATGACAGGTTGCTCCCTTTCCAAGGCTTCCCTGTAGGCAGCTGCAGGACCGCTGGCAAGACTCGCCTCAGCCTCCTCCCAGGGTCACGTTTGCCAGGGTTGACATTGTGTTGTGTCCAGGTGAGCGCCCAAACTGCTCACACCATTCTGGGACCTTAAGATGCTATGTCCTAGGTGTTAAAAATTTCAGCCCTAACTCACAAAAAGGGGGCTGGTGGAGTGGCTCAAGTGGTAGAGCACCTGCCTAGTAAGTGTGAGGTCCTGAGTTCAAACCCCAATACCAACAACAACAAACAAACAAATATATATATATAGAGAGAGAGAGCGAGCGCCTAACTCACGAAAAGGGATTAAGCTAATGAAATTTTGCTTTTCCAGCATGTGGAGGAATGGCATTCCGTGAGCTGCGCTATCACATCCGATAAAGAAAATGTAACCGTAGCTGCAGAGATCGCCTTGGGTCACTCCAAGCAGGTATTGGAATGGCGAAGGGGTCCATCTTTGATTATCCAGATCTAGGGCCGGATTATCTCTCCTCTAGAAAGAATAAGAGCATCTGAAATGAAATGTACAAACTAGGTTTCTCCATCCACCTTCTGCCTCGGCCTGCTCCTTAGCCAGTCACTCTGCTTATCCTCGGTAGGTAATTTATTCCTGTGCCATACTAGGAAATGAAGGAAATAACCTGTGACTTCTCCCTTTCCTACCTCCCCATATCCATTCCAGCAGCAAGCCCTGCCATTCCACCTCCAGAATATATTCTAAATCATTCACTTCTCTCCATCTCTTCTGTTACTGTTGTAATTTGGGCCACCATATCTTGCTGGGACTATTGCAGTAACCCTTGAACCTCTCTCCTTGCCTCTGCTTTTTCCATAACTTCTACAAATAATTCATCATTTAACAACTACCCATCTTCATTATGCCAGTCCCCTGCTTAAGAAAAGAAAGAAGAAAGCAAACAATGGAGTTTAGACCCACTTAGACTAACAGCCCTACTTTTTTAATGGCCTGAAAAGCACTGCTCTGCCTAATTCCTCGACTTTTATCTCCTAGTGCTCCTCTTTCTCTCTTGTCCCTTTCTTATACCCAAATGTTCTGTTCTTTCTGTTCTTCTACCTTGCCAGTATTATTCTGGCCACAGGGTCTTTGTACTTGTGGTTCCTTTACCTAACATCGCTCTTCCCTGCATCTTCACATGGGTAGTTTCCTCTTACATTTACCTCAAATACTCCAAGCAGGAGTTTTTCATAGAGAGGGCTTCCCTGATCACTTATTCTAAAGTGGAAACTAGTGATCAATTTTAACATCCTGCAATGATGCGGGTGAGAGGAATGAGGTCCAAACTGCAGAAGTAGCAATGGGGGTGAAGAAAAGGGCATGTGTGAGAGAATTTTTTTTCTTTTGGTAGGACTGGGGTTTGAACTTAGGGCTTTGTGTGCTCTACTGCTTGAGCCATACCTCCAGTCTAGGTTTTTTTTTTTTTTTTTCTTTTAAGAAACCCTTGTGTGGAGGGCTGACTTTCAGTAGATCTCAAGGAGGGAGCTGCTCTGCTATGTACAAAACCCCCACCAAGATTCAGTCCATTTTGTTCTGGTTATTTTGGAGAGAGGTCTTGCAAACTATTTCGTTTGGGCTAACCTTGAACTGCGATCCTCCCAATGTCAGCATCCCAAGTAGCTAGGATTATAGGTGTGAGCCATGGGCCTGGCTGAGAGTTTTTTTTGAAAAAAGAATTATCAAAAACTGGGTGGATTATGGCACAGGATAGAGGGTAAGGGAAAAGAATTGAGAAGTAACTGCAGATTTTTGCTTGGGTACTTGTGTGGATCTGGGGCCATTAACAAGGCTTGGGAACACTGGAAAAGGAACATGTTTAAAGGGAATGTGGTGAGAAGTGTCTAGAAATAGTGAGTCCATGTTTAAAACATGTTCCCCTCTCTTCCTCCCCTCATCTCATAGTTACTAAGAAATGTAACCGAACTGCAGATCCTTGGTGAAATATCTTTCGACAAATCTCTATATGAGGGGCTGAATGCAGAAAACCACAGAACTAAGGTAATGCCTGGCTGTTTTCTGCGCAGTGTCCTAGGAACACTGTTCCTACCCTTTGAGCCCCTGCACAGACACCCTCCCGTTGCTCTCTTACCACTTCTGATCTTGGCTTTGCCAACTGCCCTTGTGACTTTGAGCTTGTGCCATAGTTTTTCACCAGTGACATGAGGCGATTGAAAAGAGCCCTAAACTAAGGAGATCTAACTTGAAGTAAGTGAGCTGGAATCAACAGCAGTATATAGTTTAATAGAAAATATATCAATTTTGAAAAATACTTAGATAGTGTCAGGACAATGAACCTAAATTGCTAAATATTAAATCCTCAATTTTTCTCCCTGAAGGAAAAGAGCATTTTTAGACATATAATAATAAGATTTTAAATTTTGAAGTATTATTTATTTATTTATTTTTGGCAAGGCTAGGGTTTGAACTCAGGGCTTCACAGCTTGCAAAGCAGGTACTCTACTGCTTGAGTCACAGCTCTAGTCCATTTTGTTCTGCCCTTTGAAGATTATTTGCCTGAGCAGGCCTCAAACTGAGATTCTCCTGATCTCAGCCTCCCAAGTAGCTAGGATTATAGGTGTGAACCACTGGTGCCTGGCATATTCATTTCTTTTTTCTTTTTGGTAGTACTGGCACTTGAATTCAGGGCTTCATGCTTACTAGGGAGGCATTTTACCACTTGAGCCACTCTACAAGCCTTTTTTTTGTTGTTGTTGGGTATTTTTGAGATAGGGTCTTGTGACCTGTTTGCTTGGGCTGACTTAGAACTGCAATCCTCCTAATCTCTGCCTCCTGAGTAGCTAGGATTACAGGTGTGAGCCACTGGTGCCTGGCTTTATTTTTTTTTAGAGACAGGGTCTCACCGTATAGCCCAGCCTGGCCTTCCTTTCACCACAGCTCCTGAGTGCTGGTATTACAGATGTACGCCATTCGTGCCCTGCTTATTTTGAAGTATTTTTAATACAGAAAGTGATGGAAGAAATAGAAGTGCCTCATTATTGCACTGCCTAGATTTAAAAAAAAATAAAAGTAATAGCATTAAACCCAAGCCTTACAGAAAAGTACTAATTAAAAATAATAATTTCTTCACTCCCCCCATTCCCACGCCCCCATTTCCCTCTTTCCAAAGGGAACTACGATTAATAATTTCTTATATGCATATTATTTATGTATTTATATATTTTTTTCTGCACTTACTGATGCTTTTATTTCTATAGCATAGATTCCCCAAAATTCCTTTCATTGTCGTCATAAACAAAATGCTAAGTAGCTCCTGCCAGTAAGCAACTGACTGACAATGAATCTAAAGGGTGTAAATACCTGTGTAAGCTAAATGCATTTAAGCCACAGGGAAGGGGAAAATCCAGCTAATGTGCAGAAGGACATATGGTGCTATCTGTGTAGGGAGGGAGGCAGACCCAGGTTCAACGGCCTGCCTCCTTTGGTGGCCTCCTTTTGTGGGTAGCACAACCCGTGCACCAAAATGCTGTACAGTTTGAGTGGCCCTTCTACAAAATGCTTGGGGCCAGATGTGTTTCAGAGTTCAGAGTTTTTTGGATTCTGGAGTATTTGTAGACTTTACTAGTTGGGCATCCCTAATCTGAAAACCTGAATCTGACATGCTCCAAAATCAAAAACTAAGTTCCGAAATTTGGAGCATGTTGGATTTTGGAGTTTTGGGTTAGGTAGGCTCAACTTCTATTTTCACATGACAAACACAAAACAGAAAGTAGGAAGAGGTCAGCAGAAAGATTTTTTTTATGTACCTCTGAAATTTCTCCTTTTCATCTTGTTAGAGTGAAGTGACTCTCCTCTTAGTCACTGACAAGGGAGGATGGCTCTTTCAGGATTAGCTTAGACCTGTCATGACTCCCAAACAACCTTCGAGAGAGTGGCCTTCATGTCATTCACCATCAGTGTTTGCCACACAGTGTCCTGCTTTTCTTTTCTGCTCTGCGAGGGTAGCTTTGCGGTACTTTTGGGAACCTGTGTATTTTGAAGTGCCTTTGGGGAAAACAGGAGAAGGCTTTGAGAAATAGATGCATTATTTCTACTCAAATCTGTCACTTTGGGGGTTCCCTTTGGTTTTTTGTTTCCTAAGCCCAGGTTCTTTTTTCTTTTTCTTTCTTTTTTTGATGGTACTGGGATTTGAACTCAGGGCTTTGTTTGCTAGGCAGGTATTTACCACTTGAGCCACACTCCCAGCCCTTTTGTGCTTTAGTTATTTTTCAGCTACACAATGACAGTTCTCCTACCTCCACCTGCCTCCTGCATAGCTGGAATTACAGATGCATACCACTTTGCCCACCTTATTTGTTGAGATGGTGTTTCAGTAACTTTTTGCCCTTGCTGGTCTCAAATGTGATACTCCTGATCTCTGCTTCCTGAGTAACTCAGATTACAGGTGTGAGCTGCCACCCCCACCTTTCACTCTTCTGTTGAAGACAAAGCGAACTCTCTTTGCTCTTCCTCCTTCTCTGTTGCTTTGATACCTTCCCATTCTCAAGGCCCAGAATTTACTTCTGTTAAGTTCAGACACCTGTGAGTTAAGCAGGACCTGGAGGTCAGCATTAGAAAAGATGTCACAGGTAAGTTTGGATATCTCCAAACCCCATACTGAAATCTCTCCAGAGCATCCCTGTCCTGGTGTGTGATCAGAGACATGAAGAGAACTCAGTGGCTTGGGCAGGCAGGCAGGGCAGTCTTTTTCTTCTTTCTTTTTTTTTTAGTATTGGGGTTTGAACTCGGGGCCTCACACTTGCTAGGCAGGCTCTCTGCTACTTAAGCCACACCACCAGCCCAAGGCAGGGCAGTCTTGATGGCCCTCTGGCCACCATCTGGGAGGGCTAGGTCCCAGCTGGATGCTCATCCCCTGAACTTTCCAGCTGATGTCTGTCAGTGAGAGGAGACTGGACTTTCCTGAAACTGAGAGATCCGTAGGAAAACAGAACTTGGGTATGACTTCTAGTGGAGACACTCCCCAAATACCACATATTTATTATTGTGTCCCTGAGGAGCAGACCAGTACCAGTCAGATTTCTCCTTGGGGAAAATTTATTACCAAAGACCTCAGGAATTTGTTCAGGGTCAAAAAAGTCTGTGAGAGCTGAGTTAGAAAGTACCTGAAGATCATTTGAAAAATCACCACTGTGAAGACAAAGAACATGGGCATCGGGGCACAGCTGGATGTAGAATCTTGACTTTTCTGTCCCTGATGTTATGGAACCCTCTTTCATCTGAGCATCTTTTCCCAAGGTCGCACTCTCCTGACAACCTGGCTCTTCTAGATAAAACACTAGAATAGTTTCTTATAAAGATTTTAGATGATTCAGAGCTTTTTGCTGTGCTGTTGTCAGTCTTGATCGATACACAGGATGTTGCCATACTTTGCTCTTTAAAATCATGCGGAATTTTTTCTCCCTTGTTTTACCTGGTTCATGGGCGGTCTCTTTGCCTTGTCTAGATCACTGTCATCTTCCTGAAAGATGAGGAGCCGCACTCTTTGCCTCTCATCATTGGCAGCAGCATCGGTGGCCTTCTGGTTTTGATTGTGATTATAGCCGTCCTGTTCAAGGTCAGTTCTACTCGTTGTTTTCATAAGGGTGAGAGAGGGCTAGACCCTAGTGTTGGGTACAGTACCCTCTAGGACAGCCAACCCTGAACCTAGAACAGCTATCCTGGCCTTGTGGCCACTTTTCCCTCCCGCTTCAATCACATACCCTGTTTTAGGTGAATGAATCAGACAGTTTTGGCCTGAAAAAATAAGAGTCTCATTGAAGTTTTGGTATATATAGAGAGCTGCCTAAAATGGATCTGATTGTTGTTCCCCTTTTAAAATGATTTCCTTGTCTTCCCCTACTGCTTTTCAAGACCCTCTACTCTCTGTCCTCTGCCACTCTCTGCCCCTAAGTCTTGCTTTTCCTTCCAGCCCAGTTGCACTGTTCCCTAAGCAAGTCATATCTCTCTGCTTGCCAGGGGAATAGCCTGTCCCCACTTTTTTCACTTTGCTCTCACTCTTTCCTGAAAACTGATCCTGGAGACTCCTGGATTATCTGAGCTGTGTTAGGTGTTCTGTGAGCTCTCTTCTGAAACCCTTCTACTGTGGCAGCCGTCACATGTGGTAACTATTTCCCTTTCTACTAGATTCTGAGCTTCTGGATGTAGGAGGTTGTGTTTGAACTCTTTTCCTAGCATGACAGGCTGAAGTGAGTATTCTTCCATAGACAGGATTTTATGCAGCTAAAATGATAAGGCTTTGTAGAATGCGTTAAGCTAAAAGGGTTCAAGTGCTCCAGAGGTTCAGAGGAAGGCGGAAGGTCAGCTCTGATTGTAAAATGAGCTCCATGAAAGACAGCACTGAAGAAGAGTCTGGAAGGATTGACTTTCAGAGGAGGGTGGGGAGAAGAAGTATGAGAAGCAGAGCTGTCTAGAGGATATATGGGCAACAGCCAGAATGTCAGTTCTAAAACAGATGGATATTTTACACCTGTAACTGGGCTTCCCCCTCTTTGTTTCAGTGTGGCTTTTTTAAAAGAAAATATCAACAACAGAACTTGGAAAGCATTAGGAAGGCCCAGCTGAGATCAGAAAGTCTGCTCACAGAAGAAAACTAGGACCTGCTTCCTGTCCATTGGGAGAGAAAACCAGCCAGTGCCCGAACTTCTACAGATTTGGTGTCATACTGCTTCCTCTTTCCATACAGGATGACCTAGAGCAGCATAGAACAAATTGTAGCATATTGTTTTGTTTTGTTTTTTAATTTTAATCCTCCTTAGGAGAGGATTAAAGTCATGTGGGGAGTATCTAGTATGTCTCTATTTGAATTTTTTTTGGCAGTACTGGAGATTGAACTCAAGGCTTCACACCTGTGAGGCAGGCAGGCCGCCTTGTAACCACTTGAGCCTTGCCTCCAGCCCAAACATATTGTTTTTTAACTACACATTGTCTCCAAAGCCTCTGTGCATTCTGTGAAAAGGAAAGTTGAAAAACATTTGGTATTAAATAAAGGTAAAGTGTTTTCTTTACAATAGTGCCTTTAATATGCAAATATTCTTTATGATTTGCAGTAAATTTTGATACCTGATAAGCCAAGTTTTCATTCTTATTTTGTAAAAAAGTACTGAATGTATTCTTTCAGATAAATCTTAACATCAGTTTTTCAGATTTCCAAAAGAAACCCTCTAAGGATTTATTTTAAATGTAGATTAAGTTAGGCAACATTGATATCTTTTTTTTTTTTTTTTGATGGGACTGGAGTTTGTACTGTTGGGTCTGGGGGCCTAAAGGACAGATGAGTGAGTCAGTATCCCATCCCTGCATCCTGAAGAGGAGATGCAAGGTCTCCTAAGTCTGTCTCAGGGCTGATGAACAAAATGCTCTCAAGGTTGTTTCCCCCCATAAGGAGTGTCAGGCGTGTTGGCTGTCTCATCAGGCTCTGTCTAGAAGGTCTGTGTGCTTGCAGCAGCCCCCTTTTGGCTTTTTACTTACTCAGAAAGTGTTTCCAGAACCCACCTTCATATCCATCCCCACCCATGTCCCTCTTCCCACAGAAGTGCTGCTGCCTCTTGTGCAGCACCCCTCCTCGGAGGCTCAACCCCACTCATCACACCTCATGCCTGCAGCCACCTGTTTATAAATACGTAAAAATTTCAAAAGAGCTAATTACATTAAAATATAATCGGTATCTTAAATTGTGATATAGGAATTTATTAATTCATTGAAACAGCAAGTCTAATAACTACCTTTCAAAATAGTGTTGAGTTTAAAGTGTACTTAGAGATATCTGCAATACCTATAATATGATGGGAAAATATCCATAATTTCTACTGGTGTCTATGAGATCACAGGCACTGCTATTTACCATGTGGTTTTTGCCTACATCCATAATTGAAAGAAATGCTAAATTTCAGGGGTTTTTCCCATCCACCTTCACAGTGTATGCTCCCACTCAGTGTGCTCTGGTCCTATTTAAGAAAGCATGTGTCCTACATAGGCTTTGTACTTTTTTTTTCTTCCTTTTCTTTTTTCCCTCTCTTTTGAGACAGGGTCTCTGGCATCCACCTCTTGAGTGCTGGGATTAAACAACCTATCTGAGCTTTGTAAATTTGTTTTTTTTTTTTTACTTTGCGGTACTGGGGTTTGAACTCAGAACCTACACCTTTAGCTACTCCACCAGCCCTTTATTTGTGATGGATTTTTTTGAGATAGGGTCTCATGAACTGTTTGCCTGGGCTGGCTTCGAACCACCGTCTTCCTGATCTCTGCCTCTTAAGTAGCTAGGATTATAGGTGTGAGCCACCAGCACCGAGCGAGCTTTGTACTTTTGCTGTCAATCATCACCATCACTCCAGGTGATACTGTCTGTTTTATGGAAGAGGAAACAGCTTGCCCAAGGCAGTAAGGCCAGTGCATGACAGAGCCATTGCTACAGTAGGTTTTTGGATCCTGAGTCTCCTGCGGTTTTGTTTATTTGTTTTTTCATAAAGGCTTCATTTCAGACTGGGCAAGGCATGGGGGACAGCCCCAAAGTGGAGTGTACTTTTCAGACCTGCATTGGTGGAAGAATGGCTTGCAGAGCTTAACTGATCAGGTCCCATGGCCCCATAAGGGTGTAATGCTCTAGGTTTAGGAATATGCTTTCTTGGCACACTCCAGACTCTAGATGATTTTGATTTAAGACCGTATTCTCTTGTGAGATCAGGGTTTGTGCATCTTATTGCACACTGTCAGGCCCACACTCATACCTGACTAAAAGTTGCTTCAAGAGACAAATGTAACTTAACAGAATGACCTTTGTTGAAATCTTTCATGAACATACACACAAAAATAAAGGCTTGATTGTTCTACCTTGCACACTTCAAGTAGGCAGGTCAAAACAGATTCATTCATTCTTCCTTCGCCCATGCTTTTGCCTGCTTCTCAGGCTGTGTGGGCCAAACTGGTAAAACCTTTTCCTGCACTTGTATCCCAATTTGACAGATAACTGCGACAGCAAGGAGTTATCAGTGAGCTTTGACTTTTGTAGACTCCTTCTGTGGGCATTTAGAGGAGACATATGCCTGTAAGCTAGGCAGGATTGAGGCAGGATTCGCCTGGGCAGAGGCCCTCAGATTGGAAAATGAAGGATGCGATAAAGCAGGTCACGTCCACTAATCTGGTTGAAGCCGATTGTGCACCATGGAGAATATGAGGCTGGAAAGATTTTTGTTTTGCCTTTAAATTTTTTTTATTAGGATGTATTCATTGTACAGGGAGGATTCATTGTAACAATTCTGAATAGACTTACATTATACACTGGTTAGATTGTCCCTACTATCTCCCCATCCCACTTAAAGCAATTGCAAGAGGTTTCATTGTTCTAGTTCACATACATATATGAGACCCATCAACCACATTCCCTCACCTTAATCTCCTTCATTCACCTCCCGCCTTCCCACAAGTACCCCTGCCAGGTATCTATTTCACAGTCCTGTCTTTCATTAATTCCAAAGTCAATGTTCAAAGGGGTTTCTCAGTTTATCCCACTATGAGTGTACTCTACTTTGGTCAGTTCAACCCCTTCCCTTACTCCCCCTTACCCCTCCCTCCCAACCCCCATTATTCAATAGCTTTCAGTGCATATCATTGTGTCCTCTACCTGCACAGATGTAATGGATTTCGATGTTGTTGATGCTCCATCATTCTCTTTTCCTTTCCCTCCTCCCCTAAGTTCCACAGAGCACTTCCACTGTTACAAACATGTTCTGCATATAAGTTTGTTTGCTTTTGTGTGTATGTTTATCTTTTGGATCTATCTTCCACGTATGAGAGAAAACAGGTGACCTTTGTCTTTCTGCACCTGGCTTACTTCACTTAACAGGATGTCCTCCAATTGCATTCATTTACCTTCAAACCACATGGTGTCATTCTTCCTTATGGCTAAATAAAACTCCATTGTGTGTATATACACCACAATTTCTTGATCCATTTATCAGTCATTTTCATAGCTTGCTTATTGTGAATAATGCTGCAATAAGCATCGGTGTGCAAGTGACTCTGTTTGTATCCTGACTTGCATTCCTTTGGATATATGCCAAGGAGTGGTATCACTGGATCACATGGCAGTTCTGTCTTTAGCTTTTTGGGGAATCTCCATACTGCTTTCTATAATGATTGTACATTATACAATGCATTATTGCATTATGCATTATTGCATTCCCACCAACAGTGGGTTCCTGTTTTACCACATCCTCACTAGCATTTGCTGTTGTTTTTGCTCACCCCGATTCTAGTCGGGGTGAGATGAAAAATCTTAGTGTAGTTTTGATTGCATTTCTTTTATACCCAGGGAAGTTGAACAATTCATGTATTTATTAGCCATTTGTACCTCTTCCTTGAAAATTCCCTATTCAATTCATGTGTCCATTTCTTCATTGGATGTTGATTCTTTGGGGGTTGAGTTTTTTAAGCTTCCTGTAGATTCTGGATATTAGTTCCTTATTGGATGAATAGCTGGCAGATTTTTCTCCCATTCTGTGGGCTGTCTCTTAAGACTGTTTCTTTTGCTTTTTAATTTGAGGCAGTCCCATTTGTTCATTCTTTCTCTTAGTTGTTGAGCCACTAGAGTTCTATTTAGTTAAGTCATTGCCTATGCCTATATGTTCCAGTGTATTTTCTACTACTTCCTGTAGTTGTTTCAAAGTTTCAAGACTTATTTTAAAGTTTTTGATCCACTTTGAACTGAATTGGTACAAGTTGGGAGGTAGGGATCTAGGTTCAGTCTTTTATATGTGGATATCCAGTTTTCCAGGCTGGATTTTGTGCACAATCTGTGGAGCCACAGACACCTCTGTGTTTTATGTGAGGATTTCACATTCATTCTTCCCACTGCAGTCCTGTGACCTGAGAGCAGGGGATGGATGAGAAACTTCTTATAGGACAGTGTGGGAGCAGGAGGAACATGGAGAAGCAGGGTTTGCTCTGAGATATGCCATACCAAAGTTATTGCCCAATGTGGTGACTTTGATTGACTCAAGTTTGAATCTGCATCTATTTTAGTACCCAGTGAACTAGAATTCATCTCTTTACTGTTTCTTCTTTTTAATTTTTTTTTTCAGTGCTAGGGAAAGGAACATAGGACTTTGCAAATACTGGTCTACCACTCAGCTACATCCTCAGTCCTTGTGTTTTTCAGACAGGCTCTCATTATGTAGCTCAGGCTGGCCTCAAACTCCTAATCCCTCCTGCCTCTACCTCCCAAGTGCTGTGATTGAAGGTGTGCACCACCATGCCCAGCTACCTTAATTATTTTTAAGTGTTTAATATCTTGGTAGGGTTTTTCCTCAGATTTTCAGAGCTAGGTAGTAAATACAGTCATCAGCCTAGATGGCTTATGGTCACAGGAATGCTTCCCACAGAGAGGAGCTTCCTTTTCCCTGCTGACTGTATTTAAGCAACATTAATAATGCATCTACTAGTTCTTACGTGGATCAGAAATGTCTATTAATGGAATATTTTGGTCCCAGCAGGCTTCACAGAGCAAAAGGAAAATTAAGGACAGATTGACCCTTGGCAAAACCCTTCTGTGTCAAGTCTTTCCCACGTTTGTCTCTGTCTTCAGGATCTGCATATCTCTGATGGAAGCTGGGTCATCCTGTAATGATCTTTTGTGCTTCAGGATAGTTACAAATCTACCTCCTGGCTTTCCCTCTCTTTTGGGGTGGGCAATAGAGTTTACTTGTGTAAACTGAACCTCCACTCCCAAGAATTATATTATTTTGTGGAATTTATTATATTTTTTTGCAGTACTGGGGCTTGAACTCAGGGCCTACACCTTGAGCCACTCGACTCCTTTTTGTGAAGGAGTTTTTTTTTTTTTAAACTGTTTGCCTGGGCTGGCTTCAAACTGCAATCCTCCTGATCTCTACTTCCTGAGTGGCTGGGATTACAGGCTGAGCCAGCAGTGGTTGGCATATTTTGTGGAATTTTTGTTTTCCTCATTTCTGTTTAGTCTCCTTTAATGTCCTGGAGATAAAGAGCCTCTTAGAGGGGAGGCTTTATTCAACCCTCCCTAGGGAGCCCATGTGTCTTTGGAGGATACAGGGGTGACCAAGTGGCACCTCTCAGCAGTGATGGAAACAGTGAAGCTATTGGTAAGTCTCCTGTGGCCAGCCACCTGCAGCTGGCATTTTCTCTTTCAGATGGCCTTTCTGTTCATCTCCTAGAGAAATGGGAAATTTTCTGGATTGACAGGGGATTCCCCTGCCTCTAAAGTCTCATCCCACTGCACCACTGAGAAACATTTGCTGTGATCATGGCAGTGAAGATCATTTTACCATAGGGCTCTAAAGAATCAAGGAAAGCTGCATTTAAAGCAGCCAGCAGTGGGAGTGAGGATGTGGCTCAGTGCTTCAACAGGAGCTTAGCATTCCCAAGACCCTGGGGTTGATCCATAACAATTTAAAAAAAGAAGCAGTTTTTCTCTCTAGGGGAGAATTCATGTTGATTTTGGAAATGTCCCTAACTCAGAGTTTTCACAATGCCAATGTAAAAAAGCAGGATTCTTCTCTTTGGTACAGTAGGTGTTAAACCTGAACTTGTGGGGATGGTGAGTTGGCCCCAGCCATGACCTGGATATAGAATGCAGATATTCTGGCACAATTTATACATAGTTCTTCACATTATTCTGACTTTGATCTGCAGGAAGAAATATAGTCAGCTAGAATTTTCTGTAGGGGTCAAGATAGGCTTAGTGCTTTCCGTTCTTAAGAAGTTCACAACAGAGATCTCCAACACAGACACCCTGGGTTCTCTGTGTCCCTCACATTTCTTCTCTGCCAATTGTTACCACAAAATTCTCAAATAACCCAATGCTTAGAGCAACCTCTGAACAAGGGATCCAAAATTCCTTGTCAGACAAACAGCAAAAGCCCAAATGGTTCAGACAAAACACAAATGGTCCAGAAGACCCTCCAGATAGCAAAGAAAAGGAAGGTGAATGCCAGAGGTGCACCAATAATGGTGATCTCACAAGGTCAGATGACAGGACCCCTACAGTCCCAATGCTTGTCTCACTAAATGATGTTATAAAGCAGCTGATGCTGGCCAAAGTGGAAAGATAAGAAATCCCTGAAATAAAAGCAATTCCAGCAGCTGCAGGGAACCCATTCCATCTTTCTCTCCATCAAGGGTCGACTAGCTGTGAGTGACTAGCGCCTGAAGTTTGCATTTTCTCCTGGTGCGGCTCATCAAAGCTGAAACCAGAGTTTTGGACCCAAGGCTCAAACTCCTGGGATTCCACTCCAGGTCCAGCCACTTGCCCCTATATACCAAATATGGAGCCATGGTGAAGGACAGAGAAAAGAGATTTATTGCACGGCTCGGGACATGCTGTGGCAGATGAGCACTCAGTCTATCTTCAGCTATCTTCAGGGTACAGACATGAGCTATAAATTTAAGTAGACAAAAGACCTGGGGGCAGAGGACAAAGGGTATGCATAATTAAACAGTTCCAGTCATAGATGTGGTCCGGTTGGTTATCATCTTAGTTCTTGTTTTGTGATAAGTTCTGGAGCTGTTATCTGGAGGGTGGTCCATCCTGAGGAGGCTCTACTGTTGAGGGTAGTTTCTGCCCCTTCTCATGAAGATGTGATCAGTTTTGTCTTTTCTGGAATCCAAGATGATTGCAAAGTGACTGTGGAAAGAATGGCTTACAGCAAAGACAGATACAAAATAAAGGACAGATGCCATGCTTTTCTCCTGCGTTTAGTTAATTTATGGGCCTGAGTAAGAAAATCATGCTTTTCAGCAAAAGTAGTTTGAGTACCTTTTACAGTTTCACAAAGGGCAGGCATTCCAGCTTTTCCAGTGGGACACACAGTAGGTGCTCAGTAAAGGTTTGACAAATTAGAATGGAAGAGCTAATTGGACATGGTGGCACACATTTATAACCCCAGCACTTGGTAGGTGGAGGTCGGAGGACAGCAAGTAGGAGGCCAGTCTGGGCTAAATAGAGAGTCCCTGTCTTACAAAACCAAACCAAACCAGACAACTCCCCCTAAAACAAAACACAAACAAACAAAAGGCCCTGGACTGGGGCTCTGCTGTGTGACTTGGGTGCCTTAGAACACTTCCCCTTGGGGATTCCTCCACAGAACAAACAGACCTGACCACAAAGCCTGGAGCCCCCTTTGGGGAGTGGAGGGGCTCATCATGGCACTTTCTTCTCAGTCGCTTGCGCAGGGGCGGGCAACTCAGGGTCTTGGCCAGCTCTACAAGTCCACCTTTCCTCTGTGCCCTACCCTGAGCAGTGCTCTGGGGTTGGTGGCATCTTTACCATTTGATGTCTTCCTAGCTTGATGCTTCCCCACTGGCTGCTCCAGAGCTCGGTGAGGGAGGGCTGGGAAGGAGGCAGGGGCTGGAGAGACTTCAGCATCTCCAGTCATAGCTAGGACAGAATGACAACTCCAAATGCCCTCCCTTTTTAAAGGAAAGCAGACCTGGACCACTCATTCAGCAAGTACGAACAGAACGATATTATGTGTGAGACCTGGTGCTGAGCCTGTGACAGAGATGTCCAAGACAAAGTCCCTGCCCTCTTGCAGCAGCTAATCTTAGTGGGACAAAGTCAACAATTAATGAAATCATTGGAGACAGTGAGAACTACTGATCCAGTAATCCCATGGGATCATGGGATTAGACAGTGATGGGGGATGACTACTTTGGGTGAATGATAATAAAGGGGCCTTTCTTAGGAAATGGCATTGGGCTGAACTTGAGGTGTAAAGATCCATGCTTTCCAAGTGACAGTTTGAGAGTAAAATACAGATTCCGAGGCCCTATCCTAGACTTAGCGAACGAAAAATTTAAGGGCAAGGCCCAGGAATTTACCTTTTCTCTTCTGTTAAAAGTGGAGGCCTTCTTCCTTAGGGCCTTCGCGTTTAGAGAGACTCAGATCCTGGGAACTTTAGGGTCTCTTCCACCTCTCAGAGCCTATGGTTGGGGCAAGAGCGCTTCTCCTTTTAGGCAAGAAGGACATGCAGGGACAAGGAGAGGAGCAGGGCTGATGGTGCTCAGGTCAGATCTCAGATCCATGACTGACACAAAGCTTAACCCACTGCCTCCGCTCTGTTCAGGGTCAGGGTTTCAGGGTCTCTTGCTTTGGGAGCTACTCTGCCTGCAGGCATACTTTATGACCCTGGGCCTTGCTTGCTTATGTCTCCCCACCCACCCCACCTGAAACATCTTGGCAGCTGCTTTCCTAGGACTGTGTGGTTTTTAACCTTGCAGCCTCTGCTGCCTCAGAAATGCCCACTTGACTGACAGCAGTCAGGACTGGACAAGGGTTTCTGACAACTTGTGTGGTGAGGGCCCAGGAAGCCCAGGCAGCAAGTAAGATCTGCCCCACACCTCCAGAGGATGCTGGCTTCACTTCCACTTGCTGTGCTCTGGATTTCTGCCCCGGCCGGCCTCAGTTTCCTCGTCTGTTCAATAGGGAGAACCCTTTGGGATTTTTCTGGGAGGAGAGAAAGGGCGGCGAGTTGGGGGTGGCCTTGAAAAAAGCCCTCCTCTCTCATTCTCACCTCCTCACTCCTGCCCAGCGATCGGCGCGGCCCTGCGGACTCCGAGTGCCCGCGCGCACCCGTGCGGGGAGGACGGCGGGTGGTGGTACTGTGTCAGCGCAGGCAGCGGTGGCAAGGTCGCAGGCTGCAGCTCTGCTCCCCGGCAGCGCGGCCCGTTCCAACACTCGCGTCCCGCGCGGCAGCGCCGACGCACAGCGCCCCGCCGGCCGCCGGGCAGCGGGAGGCGGCGGCTCCCATGCGGCACACGTGGGGCTGGACGCTCGGCAGGCCCGGGTGAGCCTGCGGCATGGGGCAGGCAGGCTGGAAGAGCCTCCTTCTGTCGCTGTTCGACTACAAGACCGAAAAGTATGTGGTCGCCAAGAACAAGAAGGTGGGGCTACTCTACAGACTGCTGCAGCTCTCCATCCTGCTCTACCTGGTGGTGTGAGTTGGTGACACTTTCGGGAAGCTGGGGGAGGGGCGCGAGGAAGGGGCGGCGGCCGGCGGGCCTTCTCCCCGCTGGAATCCCGCCCGCGTGCACGTTCCAGGCTGTGGGCCCTGGCTAGAAGGGACCCTTCCGGGCCTCGGTTACCACCACCCCTGTGAGATGTGGCCAGGGGCTCCTTGATTTATGAGGCCGTCACAAGGCAGCGAAGCCCCCAGTGTTAGAGTCATGGAGGGGGCAGGAATTCAGGGGCTGGGCTGCTGCCGCCCCTGGGCCTCTGCCAGACAGCTGGCCCGGCCACCCGGACAGGTTATTTATAATCACTGAACGTCAGTGTCTCACCCTTGGCTGGGTCACCTCATCGGCCTGGCATGTTCTGAGCCTCCTTGCGGTCACCTCACTGCACCAGTGGCCACCTTGCTAGTAATCAGCTAGGGGTCCTGCCCAGGGGCCTCTACCCTCTCCTCCAGGTCCACTGTCCCCTTCCCCTATCTCCATACCACCTAGCAGGTGCTGGTGCCACCAGCCTAGGGAACAGCTCTTTGGGGTTGCTCAGGCCATGCCTGGTCAGAGCCTTCATCCCTGGAAGAGGGGAGGGAACAGGTGGAGACCGGCAGCAGTGTGGAAGAACTAGCATGGCCTTCTTTTACTCATTCAGTATATGCTGCCCTGCCACCTCCTCCTGGGAGGGCAGCCCTGATCTCACCTTGCTCCCTCCTAGAGGCCAAGCAGTCAGCATTCCCTGAGCATCATCCCTGAGGCACCTCAGGGTCTTTGTACGTGCTGTTCCTTAGCCAGCCATGCTCATCCTCCTTTATTTGTTTAGCCTTCTCTCATTCTCCAGACATGGTTCTCAAATAACTCCCTCAGCTTTCTTCCTTGGCATTCCCACGGTGTAATTATAAGCTAATTTGGGGGATCATTCGCTCAGTGTGTATCTCTGACCTCATCCCAGCCTGGAAAAGCCCTATGGGTAGGGCCTGATCTCGTCCCTAGGGAACGAGTGTGAAATGAATGAGTAAATGAATTAAGGTGCTCCTTAAAGGTTTGCCTAATGTTACTGTTAGGGCCAGGACCAGTGCATCTCTCCTGAAGTGACTGGTGGGCTCAAAGTTCACAGCCTTCTCAGAGTTCCCTGGAGATGTGGTGACAGCCTAGTGCCCAAGGCTCCACAACGCACCCCGGATACGAGGAGGTGGGCCCATGCCGGTTGACACCTGCTATGCCCAGAACTCTCAGTGACTCCCTGGACGGATGACTTCCTGCTCTCTTGGCCCCAATTTTCCCAGTTCCACTGGGATATCTCACGTTGACAGAAGCAGTAAGGTGATGAGTTGTGTGCAGAGCTTTCCCATGCCGGGCGCTCGCTGTGCTGAGCCTTTGACAGCTGCCTCCCATTTATGAATTTATCTTTTGTATTTGATGCAATTTTAGATTTACAGAAAAGTTACAAAAATAGTACAAAAATTATCGAATGTCCTTTACCTAGATTCCCAGGTGTTGACATCTTGCTCTTTGGGTGTCCTTCTCACATTCTCTGTGCACATGTTCACATATAGCAACTTCTGAATGCCTCAAGGGCAGATTTCAGGGATCCACTGCTGGTGTATTTCTTTCTTTCTTTTCAAATTTTCTGTGCATTTCTTTAATGAAATAAGAATTTTCTTGATTATAGACACATGGCTTAAAACTTTATTCATCCTGCAGACATGCGTTCTCCTTTTTTTTTTTTTTAGATTATTTCTTATCACATGCTTTATTTGGACTTAAACACTTGTAATTTCATTCTAAACACTTGGTTGACATACATTTTGATGTGTGTAGTTAGGATATACAGAATATACAAACTAAAGCTATATGAATAATACATAGGACATGCGTTCTCAAACAACTCTCTCAGCTTTCCTCCTTGGCATTCCCACAGTGTAATTATAAGCTAATTTGGGGGATCATTTGCTCAGTGTGTATTTCTGACCCTGTCCCAGCCTGGAAAAGCCATATGGGTAGGGCCTGATCACGTCCCTAGGGAAAAGTGTGAAATGAATGAGTGAATGAATTTGTTCTCATTGTAAATTATCATTCTCCACAGAATATTTCTTTTATTGGGAGTACTGTGGTTTTGAATTCAGGACCCTGAATTCAAGTGCTTGCTAGGCAAGTGCTTTACCACTGGAGCTACCCCCCTACCCCGTCCTCTTTGGTTTTAGTTATTTTTCAGGTAAGGTCCAACATTTTTGCCCAAGGCTGGCCTCAGATCTTGGTCCTCCTACCTATGGCCTCCCATTGTGTGCCACTATGCCCAGCTTTTATTGATTGAGATGAGTCTCTCTAACTTTTTTCCGAGGCTGACCTGAACCATGGTCCTCCCGATCTCTGCCTCCTGAGTGGCTGGGATTACAGGCATGAGCCACCATGCCCAACTTAAAAGTTTTTGGTGAAGCCCCAACTTACTAGTTTTTCTTTTGCTACTAAAGAATGCAGGATTTTTTCTCCCAGTGCTGGGGATAAAATTCAGGGCCTTGCACATGCTAGGCAAGCACTCTGTCACTGAGTTACATCTCTGGTTCTTCGATTGTTTTTTTTTTTTCTTGGTGGGACTGGTTACTGGTACCCATCTTACCCCCACCCCCACCCCTGGTACTGGGGATGGAACCCAGGCCTCATGCATGCTGGGCAAACACTCAACTACTGAGCTGGAACTATATTCCCAGCCCTGTTTTGTTTTGTTTTTTGGCAGTACTGGGGTTTGAACTCAGGGCCTCACTCTTACTAGGCAGGTGCTCTACCACTTGAGTCATTCTGCCAGCCCTTTTTTATGTTGGATTTTTTAAATGCTTTTATTAGCATATAATAGTTGTACAGAGGGATACATTGTGATATTTACATATATACTTAAAATATATCTTAGTTGGATTTATCTCCTCCATCCTTCTCCCTCTTCCTCCCTCCCCCCATCTTAGAACAATTTTGACAAGTTTCATTCTTCTATTTTCATTTATGTGTGTTGGATGTTTTTGAGATAGGGTCTTACAAACTATTTGCCCAGGCTGGCTTTGAAGCGCCTCCTGATTGCTGCCTCCTGAGTAGCTAGGATTAGAGGCGTGAGCCTCGAGTGCCCAGCTGGTCCTTGGTTTTTTTTGAGACAGAGTCTTACTATGTAGCCTAGGCTGTCCTCAAACCTGTGATCCTCCTGCCTTTGCCTCTGAGTGCTGGGATTACAGGTGTGCACTACCGCACCTGTTCTTTTATTTCATAGACTGCCCCTCACTTTAGGTTTGTCTGAGGTCTCCTCACGACTAGTTTCAGGTTCTGCACCATCTGTCTCATTTAAGCACCCCATGAATCCTGTAGGAGGCACTGTTATCCTCACATCAGGCTGGGAAACCTTCCCCATGCTCCCAGAGCTAATCTTCTTGCCTGGTGTCACGCAGCCAGTTCATGGCTTAGCTGGTTTCAGCCGAGGCCTTCCCGATTTGGAACCTCAACCCTTGAGAGCAGTGGTCTTTGCCTCTTTAAAGCCCCTGCTTGTCACCTCTGCTGCTTGCTGGGCTGGGTTTTAGACAGCAGTGGGAGCTGTATCCCCGGTCCAGGAGCCAGTAAGACAGGTGGAGCATTTCTATCCACCAAGGAGCTACTGACTCCCACCCCAGCCTGGACCTGGACAGCCATGTGGCTGATGCCTACCTGCTGGCCCCCTTCCCACAGATGGGTGTTCCTGGTGAAGAAGAGTTACCAAGATACTGACACCTCATTGCAAAGTGCTGTTGTCACCAAAGTCAAAGGCGTGGCCTATACCAACACCTCTGCGCTTGGGGAGCGGCTCTGGGATGTTGCTGACTATGTCATCCCATCCCAGGTTTAACTCCCACCACTCCCAGGCATGGGGGCCCAGGCTAGTGGCATGTGGTTTGGGGGTGGGTCACACAGGAAGCTGCTGGGGTACCCGGGAACTTCTATCTGTTGTCTTCCTTGGCCTGGGATGCAGAGACCCTGTCCAGATCCTTTTCCCCACTCCAAATCCTGCCTTCTTTTTTTTTTTTTTCAATTTTTTTATACTTTAATAATTTTTTCCCACCCCCTGTTCTTCCTGACTCCCTATCCCCATCCACCTGTACAAACCCTGCCCTCTATTCTGTGCCTGGCATGGCTGCTCTGTTTCCAGTGATCTCTGAGTCTGTTAAGACCACATAGGGCCCAGACAACTTTCAGGTCATTGTGATCAGATGGCCTTGCACAGAGAACCCCCCCTTTATCTTCCAGTGCCCCCTGGGAATAGCTCCCCAGGGCAATCATCCTGGGCCAGGGTCAGGGCCTCCCAGTTCTGAACTTGGACCCCAGGCTAAGGTGAAATAGGGATTCATCTGGTGGGGACCCTTGGGGTTGGTGGGCCTGGAAGGAACCCATCACATGATATCTGCTCAGAAACTGCAGGTCAGTAAGCAATGGACAAAGTCCCTTAATTTTGTGGCCCCATTGTCCCCAGCACCAATGCGAAGGCACCACTCCCACCAGACAGCCCTAGCTAGGAGGGTTCACAAGAGGGTAGGCAGCGGTTCTTCAGCCCCTCTCTGGTTCCTCAGGGGGAGAATGTCTTCTTCGTGGTCACCAACCTGATCGTGACTGCCAATCAACGGCAGGGCATCTGTGCTGAGGTTTGATTTGGCATGGGGAAGTAGTGAGAGGTGGGTGGGCCACCAGCTATGGTTGGGGTCAACACCTTTTCCGAAGTGGGTGGCTTCTGTCTTCTCCAAGGGTTCTGGGAGGCTGTGGGCACCTGGCATGGTGCTTGCATCGTTTGGTGGAGGAGGAGGGTGTTTGACCCCAGACAAGGGAAGAGCCCCTTTTCTAGCCCCTGGGTAGGGCCTGGCCCTGAATTTAGGGTTCCCACACAGGAGTCTTTCTTTCCTGGCAGCGTGAAGGCATTCCTGATGGCAAGTGTTCTCAGGACAACGACTGCCATGCTGGGGAGCCTGTTATAGCTGGGCATGGTAAGGACTTGGAGTAGCCAGGGCTGGAAGGAGGGGAAGGGGACCTGGGCTGGAGGCTTCTGGCATTGTCCTTGTCCCACCCCTGCAGGAGTGAAGACTGGCCGCTGTCTGCGAGTGGAGAACTCAACCAGGGGCACCTGTGAGATCTTTGCCTGGTGCCCAGTGGAGACACAGTCCAGGCCAACGTGAGTAGCCATGACCTGGGGCCCTTGAGGAGTTGCACAGTCCCATGTAGTGGGTCCAGCTTGAGGGCAGTGGCATGTCCAGTGTAGGAGTCTCATTCTGAGGAGGTGTCAGGACATTCCAGAGGAACCTGAGGATCATACCAAGAAGAGAGAATTAACTGTCCTTGGCAAAGGCTCCAGGGGGCCGGGCACCAGTGGCTCATGCCTGTAAACCTAGCTACTTAGGAGGCAGAGATCAGGAGGACCAGGGTTCGAAGCCAGCCCAGGCAAACAGTTCACGAGACCCTATCTCAAAAATGCCTAACACGAAAAGGGCCGGTGGAGTTGCTCAGGGTGTAGGCCCAATTAGTTCGAGCCCTGGTACCAAAAAAAAAAAAAGGCTCCAAGGGGCTCAGGGGACAAGGCCTCAGCCCTGCCACAGGTCTGGGGAGGTGTGGAGGGTGGGGCAGGGCCTCCTGCTTAGGTTGTCCTGGACTGGTTTTCCAGGGAGCCACTCCTGAGGGAGGCTGAAGACTTCACCATTTTCATAAAGAACTTCATTCGCTTCCCTAAGTTCAACTTCTCCAAGTAAGTGGGTTTGGCTACTGGGGTCCAGGGGTGGAGCCTCAGGACCTTGGTTGACTTTCCCTGTGGCTGTACCTGGGCCCAGGTGCATGTTGTGAATGTGTATGTGGTGTCTGTATGTGACTGAACCTCAGGTGACACTGGAGTGCCCCTTCCCCTTCTCTGGGGGGTGGGTTCTATGGCTGACTGGAGTAAGAGGTGAGCTAAGGGGGTAGTCAGGTTGAGCCCAGGAACAGTCTCACCCTCATTTCTTGGCTTCCCCCAGGGACAATGTATTGGAAGTGAGCAACAGAGATTTCCTGAAATCTTGTCGCTTTGGCCCCAAGAATCGCTACTGCCCCATCTTCCATTTGGGGTCCGTGGTCCGCTGGGCAGGGAGCAGCTTCCAGGACATAGCCCTGGAGGTGGGTGATATGCGCCAAGGGAGCCCTCCCTGAGGGCCTAGGCTCTACAAGAGGAGGCGAGTGTGGAGGGGGACCTGTAGGGCGGGGGTGGCCCTGCAAAGAAAGTCACCTGCCCCCAGGAGCTCATTGTCTTCACAATTAGCTGTGACACATGGCCAGGCTGTGCCAGCCACTCTGTGTGGAGGGGACCTGGCCATCTGCTGTGTAGTCCTGCTCAGTCCTCAGGGCATCAGCAGATATGAGGCAGAAAGAGGCTCCTGGGTACATCCGTGGTTTGTGTGGGAAGTCCCTGTGCATGCATGGTGCTCGCTGTGGGCAGTTTGCCCCCTGCTCTCCTAGGAGTAAAGGGCGCCCACAAGGGGGCTGAGGGAAGGCGGCTTCCTTAGCTTCCAGAGCTGGGGCCAGAACTTCCTGAAGGCTAGTCTAGCAGGCTGTCTCTGGCCTTAGCCTTCACTCTTGTGACTTCTGTCCATCAGCCCTGGGCACTGACCTTGTCTCTTGTATCAAGGGTGGTGTGATAGGAATTCATATTGAATGGGACTGTGACCTTGATAAAGCTGCCTCTGCATGCAACCCACACTATTATTTTAACCGTCTGGACAATAAGCATACAAAGTCTGTCTCCTCTGGATACAACTTCAGGTAACTGCTGCTTTGTGCAATCTCGTGACCCTGATCATGCTCTATGTCCTTCCCTTGGTGCCAGCGCTGTGACACCTCTGTGTTGGGGTGGGAGTCAGAGCAGGAGGTACAGGGAGAGATAACTGAGGAGACAACTGTTGTGAGTGCCTCTGGCCAAAAGTGTGTGTGTGGGGGGGGTTGTTTACTTTTGTCCTGTTCTTGCCACAATGCCATAACGCTTGGCTTCTCTGCTGGCAGAGATTTCAAAGGCCAGGATGCATCCTTAAACTTGGCTCAGTGAGTTGGGTCTGTGGCCCTGTCCCAGGGCTGTGACAGTCAGGGTCCGGGAGTGCTTAGAAGTCCCCAGAGCAGCACTCAGTGCTCCTGCAGAGGGAAGCGCAGGCTGGGTGAGCTTCCCTGGGTCCCGGCTCCTCCAGGTTTGCCAGATATTACAGAGATGCAGCAGGAGTCGAGTTCCGCAACCTGATGAAAGCCTATGGGATCCGCTTCGATGTGATAGTTAATGGCAAGGTGTGTGGCAGGGCAGGACGGGCTGAGGGAGGCTGGAGAGGACCCGGGTCTGGCTCCCCCGCCCCCACACCGCTCATCCCTGTCTTTGTCTTGCAGGCGGGAAAGTTCAGCATCATCCCCACAATCATCAACGTGGGCTCTGGCCTGGCACTGATGGGCGCTGTGAGTACCTCCCTCACCCTCCTGCTTCCTACTTATGGGGGAGGGGTGGTGGTGGTAACTGACTGCCCTGGAGAAACCCATCCAATGACCAGAATACTGGAGAGATGGTGAGTACACACAAATGTGGGTGAAGAGGGTTTTCTGGGATTTCAGCCCTACCAGCTGCTTCAGGTGGCAGTGACAGTGAGTTTGTCTTTCCACAGTGGAGAGGCTCTGCCTGCCTGCACTCTGGACCTGTGAAGTGGGGGGGGGGGTGTGGGGCAGATGGGTTGGTCTCAGTCATGGTGCGGGTCAGGAGTTCTCTGGGATCCTGGCTCAGTCCTGAACTTCTAAAGTCTCCATCGCCACTTCTGCTAAAAGAGGCAGAATTAGGCTATGTGTAGTGTTTCCTAACTTTGGCACTGTTGACTCTTTGGGCCAGTAATTGTTTTGGGGGCCATTCTGTGCACTGTAGGATGTTTAAGAGCACCCCTGCTGTCTACTCACTGGTGGCAGTGGCACCTCCCCACAGTTGTGATGCCTAAACATGTCTCCTGGCTGAGAACCTGCTGGTTAAAAGGGTGAGAGGCAGATCTGCATTCCCTCCTCAGAGGGAACCCTTCAGCCAGCCTAGAGGGGCTCACAGAAAATTAAATGGTGTCTGGAGGGCAGGAAAAGTTTCCCTCCAAATGCCTAGAATGCCTTTGTATTTCTGGAAGGACTTTAAAGACATTGTCAGTGGGTGCTTGTGTCCACACCAGAAAGTTCCTTTTCAAGATTTTTGGGGTTTCTTCCCTTACTTTTCTGCCTGGGCAGCCCAAGCTGTCCATTGCAGTCCATGAGTACTCAGGATTGACGTGTCCTGTAAGAGGACCCAGGAGGTCATGCTCCTGAGGGGATTAAGAGTAAGTTCCAAATGGATTCCTTCTAATTGCAAACAGTCATCATTAGGGAACCCCAAATGTGTGCATCTGCAGCTTTCTTACAGTGTGGGTAAAGTCTGGTACAGGGGTACCTACTGTGAAATGAAGGTAATGGTGCAGAGTAAACGTGGTGGTTAAAGCTGAGGGAAGAGAGGAGGAACAAGGAATTCATAAATGACATTTCTGACATTTGGGGAAGACAGATATGTTGTGTTCAGGGCCAGAGGGTTTACCTGTTGGTCCATTCACTGGCCTTTCTTGCTTCCCCTCTCCTCCACATTCCGGAGCCACCTAGCCACCTACCCCTATGCCACAGAGAGCATTGCACATGGCCTGCTCTGTTGGGAAGCGTGTTTCAGGGGTGAGCAGGGTCCAGCTGAGTTAGCTCAGTCTCCTCTCTTTCCTTGACCACCACTGTACTTGATGGTTATGTTCAGGCCTCCTCCACAAGTGCAGGCTGACTCTCCACAAGTGCATCTTTCTCATTCCCCACAGGTCCTTTGGCCTTTTTGGGGGGGTGGGGGCAGTACTGGGGTTGAAATTTTGTGCCTCATTTACTTGCTGGGAAAGTGCTTTACCACTTGAGCCATCACCCCAGCCCCATTTTTCAGGCATGACAAGGTTGCTCCTTCCTCTCAGTGCCTGTCCCAGGCCTTGTATAAACTCCTATTCAACCCTCAACACTCAGCCCAGAGGTCCTTAAGTCCTATCTTCCACTGGCTCTTGTTCTTCTCTCCATTATAGTATTGTGGGAGTTTGCTAGCTGAGATAAGAGACTCTGAAGCAATTAGCAGGAAGCAACATTTTCTTGTGCCAGCACAGACTCAGCAGACTCGTGTCCAAAGTCTGAGCCCCAAGAACAAAGGGGTCTCACCTTACATACCCTTGCAAGCAGGTTACAGAAGCAATAAAATTAAAAAGCAAGGTTTAACCCATATATGATTATATGCAATTCTATAGGCTACTTCAGCCTAGTGCTAAGTGCCCTTCTACTCCTAGTGCTATGTAACCTTCTTCACCTTTGAATTTGGGTTTTATCTCTCTGCTATGCCATTCCTTTCCCCCGCTACTTCATCAGGACTCAGGCCTAGTCTGTTTTCTTCTGATCCTCTTCCCTGCTACAATAGGTCACATCACTGTCTCTCAATTCGTTTGTTTGTCTCCTGCAGCAGGAGAGTCCCTAGCAGATCTCTGTGATCCATATCCTCCCTCCACCCAGTGCAGACCAGACATGTGTTGAAGGACTTGGATCTGGTTAGGGTAGTATGGGGGTGCGTGACCTCTGGGGTCAGGTGGCAGTGCTCTACCTTGTGTTTACTGTGGACTGGCTCTGTGGCCCTGGACAATTGTGCCCCTTTTTGGGTCCAGTTTCTTCTTGTGTTAAATGGTGTCATGACACTCCTTTGTAGGTTGTTGTGGGAGCAAACAGTATGAAGCTAAGATTCTGAGTCCGGGCCCATGACTCTTTTGCAGGGGGCTTTCTTCTGTGACCTGGTTCTCATCTACATCCTCAAAAAGAGGGAGTTTTACCGTGATAAGAAGTACGAGGAAGTGAGGTCAGTTTGTCTTCCTTCCTAGGCCCAAGGGGAGCCCCAGTGGGTCCCCAGCCCCAGGGTAGAGCCTCACCTGTCTGGTACTGGGGCTAAGGTATGGAAGTGGTATGTTGGGAATAGCTGCTCTGTAGGAGTAGACTCTGTTTCAGAGCAACCCCGGCAGGATCACTGGGCGTGGTGGTCCTGGGAATGCCAGGGATTGAGGAAGCTGAATAGTAAGGAGAGGAAAAAATGAAATTATTTTTCCACTACAGGGACTGCTGCAGTAGGCTTGGCTATGTGTGTATGCATGCCTTTGTGCATGAACGTGAACGGAAATGTGTGCACACACAGAAAACACTATGTGAGGGGGAATCCTGCCATCTGGGGGGTAAACAGGAAGGGGAAGGGGCTGTAGCCTTTGGGGAAAGCTATCAGGAGGCACTGGGATCAGAGTGAGGAACTGGGTTAGGCACCTGTGTGCTTCCTCAGCAACACCGCAGCAGGGGGCTGTGGGTGAGGGGGTCAACCTGGATTGACTCCAGTGCAGCCTAAGCCCCGCCCTGCTGCACTGAGCCTGACCTGGCCAGGTGGAGGACCTAGGGCTGGCAAGCGGTTCTTCTGGATCAGCCCCACCAGGGTCCCAGGAGGGCACCTGCAGGGCTGAGCCCAGTTAACAGGTCATACCTGCCCAGGGGCCGAGAGGACAGGGCCAAGGTAATAGAGCCTGGGCTGCTGGAGGACGAGCCGCCAGGGGGAAGGCGGGAGGAGCAGCCCCCTGCACCACCCAGGAGCAGCAACTGGCAGCAGAATGGTCCCATGGGCCTGCAGCAACTTGGGTCAGCCAGGTGAGGTGCTGGTGGGGCAGAGGTGGCTGAGGACTGGGTTCCACAGTGGGGCCACTGATACACAGCAGATACACATCCAGGACCCCAGAGATCCCTCCAAGCTACACTGGGGGTGCTGTAGCCACATAGATGGGGCCCTCCATGTCCCTCTGGCAACCAAGTGTCTCGCTGCACTGTCCTGGTGTTCTCTCTCCTGGCCCCCGCTGCCCTGAGCTATTTGCTTATGTTAACTCATTTAAGCAACTTAATGAAGTGGACACAGATAAGGCCCAATTTATCAATGAGTAAACAGAGGCACAGAGAGGTTAAGAAACTTGTTGAAGCCCTACATCTAATAAGGTAGAGTTGGGATTTGAACCAGGCAGCAAGTCTCTAAGATCTGGTTCTTCTCCAGTGGGTCAAGTCCCTCATTCCCCCACTTCCCAGCAAGTTACTCCCCTGGATCACTCTCCTGTGTGGACATTCTTCTTTTGGGGTGCTTCCCTGACACTCTGCGTAGCCTGGCCTTTTCTGCAGATGTGATCTCAGCCCTGTGTGGGGAGGGAGCCCTGGGCTAAGTTGGGAGGCACTGTCAGGCCTGCTCTGCTTCTGCCTGCCTGTGTTCTGGGTCTTATTTTCCATTTTTTTTCTCTTCCAGTGGGGCTGGACAGGAATGCCTGCACTGTCAGGCTAGGGCTATGTGACCCTCCTTCTGTGAGCTGAGACCCAGGGAGTTCCCTGGCTTGGGTTGGCCTTTCCTGGGGCTCCCAGTTTTCATTCCTTGCTGACTCAGGGTTTGCCTCCAGTTGGGAGTTAGGCCAGCGTGGGGAAAGAGCAGAGAAATAGCCTGGAATGGAGCTGAGGGAAGACAGAAAGGTGGAGAATAAGGGCTGCAGCAGTGGGGCCAGGCTGGCAATACCCAGAGTCCAGCAACTCTCTACCTGCTCCCTGCACTGACTATCAATGCCTGGGCATCCACCTGAGCACCTTACCCTGCCCGGAAGAGGATGGGTGGTTTCCTTGTCTTGGTCCAGACGTACCTGTTGTGGTGGGAGGCTCCATGTTCATGGGCCTGGGCTCTGGCTGGCTGCCATACTCACTGCTGCTCATTGCTGGGTGGCTCCAGAGGCCTCAGTCTGATCATGTGCACGTGTCTGGGCTGCAGGCAGGAACCCCATCACAGTGTCCCTTTTTCCAAATATTCTGAATACCTGCTTGTTGCCAGCAAGAGGCTGAGGCTGCTGTATCTGCCTTTTGGGATCTTTGCTGCATCTGCAAAGTTCTGGACTTTCCTATCTGTCTTTGTGACCCCTTTCCACTGCCCCACAGGTCTGGCCTCCAGGAAAATGCCAAGGTGAATGCAGAGCAGCTGCAGACCCTGCAGACAGTGAAGATGTAGTCAGAATTGACTGAGAGCAGATTTGAAAACAGTGGAGCCAGAATGGTCCAAACTCTGAACTGGGAAGAGGTGTCCTTGAGCCTTTACTGGACAGGGGCTTCTTGGGAAAGCCATCTCTCCTGCACTTTGGGATCCTGCTACAAGCTTTTTATCGTGTGGAGAGAGCCTCCTGGCAGCCAGAGAAGCTCAGATCCCGAAGAGGAGACCCTGGGGCAGGCGCCCAGGGAAGGGACAGGCCAGAGGCCTGAGAACCTGACTGGACATGCATTCATTCATATCTGCAGTAAACATGTACTGAAGTGTGCTATGTGCTGGGCCATATCTAAGAGATGCTTAAATGAGACACTGAGCTGGTCTTTAGGGATTGGACACACATGTAACTTCATTTAGAGCCATTATAGCCAGCTCTGGCCTTCTTCCAGCCTCTAGCTAAGACTTTTACAAGTCTCTGTAGAGACTGATGCTTGCTTAGAAAAAGCCTCCAAGGGGACATTTGGCCCTACCCCAGGTATACAATTTAAAGGTGGTCAAGGAGGCATCTGGGAAGGGACTGAATCAGTCAGGAAGTAGAGAGACCAACTGCAAGGCTTCCAGATAAGATGAGGAAGGGGAGACAGGGAGGCCCTCAGACTCAGGAAACTCTGGGAATATGCATTTGTCCGTACGGTTTAGCTTTGCTTTTTATGGGGCTCACCCTCCTTTCTCCTTAAAGACTTGTCTGAAGTGCTAGTGAGATAAAGGATGACTCTTTCTGGGCATGTTTAAAGTTATAGGGAGGTCCTCGCTCCCCAACCTCTGCCTCACCTTCCCTACACCAATCCCATTCACTCTACTCCACAGACCTCTCGGGCTGAAGAGCCCAGCTACTCAAAATGGGGTCCATGGGTCAGCTGCGTTTCCAGGAAGCTGGTTAGAACCCAAGTCTCAGGCCTACCAAAACAGAACCTGTGTCTCCACAAGATCCTGAAGTTATTTTCAAGCACATTATTGTTTCAGGAGTCCTGGTTCTGAGCAGGGAAGGTCTCGGTTAGACTTACACTCGTGCTGCCTTGAGGGTACCTCTCCCACCCCACCCCACCCCATCCCACCCCATCCTTGGCAGGAAAGCAGCAGTATGCTCAATTCATTTGAATTAAAATATCTTGACCTGGCAATACTTATATGATTTTAAATTTAAAGGTGTAAAAAGCAAAAAGCTTCCCTCCCATCTTTGTTCTCTGAAGGCCACCAGTGTTACCAATTCCAAAAGGCCCCCTTATTTTCCTAAGAATGTACTTGGTTACCTGCACACCAATTCAAGAAATGACCCTTTCCTGTAAGACCAAGTCTCGAGTCAGAACCAGACATGGAACACACTCAAATATGGAGCTCAGGGAGCTGGCTAGCTTACTTGTCCCCACTTCATTGTATTGGAAGAGTCCCTGTGGAAACTCAAGGTGAGAAATCCATCACTCGCTGTTTGGACTGTGCAGCAGAAAAGGTCCTCAGTGAGTCCCAGGGGCTGTTTTGAGTGGGTCCCTAGACACCAGGGAGATCCTCTTTGGAAAGGGTTCTCTGCACATGCAGGGGGTGGTGAGCATCCTTTCACTGGGGGTTTGGATATGGTCGTAAGAAGGAGCCTGGTTGCTGCATATGGAGACACACACCTGTCATTCCAGCATGTGGGAGATGGAGGCAGGGGGATCACTTGAGCACTTGAGCTCAGGAGTTTGAACCTGGGCAACATAGATAGTGAGACACCCACCTCCAAAAAAAAAAGGTACTGGTAGAAGTTGCTCAGTTGCTGCCAATAGAGCAGAAGGGCATGGAATCCAGAACAGAGTCCCTTCTGGAGTAAGCTCCCTCACCTTGGGCTGTCTGGAACTTAGAACTTATCACCAAACCAATCTGCTCTCTGAATGGAAAGTAAAAAATGTGGGTGATCCTTTTAGCTGTTTCACCTCCTCATTAAAGCAAACCCTTGGGTTTCATAATCTAGCATGATACATGTTACTTTTATGTCTGAGAGGAAACAAAAGGGGCAAGGGTCATGGTTGTTTAGAGATTAGTCTGGTTCCTTTTAACCTGATTTAGAAATGGTGTAGCAGCAGTCATATAACATGGGAACAGTTGTACTATTTGTCTTATATTGGAATGAAAATGTCTTCCTATAGTTAGTCAGTCAGTAAATATTTGGAGTCGTCATTATGTGTCAGGTGTTGAACAAAATACTGAAGATACATGCACAGTACCAGCCTCAAGTGCTTTGGGTCTGGCAGGAGTTGAACCTTAAATAAGTTGTCACACCTGTCATCATGGACTCAGGGTGCTTGGGAAGTTTTAACCAGAAGTAGCCAGAGTAAGCATCCCCAAGGAAGTGACATATAAATTAAAATTTAAAGGTCAGGGCACATTCCCAGTAAGGGAACCACAGGCATAAAGCTGCTTTGACATGGGAAGCACAACAGAGGAAGTGGATGAAGGCAGTGACTGATGCAGGGTCTTACTGTGCAGCCCAGGTTGGTTTGGGACTTGAGCTCCACCTGCCTCAGCCTCCTGAATGCTAGGAATTACATGCCCCACTATTCCTGGCCTGCAGTGGATTTTGTGAGATATTCTTTTAATTACATTGACTTTTTTTAATCTTAAGAAATCACTAAACCTTCCTGCCTTAGGAGTTCTTCAACCTACTTGTTTCTTCATGCCAGCAAAGCTCTCTGGGTGGCATCCCTGGCTGCACATTAGGAGCCCCAAGTTCAGAAGAGCCCATTATGGCTTTAAATAGTACTGCGCACTGTGCCTTGCTTTCTGCACTCCCCCCTCACCTTCTGCATAACCTTGAAGTAAGGCTGGGGGTCTCATTAATCTTATGGAAACTTTTGCTGGTTTTTGGAGACAAGGTCTCTCTCTATAGGCAGACAAGTCTTAAATTCTCAGTCCCCCTCAGCCTCCTGAGTGCTGGGAATGCAAGAGGTAAATGGATTTTTTCCATTTTTTTTTTTTTTTTGATAAATGGATGTTTAAATGGAGAAGCAGGAACTAGAACTCCTAAACTTTGGGAAACCCCTTTTTTCTCTGGGCACTGCCTGCCTCACTGACAAAGAGCTTTTTTAAAAAAAAAATTTTTGGCATTGCTGGGAATTGGAACTAACATCTGCACCCTTTGGTTTTTTTTTTTGGTGGGACTGGGGTTTGAATCAGGGACTTCATGCTTGCAAAGCAGGCACTCTACCACTTGAGCCACACCTCCAGTTCATTTTGCTCTTATTTTGAAGATGGGGGTCTTGTGAATTATTTGCCTGGGCTGGCCTTGAACTGTGATCCTACAAATCTCAGCCTTCCAAGTAGCTAGGATTATAGGTGTGAGCCACTGGTGCCTGGCACACCTGCACTCTTTCACTGAGTTACACCCCTAGCCCAAGAACTTTCTACTCTTGACACTCCAGAATCAGATGAATTATCTATGCTTACATTCAGTTCAGGCCCAGGCCTAAATGTGTCCACATAGCATTTTCCTAACAGCTATCCTACACCTTTGGGAGCATGATGATGGCCAATGGAAAATTTATACACTGGGTGCTGTCAACATGATAAAAGGGCTCAGCAATGCAAGAGCAAAGTGTCCTCATTCATCAGGACTAACGAGTCATGGCTGCCTTTTTGCCTTCCCCCCAATCAGTTCTTCCTCAGTGGGGAGCCAGTCACAAAGGGAGAGCATGACTTCCTCCAGGTGTCTCTGGACACCCCAGCCAAGGACAAACATGTCCCATAGAGTTCTAAGACCCTTCTTGGGATGGCACCTTGTGTTATCTGGTTAATGGCTCTAGTTGGTTCCAACCCACCATGCCTTACAAAGGATGTGACTTTCCTCAGGGTACTCTATTCGGTGGATCTAAGAATGACCATGGTGTTCTGCTAACTGTTTTCCCTTAGATCAGTATACAGTTCAAGGTGGCAAGATGGCAGACATTTTCTGGGACATGTCCAATATATATATTTTCTGACACTATTGATTCTAAAACAATAAAAGACATCAATTTTAAGCATAACTTGATTTATTCACTTCATGTCTTCATGGTTACCCCATGGTTTAAGGGAAAATGTAAGAAGATGAGACCCAAAGAGACACAAGAAACAGTTAGTAAGCAATTTATTGCTCATTATCTTGCAAAGAGATTCAAATGAAAGAATGGAAACTCTTTAAATTAGCTAACATTAAAGACCAGGAAGATACTGATGAAACTGGTGCTTTCCATGCAAGGGTAAGCTGATAAAACACTGGAAAGCATTGGAATCAAATTATCCTCTGCCCTAGAAGCTTATATTCCCTCAAAAGATATAAATTATAATATTATTGTAATTTTTTTATAATAATGAACATTTCCAACAAACTTGTTAGGCATAATAGGGAAATGGTTAAGTAAATCAGCTCACCAATCCTTCATCCTTTTCCCAACTCCTTCACCAGCGAGTCCCTCTGCTTTCTTCTTCTTCTGCATCAGGAATGAGCCCTCCTTCACTCAAAGAAGGTGCTGGGCTGTGCAAATCATGAATGCAAGGATCCTCAGTGGTGGGCATAGAAAGGGCTATTTGGGACAGGGAGGCAAAGCTGTGGCCTCAGTTTGTTGGCTTATGGTACAAGCAAGTAGTCAAGAACCCAAAATGGAATTCAGTGGGTTCCAGAGCCATTATGGGGCATAGTCTTTAAAACAGGTCTTGGACTCAGCTTTCATATTCTCTTCTGATCTAAAAGTTGACTTTTTTTTCTGGCAGTATTGGGGTTTAAATTCAGGGCCTCATGCTTGCTAGGCAGTTGCTCTACCACTTGAGCCACTTCAAACTGGTTATTTTTTTAAAAGATCCAAATCTGATTTATATCACTCCTGACTATAACTTCCAAAGAAATCCCTTAAATGCTCATAGGATCAAGGTTAGCTCCATACCAGGGCCCTCATGATCTGGTCCAGGTCTACACTCATGGCCTCTACTCTTCAGATAAAAGGCCATACTCCTTCCTGCCCATTGGCCCTCCCACATGCTCTTTTTTTTTTGCATATAGTCCTTTCCCCACCCTTTACTTTGCTGTTATTCAACTTTTGGGTCCCAGATGTAATGTTATTTCCTTAAACAAGCCTTCCTTGACCCCTATTCCCAACCTGGGCTATGTTTGGTGCTTTTATGTACTCTTTTTGTAGCCCTTACTAATTAAATATTTATGAAATTAGGAATGCTAATCCCAATTATACTATATTTCATGAATGACATTCACTATATATATTTCTCAATTAAACATACATATTTAAGATAACCCTCCTGACAAAAAAGGATCATGGATTAACATATATGCAGAGACATTTCTAAATGTCCAATCTATTTAATCTTCACAAGACATATTCTGAAAACACAGTTTGAATTTATATTTCCTTATGAGAAAGACAACTAGCTGTGACCAGGTGAAATGGAACTAAAATAACTCCATTCATGCTTGGAAGTGATGGTTAGTGGGAGGAAATGGTGGGCTCAGCCAATACAGCAAGAGCGAAGTAAGAGATCTGCATTTGGATCCTAGCTCTGTCTCTTCTCAGCTGAGCCTCTTCTGGCAGAGGTATTTAACTTGAGCCTCAGGTTCCTTGTCAACAGAGGGTTAATAGTTAACATCTCCATAGTTGTTAGAATTAAACGAAATAACTGGTGTAAAAAGTACAAGGCACAATGCCTGGTGTGTAGGGAACACTTAGTAAGTACTAGTTTTTATTAGTATGTTAACAGTAAATGCTTTCTTTTAATCCCTAGTGGCCCCTCCTGGGACCTCCTACTTGCAAATGCAGGGCAATTACAGACCATGACCTAAAGTATGCTCTCCAGGAGACAAATCTTAGCGATTGTGCACCCATGGCAGACTATGCACTAAGGCAGGAAAGAACTCCACAAAGTATCTCACACTTCATTTAATCTGAAGAATATTACAGGCTCTCTGTCTTCAGATATAAGTTATTTATAACGTTACAGAACAAGCAGCGAATTCAACAATTTAAAAACTTAAGTAAGTCTACACGGCGTTAACTTGTGGCAACAGTCGTCCCAATTCGTTTTTTAAAAGTCACCCTTGCCCTCGTTTCAGTAGACGTGCACCATGCCATAGAGGAAAGTCCAGAACAGGACGTAGGTGAAGAGGCCTCCTATGAGGCCTCCGGTAAAGAGAGGTCTTCGTGACTTAAAGTATTTGTTCCACCTCCTTCCCGCCTTGAGAATTAGGAGCAGGGAGAGCAGGATGGAGGCAAGCAGGTAGAAGATGAAGCCGTAGAGGCCGGTAAGGCCGAGGATGCCGGCCGTGGCCCCCGACAGCGCTGACACTGAGGTCCGGCAGTAATCCAGGACCGCGGCGTTGCCCCGCACAGCTGCCTCGCTGATGAACGGCGGCCCCTCCCGCTTGGCCACCACCGCGGCCATCGCGCCCGCCGGGGCTCAGCCTCTGCTTTCCGGAGGAACGACGCGGAGCTGCGGAGAAAGGTAAATTACCAGCAGTGCCCGAAGCTTGGCAAGTTGAGTTCACGCCGCTCCCTCCCCGAGGCTTTCGAGACCCGACAGCATTCCCAGGACTCGGACCTTCAAAAGACGCTGGGAAGGCTAGGCCGATGGCTGGCGGCACGTCCGCATTCCCCAGCCATGCTTCCCCAGTTACCTGGAACACTGCGGTAGACGGTCACTTGGCGTTCCCTCAGACAGGAAGGGGTACAGATTCCTGCGGCGCCATCTTGTATCAGAGGCTGCCGGGAGGGCTCAGGCTGCTCATGCGCAACCCTGGCCTCTTCCTCCTGCGCCTGCGCCTCAGGAACGCCCCGCCCTCTCCCTTGCATCACGATGCTCGCACCTGGACTTCCGAAAGCCGAACATCGCTCCGGATGCTGATTGGCTGGAGATTTGCTAAGTATTTATGAGGGGGCGGGCCGAGCTGGGCTGCCTTTGTTAACCAGAGAGGGCGCGGCAGTGGGCATTCCTTCGGTTGCGGGCTTTGCGGAGCCGTGTTAGGTTGCCAGATTGAGGTCGAGATGTCCTACATCCCGGGCCAGCCGGTCACTGCCGTGGTGGTGAGTACGCTTGCGTAGGCTCCTTCTTGTCTTGCTGCCATTTCGCAGAGCGGTAAACTGACATTCAGATTGACAAAGCGTTGGACCGGGGCTCCTGCATGCAAACTGGCGTCCAGCACTCCAGCTCCGGCTCTGAACGGATTGGTGCGGCAGCCTTTCCCAGCCACTAAACAGATGGCTGGAACCCAACAGCCTCCTTAGCCTCTGGGCACAGGTCGAGGGTGGACTCCTTTCACTTGGCGGGATCGGGGAAGAGGGAGAAAGGCCCTGCCGTGCGAGTCTGGGAAAGCGTCTCCGTCCTGGGCCTCCGGGTCCCCAGCTGGGCAGCCGCGGGGGGCAGGCGCCGGTCCTGACGTCCATGAGTCGCAGCCTTTGGAATGAGGAAGCATTTCCTCCGTTCCAGCCCGCTCGCCGCCGCCGCCCAGGGGAGGGAGGTTAGGAGGGTGGTGCTGGAAGATTGCCTTAGTAGCCCCTTCCTCCTTCCGGTCCGACCTGGAGCCTGGGACCCACCCGCCGCCCGATCCGGAGCTAATGCTCATTAAAACTGATTTGGTCCTTCTCTGAGCTTTTTCTGGATCCTTAGCCCTTGGGGCAAAGTGTACAGTCCATACCTGGCTCTTGAGGCTCGAGGAGACCTTTTGAGGTCAGCCCGGGTTTGTTTTGGTTGCTGGGTGCTATTTGAATAGGCAAAGGGAAGAAGGGAGGCTGGGACATCAGTGTCACAGCCGGAAGGGGCTCGCAGGCCAACCCAGCGGCAAAGGTGGGGAAACTGAGTTACAGAGAGAAGGCTGTCATGCCCAGCAAACCATAAAGGAAGGCTTCAGGAAGGACCCAGATCTGCCTAACTTTCCAGAAATTTAAAAAAGAAAATGGGAAGAAATGCCTCTCTAGCAGGCAGTGGGTTGAGTGAAAGAAAGCCCCAGCTCTGGAACCATGGGGACTCAAGTGGTAAGATGGGTGTGATGGAGAGTTCTTGAAGTCCGTAGGGTGGGAGAAAGAAGTCATTGATAAAGTGGCACGTGAGGGTAAGCGTAGAGCACCAGCTCAAGCTTGGGCTAGGAGGAAACATTGCTGGACCAGCTAACAGCTATCCCAGGTTTCACCCTGCTTACACCAGCCTGGCTTTTCCAGATCCCTAGCTGCCCCATGTTGGGAAAAAAAAGGAGTATATGGGGTGGGGGGCAGAGAGAGCACTTTGCCACCTGACTTCTCCCAGCAGGCCTCTTCTGTAACCTTGGGGGTGGGTGTGCAGGAAGGTATATGTTGGAGCAGGCCTACAGGAGCTCTTATTTGGGAACATGAAGACCTAGGTGAGTGGTGAGAATAGTGCTCTGGGCCTCCTCCCTCATGTCATGGCCAATCCCAGGGTCTCCCTAGCTGCAGGACCACAACTTGTCATCTAACATCAGGTGCATACCTGACATGGTGGGTGGAGCTGAGTGTTTCCTTTTTTGTGTCTTAGAATGGGGATGGGGTGAAGAAGCTTCCTCCTCTCCAGTTCCGCCCTCACTCATGTCAGTTCATGTTTTAAGAGTGTCACAGCCATTCTGGCCCCTTCTCTGAACTCTGGCTCTAAAGATTTGCTTTCTGGACAGTTGTGCAGGTGGCTTCTGACACTGTCACTTTACCTGCTCCTCCTCTTGGGTTCCCATCTGAATGATGGTAGCATTCAGTTAGGCCAGGTGATGGGTGCTCAGTTCCTCTGCTGGATGAGCATGAGCAGTCCCCAAGTCTGTGGATCTCATTTTTGAAGTAGCTCACACCCTCCTACCTCTACATCCTGCCTGTGAGACATCCATTTCCCTGCTAAGAGTACCTGAGTGGTTATCCTAGCATCAAACCTGACCATACCTTGCCTTCTTCCCAACTCCTTTGAGCTCTAGTGGGTTCAGGACCAAGGTCAGGCGGCCACACTTGTCATCACCCCCTAAAAGCCTGGTGTAAATGATCCCTCCTTTGTGAAGTTTTTCCAGTTTCAGATCAAGTCACTTTTGCTTTTTTTCCTTTGTGTTAAACTTTGGGAGTGATCTACTCTGGTTCCCAGCATCTAGTGGCTGGAAGGTTCTTTGCTGAGGGCTTTCTTGCATAGCTGGGGACGGACCCCATTCCCAAAGCAGTCCCAGGGTCGCCCCGAAGCTGGTGGGAGAACCCTAGAATACTGTCTTCTACACTGCACAAGAGCAGGCCTTGGGGAGACCCCATCTTCGACCATCCTTTGGACTAGCATCCCACAGCCTCATCTTCCCTCCCAGTCCTGTACTCTCAGGTCACACAAGCATGTATCCACAACTTCTCTACTCTGCTTCCCTTGGTCAGGAAGCTCTTCTCTCTTCCATGAAAGTTTATTTTCTTCACTTTTCCTGAGCATCTTCTGACTTGCCCTTGATGGGGCTGGTTCAGCCATCAAAGCTGCCTCAGCAAGGTGCCTGCATCTTCTCAGGGTCTGATCCCTCCTACCTGTGTGCTCCCTCCCTGAAAAGATGGGTGTCCCCTCAAGAGCAGCCATGGCACCTCTTGTTCCTGGGCTGGGAATAGTTCAGAGCATGTACCAACCAAGGCTGGGGAAAGGGGGAAAAAGTTTGAGGGCAGAGGGCTGTGCAGGTGGGTCTATATGGCTGTTTTGAGTCCCAGCCTTCTGGGCTGGTGACCAGCTAGAGTCCCACAGAGGGCCCTGGGTCTCAACCCTTGGCATAGCCTGAGGCTACTGCTGGGCACACAGATCATTTTCATTCTCTGCCCGCCCACCTGTCCCCAACTTGCTTTTTTCTTTGACAGCAAAGAGTTGAAATTCATAAGCTGCGCCAAGGTGAGAACTTAATCCTTGGCTTTAGCATTGGAGGTGGAATTGACCAGGATCCTTCCCAGAATCCTTTCTCAGAAGATAAGACAGACAAGGTGAGGGGGACTAGGGTCCTCAATCTTCCCATGGGGCAGAGATCGGAGGTGGTAGCTTTCTGCTTCCTTGTCTGCATGGAAGGAGCAACCCTTACCTTGCTCAGACAGTCCTAAGAAGGTCACAGAAATGATCTGTTGGGAATAATCAGGAGTAGGGTTGGGGCCTTCCAGCCCTAGGAAGGCCTGCTTAGACAGACAGGAGGGGCTGGAGTGACAGCAGGGTCCCCTGGCTGTTTTGGCATAAGGCTGAATGGTAGGTGGGGGGGCTGGAACAGGGACAGAGGGTTGGTTGGGAGTCTGCCATACTGAGTTCTGCCCCATGGATAAGGGGCCAGTGTGGTGACTGCAGGGCTTTACCTGGGCTGCCTCTTTTCAGGGCATTTATGTCACACGGGTATCTGAAGGAGGTCCTGCTGAAATTGCTGGGCTGCAGATTGGAGACAAAATCATGCAGGTAACAGGTGTCCCACAGGAAGAAAATAAAGTTTGGTGAGAAGGACTGAAACACCTGTGGGGAGCTGGCCCAGTCTTTTGAGGGGCGGGGAGGGCGCGACTTACCGAAGCAGTTTTGCAAACTATGTTGGTATCGCTCCCTGAGGAAGCTTGGCTGTGGTGCTGAGTACCTCCAGGTTGGGGTAACAGCTTGTAGGTCTGCTTGGGTGGCCCCTGACCCTCCAAGCCCTTTGCTTCCAGATCCACATTGAAAGGCTGTGTTCTTTCTCTGGTCCAGGTGAATGGCTGGGACATGACCATGGTCACACACGACCAGGCCCGGAAGAGGCTGACCAAGCGCTCGGAGGAGGTGGTGCGTCTGCTGGTGACCCGGCAGTCGCTGCAGAAGGCTGTGCAACAGTCCATGCTATCGTAGCACCTGGCCATAGTCCCCGATTTGTGCCTGTTTGTACAGTGACACCACTTCTACATTCTGCCTGCCCCTTGTCCCGGCTTCTGTGTGCTGGGCCCCAGCTCAGAAGGGCGGCAACTGATCCTGGGGCTGAGACAGTCTTCCCTCCCTTCTCACTCTCAGCTCAAGGCCCTGGGACCAGCTCTTTCCCTTGGACACCGGGGACTGGAAACGAGGGTCTGGAGCTGACTGGTTGAGCATCTGCAGTGACTACAGGCTTAGTCCCAGACCTGCTGCCTGGGCACAGTAGTGCCCAGGCAAGCAGGAAACACTTTTCTGAGAGCTGCCAAAGTTGGGAAATGCCAGGTGGGACTGCCTTTCCCTGTTTGCCCTGGCTGGATAACACTGCCAGAGACACTAAGAAGGTTGGGCAGGCTCCCATTCTTCCCCACTCCCCTGAAGGATTTGGCTTCCCAGGGCTTGCCTGCTTACAGGATTTAGATGAGGTTCAAGGCTGACATTTCAAGGCAGCTTTCAGGATTGCCATTTTTCTCTATGCCTGTGGACTTAACTTTTATATTTTTTAAATCACAACTTTGATACAAAGCATTTTTATCTTACTATTTGGAAGTGCCAATTCCATTTTTGAATTTAGCTTACTAATTCACATCTGGTTGCAGCTACCCAGCGCATAAACAAGTTTTATTTTGGTTACTATGGAAATGGGGCAGTATGATGCCACCCTACACCTGACATCTTGTACCCAATAAACAATGCTGGAACTCCCAAAGGATCTTTGCTAAGCCATGGGGTTAGGGATATTTGGGGGTGGATTGGGACAAGTGTTCTGGTTTTAGGATGGCTGGCTTATTCTCTGCTGCTGTGGGATGAAGCCCAAGTCTTCCCAGGACCACCTTGCCTGGAAAGTGGCTGGTAGTACTTTACAAGTCTCAGTGGAAACATGTTATACTGTTGCCTTTTGGGTGTCACTGTGAAGCCCCGAGTTCCTAATAATTACATAATTTCCTTTGTGTAACTGAGATTCAGCTCCCAACTGAGAAGGGCTTCATGGGCACTCACCTGACCCTGAAACTCAAGAGTACAGAACCATAGCCAAGGATGTAACCCCAGATGTTCACAGTGGTTGAGCTGGCTAGACTGTGAGCCAGGGAGCACCTGATCGGTGCCTAACAGCTCTGGGAGATGGTCACTCCTAGACTTGCCTGGCACTGCCAAGTCAGACTTATAAAGAAAAGTTCAGAGGACTGGGAATGTATCTCAACATAGATCACTTGTCTAGCATCTACAAGGTCCTGGGTTTGACTCATAGCATCCCCCACATCTCCCAAATCCAGAATTAAAATTTCCCATTTTAAAAGTGTAGCACCCAATAACTTTTGGAGTGCTGGAGCTCAAACCCAGGGCCTCATGTAACTACACACTCTACTACTGAGCTATAGCCCCCATTCTTTCCCCTCCCAACCCCTGTTTTTGAGACACAGTCTTGCTATGTACTTGAAGCTGGCCTCAAACTCTTGATCATCCTGCTTCATCCCCCCTACACAGCTGGGATTACAGATGTGCACCATCATGCCAGCCCAATAAAACATTATATAAAAATCATTGGGTGGCCCTAATAAGACAGGTTTGCAATTCCTGCTCTAGGGAAACAGAACTTAAATTCCTTGACAATTACTACAATTAGGTAGAGGAACCATGCGACATAAGATCCTTGTGCCCCTGCTTCCAGTGGTGTCCTGCCCTTAAAACTCTTTTCCGACCCGTCACAATTCCAGCATGCTGGTGGCAGATAGGGTACCTGTGAGACAGACCTACCTGGCCCTGACTGGGCTGGTGTCTTGTACCTTCATCAGGGCTTCCCTGATGAAGTGGGGGTCAGCATGCAGCCACCTTGGGTCAGTGAACTCCACAGCCCTACTTGGTCCTTTGCATGAGGTGAGCAAGGCTGGCTCCCTAAGCCCCATGGACTTGGTTCTGAAGGCTGACTTAGCTGCCTTCTGCACCTAGCAAATACTCAGTGTGCACAAAGAAAACAAACCAAGTTTTAATTAAGGAGACAGTCCCCACCAATACAGTAAAAATAAAATAAGGCACAGGCCCCTCACATTGGACTTGTAAAAAAGAGTGGCTTGATAAACTCAGGGCACATAAAAGGCATGTTTTGGGTCCCACTGAACAGCTTGGGGTGGGAAGGAAGGTTTAAGATCAGGGCTGGGCCCATAAGCATTGTGTGAGGTGGGCTTTAGTTCTCTGAGATTCCTCAACAACCAAAAAATTGGAGAGTCCCAGGTTGGGGGTTCTGGGGAAAGCCAGGAAAGGGGCCTGCCCTCCCATCCAGGGGACTGGCAGGCCTCTAAGGCACAGGCTGGTAGAAAGCACATGTCCTGCTCTACAGGTGCTGGGTTAGGAGGAGTAGGTTGATCAAACATGCCTGCACGTAACTCTCAGAAAGCAGAGGCAGGAAAGGGAAAAAGAGAGCAAGCCACTTCAGAAATGACCCTCCCAAAAATTTTAAAGGGGTTAGTGTGATATCTGTGTGATTAAACATCCAGAGGGCACTGGGCATGCGTCCAGTTCAGAACCTATCTGGCAGGCACTTCAGGGCTCAGAAATACTCTACCAGGTCCTGGCCTGAGCCACCTGTTACTGCAGTTGTGGAAGCTGAGTTAGAATGAGTGTGTGTCAGGAAAATGGCCTTCAGAGAAAGGACCCCAAGGCCTAATCCCACAATCCTTGCCCCTCAACCACCAGCACCAGGATTAGCACCTTTGAGTTCATCAGCCACAGCACCTGGCTGCTTGGTCCCTGTGAACACAGTGGTGGCAGCAAAGCTCTCTTGGCTCTCCCAGCTGCAAGGTCAGCCCTTCAAGCTGCTCCCAGAAACACTTGTTTGGGGCAAGGCCTTCGGCTGCAAACTCAGCTCCCAATTCTGCATGGGATGGCTGTCAGGACCTGTGCATGCTGCCTGAAGCCTTAAAGAAAAGAGAGATGGTGCATCAAGATGCAGGAGGGCCAGATGTCTGGCCTGGGAGGCCCAACTTGAGATCTGGCTTTCAGTCTTGGAGCAGAGTCAGGTATCTGTCCCCGAGGGAGGGTCTTCCTAAGCCCAGGAGGGGCCTGGATGAAAGGCAGGCTGGTTGAGTTTAAGGCATTTGGCCCTGAGGAAGGGAGCGCTTCTCTGCTGGCACATCAGGCCAGACCTGCATGCCAGCTGCTTCTCCTCTGGCCTTCATTGGGTGCAGCCTTCCCCACCTGGGCCCAGGACCAGGCTGTTTACACTGGGTCTCTGGGGACTAATTCAGCTGGTCATACCCAGGTTTCTTTCTGTACAGACAGAAGTGCTGGATGAAGAAGACTATATCGAAGAAGATGGAGAAGATGCCAAGTCCAAACTTGGTTGGGTCTCCGAAGATCAATGTCCACTGGTCTGTTAACAGCCAGAGGGGACAGAATATAGTTTTAGGTTGGCAGCTCCTAAGGCAACTGGAGCATGTGGGTCTGTGGGGGTGGGGGTTCCCATCTACCCAGGGAACTGTAAATTCTGCAGCTGCAAAGACCCTTGGGTGAGTCTCTTCTTGGGGGTTGGGATCAGCTTGGATTCCAGGCTGCAGGACTAGTGGGGGATGGGGGTGTGTGTGACCTTGCCTGGTGGGAGGTGTCCCAGAAAACTCAGCCCCACCCTGGGCCTCCATCCACTGGGTGGGGGAAGCCCTCTGGCTGACTTACTGTTATTGTAGGACTGGAGGAACATCTGGAGGAGGCTGAAGCTGCCCCCCGTAAAGTCCAGGAACACACTGCCAATGCTCCAGCCCTGGGTGCTTTTGTAGTAAAAGTTCATGTAGGCCTGGGCCAGATGGATAGACAGATAGAGGGCTGTGAGGGGGCTGGGCAGTTGCCTGTGTTTGCCACTCCAAACAAGAGCAGCTCTGATTCCTCCCACTCACATATTTGGGGGCCTTAGTTCCAAAGAACATAGTGACCTTTGGGCTTTCTAAATCTAGCAGTATATACTTAGACATTCCCTTCTTCCTGTTGCTGTAGCCCCACAGCCTTCCTCTAAACCCACAATTCTCTCACTGGTACCACCTCCCTTTCGACCATGTAGGAGGGAGGTCTTGGCCTTTTTGATGGTCTTCAGTTCCCAATCCTGGTCTTTTCTCAACCTTTCCCATACTTGCTGCTACCTCTCCAATCAGACAATTCCAAATGTCTCCCTCTGGGACTTCTGCCTCCCAGGGTACCAGCCTCAAGCCTTCCCACATGCAAGGACTGAAGCCCACTTCCCCAGAGTCTATCCCTTCCTTAGCACTTGCAAGCCCCCTGGGACCTGGTCCTTGCTTTCCAACTCCAACATTCTCAAAGACTATTCAGCAGCCTGATCTCCTGCGCAGAGTACCTGGGCCTGGAGCATCCTCCATCCTCCACTGAACTCAGTGCTGCTCTCCCTTAGAGTGTAGCCTGCCTTCCTAAGCCTATGGGGCACAAGGATCCCAGCTTTGGGGCTTCTCCACTAGGTAGATTAAACAAGGTTTTACATTTGTTGGTGGAAATACGTACTTGGCAGCTACATTACATCAGCCCCTGGTCCAGGCTACCGACTCTAAACCCCTGGCAGAACTTGTGCGAGGGTGCTTAAGGACCTTCTAGGAGAACATCTACACTAGAGGTGGCCACAGGGGTCAGCTCTCTGATTCACCTAATCTTTCCTGTTTCTCCTGCTGCTTGCTAGTCCTCAGGGATGGCCACTGTTGTGGAAATGGGAGTATGGGGCAGTAGTAGGGGAAGAACTCAAGTCATTAGGAAAGATTGGGAAGGGGCAGAGAAAGGTAACGGACCTGCCTAATCCCTGACTCAGAGGGACGTATGAGGTCTACGACTCCACTGACTGTGATTCTGCTCCAGGGAAGATCAGGTAATGGTACCCACTGGCTTTCTGCCAGTCTGGGCTCACTGGCTTCCACTGCAGCTTTCCATCCTCATCCCCCAGCTAGACACAAACTACCCCATAGGAGCAGGGTCCAGGCTCAGTATCTCTCACTTTTCATGCTACTGGCCATATGAAAATGCAGGAAGGCCCTGGAGTACCTGTGGAAAATACTTGATCAGTGTGATGACAAGCTTGATGTAGGAGAAGCAGAAGAGAAACTGCAGCCATGTGGTCACCCCGACTGCAGCCAGAACCATGGTGATGAAGGCAAAGAGCCATGCGAGCACCAGGAAGCCAATGGCAGGCCATGACACACTCTGGTTGCCTCGCTGAGGAAGACATGGAGGGTGTTGAAGATTGGGGCACAGAGGTTGCTGCAGGGTCTCAGGATGGGATGGGATTGACAGGACAGAGCTGGAAGCAGAAGCCTGTTGATGCAGCCTGTGTGAGGCCTGAGCTGGGGCTGATTTTAGAGATCCTTGGGGTATACCTGGGCTTGAATGAGGTGTGAAGTCCCCAGCACTGACCCCATTTTTAAACTATCAGGGTTTCCTGTTCCGTCCATCTTGGATTCTCTAGTCTGTTTACTTTCTATTTTTGGCAGTACTGAAAGTTGAACTCAGGGCCTTGAGCTTGCTAAGCAGGTGTTCTACCACTTTTGTTTTGGTTATTTTTGAAGTAGGGTCTTCCTTTCAGCCCAGGCCAGCCTGGACCTTGATCCTCCTAGTTATGCTTCCCTGCATAGCTGGGTACGCCTGCATCACCACATCCAAACATTTGTTGAGATGGGGGTGTCTCATGAACTTTTTGCCTTAAATTGCAATCCTGCTGATCTCTACCTCCTGAGTAGCTAGGATTACAGTGTGAGCCACTGTAACTGACTGGACTACTTTTTTGCTCCCACTTTGCAGAGCTGGGTGCTTCTCAGCACTCATACTGAGGGAAAAAAATGGGGCTGGGGACATAGACTCTCATACTGGAGGCCTGGCACCTCATCCCAACCTAGGTATTGACTTGTTCCATTACCTGGATGGAACCTGGGGTTCTCTGCAGTCTGTGGCCTATCCCAGCCTTTCTCGAAACACAGTCCCAAAGTAGGCCTCCTTCACCAGAGCTTCATAACAAAGGGTAAGAAAACCTAGGAGGTTCACAAGGGTGGGGGCCATATAGCCCCCATAGACCTCGCACAGTGTTTGAAGGGAGGTGGCACACCCAGGGAAGTGAAAGCAAAGCTGTCACCTTAGGAATCCCCTGAAACACTGGGGTCTTGTAAAAGTGCTCTTCCGTGTGGAGACCCCAGAAAGCCTTCCAGCAACAAAGTTGAGTCCGGCTCTTTCTGTCCTCCTGGGAGATGTTTCCTTCACTGGCACCGTGAACCCTGGCTATACCCACCTGTTAACAGTTCCTCTCACATGTCCCTTGGTCTTCAAGATTCTGTACCACTATGGGAAATGAATCCCCCCCTCCTTTACCCTTTACCATGGGAATGTCACAGACCCCTGGACTACAACAAGAATTTCTCTGTCACTCTCCCTCCCTGGCTGGGCTTGGGCTTTCACTAGCTGCCTGTGTATCTCTTCCACACAGCTCTCAGTCTCCTGGCTAGTCACTGCCTTCTCTTTGTCTCTTACCCAGACTTGGGTGCTCCCTGGGCCCAGTACAGAGCCTGGCCCATTACTAGGCCTGGGATGGAGATGCTGAATGAATGAGTATGTCTCCTTTTTGAGGATCCTGAATTTTCTGTTGAACATAGGTGGCAGTGGTGGGTGGCATGTGGATAGGTTGGGTGGGTGTTGCCTCAGGCAGCCCCTGGTGGGCCAGGTCATGAGGCCTCATCCCTCACCTCATACAGGCAGCACTGCAGGATGACAATCAGGGTAAGGGCGACTGCATGCAGGCTGAAGAAGACATCATTATTGTCCACAGGGTTCACACCGTTGGGGTATTTGAGGAGAAACTGCTCCTGTTGGGGATGGGAAGAACCTGGGAGGTAAGGCAGCCTGGCCACCAAGTGATTCAGGTAACCTATGGGGGGCAAGAAGTGCCATACCTGGATGTAGGGTACCCACAGGAGGCTGATGTTGAACACGCTGTAGGCCACGAAACCCGTCAGGTTCAGGGCCAAGAAGTCAAAGCTCAGACCAATGACACTGTGGGGAGGGGATGAAGCAGGGCAGGGGTGAGGCCTAGGACCACCCTGTGGTCCCACTCTGTGGAGACAGAGCTCCTAGTACACAGGAAAGGATAGCTCAGCCCTCCTTCTCTGCAAGGAAAGGACAGTACTTGGGTTTCTTTCCACATGACTAGTAGCCACCTAACCATGCCCTCTTGAGATCCAGTTCCCTCTTTTCTTCCCTTGCTCCAGAGATTTCTCCTGGAGGCCTCATGCAGGGAGGTATTATCTCTTGCCCTGGTGTCCTAAGAGACCCAAAGCCAGAGGGACTATAGGAGTACCTATGTTTTTGCCACATGCAGACATGAGCAAAGCCCACTTTTACTCTGGCTGTGAAGTCACAGTAGGGCTGGTTAGTGTCTATGGCTGAAGGATGAATGACTAGACACCCCAGTCTTCTAGGGCCAAGGAGATTTGAGTAGACTTTCTCCCTACCCAGTCCATTCTTTGCTTGGAGAAACCCTACGTTATTGCTTCCACAAGGGAGGAGGAGAGGATGCTCAACTGAACTGGGCAAGGGACTAAATGCCCAGCACTGGAAGTCCTACCTAGGCTCCTGCAGAGATATTTCCCTCAGGACAGCTTTCTTGAAAGGGCAGGCAAAAGAGCCAGAGTGGGAGTGGGAAGCTGTGCTGCTGGCAGCTTGCTGGCATGCCCACCTTACCACCCCACTTGAGCCTGCAAGTGTGACTCAGCAGGTTACCTTTTCCGTCTCCAGTTCTTGATCACCTGAGGGTAGAAGGATATGGACCAGGCCACGAAATATATCCAGCCAATCACTTGGTTTATGACACTAATGACATTGCTGCGGATCACGAAGAAGAGTATCCTTGGGCTAGAAAGGGATTGAGGGGATGGGATTTGCTGAGGCTGGGCTTCTGAAGGAAGCCCCACTGCACCCATGCCTAGCAGGGCCTCCCTTCCTGCCCACATAGGCAGGAGCAGAGGTCAGCCTACCTGGTCTGGTTGGAATGATTTCCATGCAGATGAGCTGTCACTTGTCCAACATTGTGAGATGTCACTTGAAAAGAGGAATTTGTTGCTCCAGGAGGCACTATAACCTGTTAGGAAGACTGAATTTGATCTGAGACTGCATAGTTATTGAGGATCTGTTCCACTGAGTGTCTCCAAACTGACAGCTAGGGAATGGGGGACATATCACACAGGGTCTACACCTTCTAAGAGCTTACTAACCAAAGGCAGGAGTGGGGCCGGCCAGCCAACCAACTTGAACCTACTTTTGTGTGTCAGGCTTTCTGAGCAGTACTGTAGCCTGGTCCTCGGGCCCTCCCCTGGCTAACTGCTAAGAGAGCGGTATGGCTTTCTTCCTCTCACTAGCCATGTGATTTCTGCTCATCTGTAAATGAAGATAACACAAGTGTCTAGCTCACAGGACTGCTAAAAATGACTTGTCTGTAAACCTTACAGTACAGAAGCTGGCACAGAGAAGCCAAGTGCTTCCTATCATAACTGGACTGCAACAGCTATGTTATTTCTACTTCCATCATTAGGCTTCTCCATATCCAAGGGTCAGCCCCTTGCCCTACCTGCTTGCCAAATGACAAAACAAAATATGTGCATATACTGGACATCTGGCAAGGAGAATATTCTCACCCTCATTTCTGCCCAGTATTTATCAAAAGCCCTGCTCCAGGAAAATGGACTTGGAAGTCTGCCTGTGACCTCTGATCTCCCAATCATTTCTCCTGATATTCTGAAATCTCCTTAGAACAGCAGGGAGTAGAATGGTATCTTTACTGAACCAAATTATCTCCTTCTGTACTTTCAACACATTTGATCCTGGATAATACCCTGGGTTCCACCCTCAGCTCATCTTGCAGAGACCAAGAAAATACGGCTCTTAGCAGCAATGGCTTTTTTCTTGTGAGGCAGAGTTTCACTATATAGCTAAGGCTAAAACTATGTAACCCAGGATAGCCTCAAACTTGAGATTGCCTTGCCTCTCAAGTGCTAGGATTACTGGCATGTGCCAATATGCTGCGTTATCAGCAGTTTCTTAATGAGGACTCTTGAGCCACCACCTTTTTGCTCTTAGCACAGAAATCAGGGGGCTTAGCAGAACAATGCAAGTAAGAATTCAATTTCTGGTCTGTGTCTTGTAAGTCACATTATTCTCTTTTTTTTTGGGTGGTGGTACTGGGGGTTGAACTCAGGCCCCTGCACTTGCTAGGCAGGTACTCTACCATTTAAGCCACACCTCCAGCTCTTCTTTGCTTTAGTTATTTTTCAGATAGGGTCTTGCACTTTTGCTGGGGGCTAGCCTAAGACTGTGATCCTCCTATCTATGTCTTCCTTGTGAAGAGGATTACAGAAGCATGCCACCACACTCAGTTTATTTGTTGAGATGAGGTCTCACTAACTTTTTGCCCAGGTTGGTCTAGAACTGCGAGCCTCCTGATCTTTGCCTGCCAGGCAGCTGGGATTATAGAAGTGCACCACTGTGCTATTCTATAGGCCACGCACTACTCTTGGCTCTTTTATTTTTCTATTGCCTCATTTACTCTCTCTTTTTTTAAAAAAATCCAACTTCCTTGCAGTGTTGTTTGCATATTTTTTAAGTGGCTACTAAATCCTATAGGAACTAGGCAGGAAGAAACTGGTCAATCAAAAATTAACCAAAACAATGTGCAATGAAATGATAACGATTACTGCCTTTACTAAGTGCTTTCTATCTGCCACAATCCCAGACTTTTACACTTGCTATTATTGCTTTTAATCTTCATAGTGTGGTCAAGCAGACATTATAACCCCCATGTCTACAAATGAGGAAACTGCTATGTTGGGCTGAAGTACATTTACCAAGGCTCAAGGGCTGGGCTCCTAGACCACCTGACTATCAAGTTCTAACCAATGGCTCCTGACGTCACAGGAGTGATTAAAGCTGGGTGAGGAGGGGCCAGGGATGCAAGAGCCTGAAAAGGTAGGTTGAAATGCCTATGAAGGTCATCTTATACAAATGGCTGTTAATTTTTAAAAATTGAACTATAATATACATGCTGAAAGATATATATGTCACAGCTTGAGAAATGTCTATACACTGACTACATTCAGAAATGAATGTTTCTAACACTTTAGAAGTCCCATTCTGTCCCTTTCAGTCTCCTGACTAAGAGTATGTGCTAGCCTGACACTACACTCATTTAATCTGTGTACTTTGTATAAAAAGAACTGTATGGCTCACATTGTTTTTGTGTCAGTCTTCTATTGCTTGACATTATGCTTGATTTTTTTTTTTTAATTTTTTTGTGGTACTGGGGTTTGAACTCAGGGTTTCACATTTGCTAGGCAGGCACTCTACCACTTGAGCCATCCTTCCAGCCCTCATATTTAAAAAAAGTTATTTTTTTTTTTTGGTGGAATTGGGGTTTAAACTCAAGAACTTTGTGCTTGCAAAGCAGGCACTCTATTGCTTGAGCCACAACTCCAGTCCATCTTGCTCTGTTTATTTTGGAGATGGGGGTCTCACGAACTATTTGCCCAAGCTGGCCTCAAACCATGATTCTCTTAATCTCAGTCTCCTAAGGACCACACAGGTGTAAGCCACTGCCACCAGCACTTGGCCTTTTGTTTTTTTTTGGAGGGACTGGGGTTTGAATTCAGGGCTTCATGCTTGCTAGGTAGGCACTCTACCACTTGAGCCAGTCCTCTAGTCAGCCTCATGTATTTCTAAAGAGGATAGTTTACTTACATGTTTGACCCTAAAATAAGCAATCAGCTTAGTTCCATGTCATCTGTGGACCAAACAGACTAAGAGGGCTTGTGCCAGACCTGTTATAAGAACCAGCAACCTTCTTTGCACGGCATACTGGCCTCAGGCCCTGGGCAGGGGGAAGCTGGGTAGGGAAGTGAGATTCACCTCTCACAGTGTCCCTTTGGGTGGGACACTCTGAACCCCCTCTCTCAGCTGTGCAATTTGTCAGATCACAGATTCCTAAATTCTTGACACTGGTCATGTTTCACTGCTGTTTGCTTGCTGGGGAGCTCAGAGCTGATTAGCAGTCCATCTCCACAACCACCAGGGGGCCTCAGGACCATCAAACTCATTCTTGCCTGGTGCTTGTGCTGCCTCTTTCCCAGCTTTATTAAGGCATGACTGACAAATAAAAATTGTATATATTCACAGAATACAATGTAAAATACACATTTCTATACGATTAAATCAAGCTAATTAACACACTGCCTTACACACTCATCATTTTTTTTGTGCTGGGACCGTTAAAGATCTAAATGTCTTAGCAATTTTCAAGTACAGTCATGTGTCCCTTGATGGGATACACTTGGAGAAATGGGTCATTAGGTGATTTCAGAACTGTGCAAATGTCATGTGTACATACACAAGCTAACATGAATATATTGTATGGGACCAATATCCTATACATGATCCTTTACGGACCAAAATGTTATTTGGCACATGACTATATACAACACCTTATTATTAACTGTAATCACCATGATGTATAATACATCATCAGAAGTTATTCATCTTAATAAACTTGCATTCATTTTGCCAATCCTTCTTAAGTCAAATGACAGGGCATAAAACACTCAGCCACAAACAGACCAACAAAAACGAAATCACGGCTTTCTAGATTGATGTATTTCCACAAGCTCTTAATTAAAATATGTTTTGTTACCTAGAATTTCCCTACCCATCAGTTACTTACTTCATCAGGGAGCTCAAGGATAGTAATATTTTTTGAACGAAATGTGATTTCAAAAGTGATCATCAAGGTTGCATTTAATGGAGGCCTGTGGAGGACAAGAGTCTGATTACTGCTGGGAAGTGGGGCCCTGTGAGACCTCAACTGACCCTCTGGATTTCACACTGGGCCTTCGTTTCTCTAGCAGTCAGGAGCAGGAAGTGCTACATGCTCAATACTAAGGGACGGGAGGTATTTTCTATCTTTTATCAGGAGACTGGATGTTCTTTGGGGTAGGGTAAGAACACCAGATGGTAGAAAACTGGCTGTGAATGATAGATGAGGCATCTTTGAGGTGTACAGGCCCATGGCTCCCTACTCCATTGGGAAAGACTTCCCAGAAAGTATCAGGTCTAAACAGGGTGTGGGGTGAAGGCCAGTACTTGACTGGAGGACTGGGCTTCTAGGATAGTCCAGGGAGCCTCAAATCTGTGCTTAGTCTTGAAGTTACTTTAGAGGACAATGGGAAACCACTCAAGGATTCTGGAAAGGGGAAAGTTGGCATTAAGAGGACAATTTGAATGACTGGCATAGTGTGGGTGGGTGTGTAGAGATGCAGGAATTGGAAATGAAACCACAGGCCTGAGGAGGGCCTAGGAGACAAAGTTTTGGTGTGAGATAGGATCTCCCAGGAGAGGTGAGGAGTAAAGTGAAAAAGACAGGGCTATAGATATTTATCTTAGGGCATCCTCACAGCTGAGAGGCAAGAGCCAGGTAAAGCAGCAAAGTACACAAAAGAAAGGCAGGCTCTCTGGCACATTCTGGTAGAAACAACTGTGCCTAAACCAGTAGGTGCCAATAAGTACGATGCCAACAGAAGCTAAGTATGAGCATCACATGGGCAGGGTCCACCTGACACAGTCACTTCCGCTTTTGAAAATGACCTCATCAGTGTTGGTCAGAATTTCAGTTTATGCCTTGACCTTCAGGGCTCTCCTGAAATACTTAGTCTAGGAAAAAATCTTGAAATATGGCATCAATTGCTGGTCACTCAAGGATTCTTCTTATTAGGTTTCCCTAGTCTATGGAGGAGAAGCACCTTATCCTCTTCCTCCCAAGTTAGGCTCAGTTAGGGCCTGAGTTTTGGACCAAACATGGCAGCCCAGGCTAGTGCCATTGTACTTTGAATGGCCTGACCTATAGCTGAGAGGCAAGAGTATTGCATATGAAATATGAACAGGCTATACCATGGGTTAGCCTTGGGCCAGCTCTAGGGTCTATTCAAGTGGGGCTAAGGACAGAATCAGACCTGAGAACTTACCCAAGGGTGATGCTGACACTGGTTGAGCTGCCATTTTCTAGCTTCACAACTGGAGGAACGGTGAGGCTGACTGTCGACTCTGGAAGGACCCAAGTCAATGACATGAATCATCAGGTCAGAGAGTACAGGCTCATGAGAAGCAGACACAAGGTCCTGGACATCTGAACTCATGAACCCTAGCTCACTGACAATCACTTTCTAGGTGAAGAGAGGAAGGGGCTGAAGGGTCCTGGAGGGGATAGAGATAGAGGGCCAGAGCAGGAAATGCTGGAGCTTCCTCTTCCCGCTCCTCTGACAGGCTCTGAGGGCCTGCTGCTGAGTTATCCAGAGAGAGTTTGAGAATCATGGAGCCCAGAAATTATCACAAAGGAACATAAGCCACTATCTGGAACTGTAAATTGTGGGCTGGAATCACCTCTTCAGATGGACAGCTCAGGGGTCAGCTCTGTTCATGGGCCAAGACAGTGCAGAAATTGGTCCAGCCCCCTTCCTGCATTCTCAAAGATGTACAAGGCCCAGCTAACATGTTTCTAAAGAATCTTTTGGGCTCCCTTCCTGACCCAGCTCAATCCATGCATGATCCCCTTCCTGAGGCTGGGAACTGGAGAATGGTGAGGATACATACTGCTTCACTATCAGGGATTTTTTTCTTGGCATTAAAGTGTTAACTGCAGATACGGCAGACAAATAGACCTCCGGGATGAGGAAGGAAGCAGGTTTGGTCTTAGAAAATTATCTTGGGCACCTCGGGGGATATGGCTCGGTGGTAGAGTACATGATTAGCATGCATGAAGCCCTGGGAAGAAAGCAGAAGAGAGAAGGAAAAGAAGGAGGAGGAAGGCAGAGGAGAGGAGGAGAAAGAGGAGGGAGAAGGGAGAAAAAGAGAAGGAGGAATAAGAATGAAGGAGGGGGGAAGAGGGGAAAATGAGGAAGAGGATGAAAAAGATGAAGAGGAAGAAGACCATCATATACTTAGAGGTCAAACACCCTGGATCACCTTGGTCACAGAACATGGCTGAGTTAGCTTGAGCTCTTCCTGTGTTCTTTGAGCAACCCACCTCCCAGTTCCTGCCCCATTCCCAGATATGCTCAAGGCCCCATGCCATACCTGCCCATCTCATCTCTCCTGCCTCTTGGCCTTTGTGGTTATACTCAACCTAGAGGTCAAGATCATGAATCTAGACTGGGATGGGGAAGGACACCCATGCAAGGGAGAAAAGTGCTCAATTCTGATGATGATAGTCCTTATGGGGTAGAGGTTACAGGTGGGGCTCAGGTTTCTTTTGCCCAGACTTCTCAAAGGCAGAAGATGGAGAGTTGAGATCTGAAGTTTTAGATGCTGAAGTTGAAAGGAAACTTCAAAGTCACCTAATTCTACCTCCTTTGTTGATTTCCCTTCTCTATCCTCCTACTCTTCTGTCTAGACACTTCCAGGGAGAATAGCCCCATCTCACAAGACATGCATTAGCCTGAAACCTGCACTTTTGGGCTCAGCTCTGCCACCTGGAACCTCTGACATCTGAGCTTCCTTTTCCATCTTGGCCCCGCCTGATGCAGACGGAGGCTGTCCCAAGTGTACAATTCCCCTGATTGAGATTCCCATGGTCCATGGTCTCTAGTCTCCTTACCTGATGGGGTCTGCTCCGATGCTGGCTGACAGTCTTGGGCCTCTTTTTTTTTTTTTTTCATACTTGCTGCTTTGAGTATGAAATCTAAGGCTCTGTTCTTGGTTTTCCCAGCTGGTGTTTGCAAGACCTATTGTCTTTACCTATTAAATTTTATCTAGAGCTTAGGACCACACCAAATAAGCAAGTCCTGGAACAAGCCACTGCTCAGGGCAGGGTCACTGAAGGTGACATCAGGAAGCCACCATACTTCTGGGTCCCTACAGCACATAGTGGGAGACCCACAGATTTCCTACAGTGTTTGCTGTTAAAGGAGAGGCTGTGAACTCTCAACCCGATCAGAGAATGTTTATTTCCCCCTCACTCAGCACCACAGAAGACAGTGATGATCAGCAATTGAGATTCTGTGCTCTGAAGTCACTCAGTTCTATCCTGGGTCTGACATTACTTAACCTCTCTAAGCCTCTATTTCCTTGCCTGTAACATGGGGAAATAACAAAGATCTATCTCACAGGGTTATTGTGAAGATGAAACGTAGCAATGTTTATAAACATGCTTTTCACATGGTCTGAGTGCTAAATAGTTGTTGGCTACTGTTATCACCTGGATATTTTTAGTTCAAGATAAGAAGCAGTTAGGAAGTTGTCTCACATCCTGGAAAAGCACATTTTAAAATCTGCTCTGGGTTAGGAGTCTGTATGCACCATGTCAGAGTCAGCAAATGAGTCACTATGAGACCACCCCAAGTTTCTTATAAAGGGAGTCTGTTTTTTTTTTTTTTTTTTTTTTGGCGGTACTGGAGTTTGAACTTAGGGCTTCATGCTTGCTAGGCAGGTGCTCTACTCTTAGCCTCGCCTTTAGTCCCCTCGCCTCTAGTCCCTCCAGTCCTTTTTTTTTAAGCTAATACTTACTGGTATTTCTTCCACTCTGTACCCCACCCCATGCCAGCAATTCTACTATGGTCTTGAATTTGTGTGCTCAAATTTATCCTCCCACTTCAGCCTCTCCAGTAGCTGGAATTATGGATGTGTGCCACTAGGCACAGCTTCTGTTACACTTTTATTACAACAAGGAACAGAAAATTTTATTGCTACTAAAGCAGGATACAAGGAAACAGAGTTCTAAGAGGGAAGATGTCTCTCCTACAAAGCTAGAAAATGGTGGAGCCAGGATTCAAACCTAGGCTGTTAGGTCTAAAGCCCAGGTTCTTACCACAGAGCCACACTGTCTCAGATTCCACCCAAAGAAGTCAGAGACAAACTCTGGATGCCAATCAGTTCATCCATAGTATTCAATGATTACTCCCCAAAGTAGAGAAGGAAGACCCAGTGGAAGGAGGCTAGAAATACAGCAGCAGAAGCATAAGCCTTTTTTTTTTTTCTTTTGGTGGGACTAGAGCTTGAATTCAGGGCTTTGCACTTGCAAAGCAGCCACTCTACTGCTTGAGCCACATCTCCAGTCTATTTTGTCCTGGTTATTTTTGAGATGAGGTCTTATGAACTACTTGCCTAGGCTGGCCTTGAACAAGTGGTCTGCCTGATTTCAGCTTCCCAAGTAGCTAAGCTTACAGGCATAAGACACTGATGCCTGCCCAGTATAAGCCATTCTTTACAGATATCTCAGCTTGTTGGGGTTCCAGAGTCTAACTTTGAGAGCCAGTTGTACAGTCTGATTTAAGAACCAACTGTTGACTTTGGTGATACAAAAAAGGTAACATGGACTCTAGGGCAGAAGGCTAATATTTGTGGAACCATCTGGCTCTTTATCAGACTCCTGGACTCCAGACCTGAGTCTGGTCTACTACTCTTGGTTGAGAGGCAGGCAGACACATGCGGCCTGGACAGTGCTAAACAGGTCAGGTTACTCACTTTATAGCCACCATATTATTTTTTACAAAGCTGATAAGCCATGTTTAAACTTACCACATTTCTCTACAAGCTTCAGGGGAAAAAGGATAAAAATAAGCAGCCAGTTGCTTATCATGTTCTCTGATTTCTCAGAACTAGAATGAAAACAGCAAGAGAATTCATGTTAAGGTTGAATCAACTCAGCTCCATGGGGACAACATGCCACCTGGAACCATGACAATAAGACAGTTCACAAAGGACTTTCACTTCACATCTGACCTCACAGGTTTGGCATCACAACCTCAGAGAGGACTTATCTTTCTTTGATATATAGGGAAATGGGCTCAGAGCAGCTAAGTGGGTTGTGTAAAGTTCCACCCTGAGGAAGTGAACACAGACCCCAATTTTTTCCTCTTCAACTGCTTTTGGCAACCTTGTTAACAGAAAGAGTGCAGTTGTATTGGCTTAGGGTTCTATTTTTTTCCCAAATTGTTCCTCTTTCATTCCACAGAAAGCAGAATGTGGGCTGAGAAGCTTAAATGCTGGGTCAGCAAAAGTCCTACAGCCTGAAAGGCTGGGACAATCTGGACAGAAAGAAAGGCATTGACAGATAAGTTGATTACAATGTTTAAAAAAAACAAAACAAAACAGATAATCATATACAACCAGTGGCTTTCTTGTAAGACAGAAATAGAGCACTTCATGACAATGAGTTCTGTCTGGTGTGCCCTTCTGGTATGAGTTCTAAACCTCTTCTAGCCTTACTCAGAGGCACCAGTTTTAAGAGCCTCTCCCACCCACACCATCCCCTCCCCAGATCAACCTGGAGTCAGATGTCTCCTGTTGAGGCTTTATACCTGTCTTCTGTCCCACAATCTGGAACTTTCTGGAGAGGTAACACAGACATGGCAAGGAATGTGTGCCTAGAGACAGGCTGTGCAGGTTCCAACCTGAGCTCCCCATATGTTAGTTATGACTTTCAAGGAAGCAAATGGATAAGGATAAAAAAAGACTGAGAAACAATAATGTAACGTGATTGCCACTACTGCCTAGGGCACCTAGCAGGTTGTCACAAAGCACACATCTTCTGCAGAGTTATTGAAAGAACAGGACCCAGGAATCCTCTCTTCTTCCAATTTGAGAATCCCCACAGGGCAGGGTGGGAGGTCTCCTGTCTAGTTCCCAGAGCCAGCACTGAGCGAGTCAAGAGAAACTCGAGGGATGGTCCTCTCGCCTCTCCAAAGTAACCTGCATATTTCCCAACCCAGAATCTGGCAAGTGAGCAGAAGGCGGGGAAGGGGTTCGAAATGCACTTGAGTGGAGCTATCCACATTACCCCAGAAGCCCGGTGTTCCTGCCTTCGCTCACCAACACCCGGGCCTTTCAACCTGGGGCTGTTCAGCGTTCCGGGACTGGTGGCACGAATCCAGGCGCGGCCGAGAGGGCCTGGACCTGCGGCAGGCTGCCCCACGGATTTGCTGGTCCAGTCTCTGGGCCTCAAGGGTCAGCGGGGGAAATGCAGGGAGGCCTTCCGTGCCGCGCCGGCCCTCACTTGAGAGCCTCCCAGGCTCAGGGGACCGACCTCACCGGACACAGCAACCACGCGCCAGATGCCGCTTCGGAATGTACGGGTTCCCCGGGCAAGGTTGACTTTGTGTGAGGGCGGGCCAGCTGTCACCTGACCCGAATCACCTGACTCATGGAGGCCAGATCTCCGCGCGAGGCTCTGTGGAAGTTGTAGTCTTTAGGTGGGTAGGCTTGTGGGAAGGACGGAGGGGTGCAGGCGCCCTGGAAGTTATGTGGCACCATATGTGAGAGAGGATCAAGCCAGTTTTGGGCACACAAAGACTCTAGGAGCCTCCATCGCCTCGCGGTGAACCCTACACTCCCTTGGTGAGCTAGGCTCCTGTCCCGGAACCTCTGCTCTACCCGGCGTGCCACTCTAGCTCCCGCCTTCTTCTGCCTCTTCACCTATCGCCGGAGCCCGCCAGGAGGGGCGCGTGAGAGCTCGCCTTTCTCGACCAATGGTGAGACGAGGAGCCGCCATGTTGGGTGTGGCTGAAAGACTGGTAGGGAAGCTCCGCCCCCAAGCCGCCCTCCGGGGTGAAGGTAGAGTGAGTAGCCACAGCTGGTAGCTAACCTGAGCTGCGCTAGTCACCACTGCCATGGCTGCGCGGTCTGTCACTCTCGGCATCGATCTGGGCACCACGTCTGTGAAGGCAGCCTTGCTGGAGGCCGCACCCGGCCACCCACGCGGGTTCATGGTCCTGGCCAGCTGCTCCCGGGCTACGCGGGCAGAGGCCGCGAGCTCGGCTGCCGGGCCCCAGGTGAGGCAGCTCCCTGGAGCCACAGCCCCAGGAGCCTCCTGACACCTCTTTTCTCCAAGAAATACTCCCTGGCAGTCCCCTTCCGCAAAGATGTCCCCCTGACTGCTCTGGCCTGTCTGACCTCCACCTGCTTGGTCTCCTCTAGAGGTCTCCTGGGCTGCTGCAGCTCTGCCTAAGCGTTTAGGTTTTCTTCCAGGAGTTTTGCTACCTGCTGGCAATGCTTTCCCCTTTTTTTGGCTTCCTCTGGGGGCTCAACCCATAGCGCTGCATCACTATTCTCTTTGCCCTCCACTTTCTGTACTTTGACCTGATTGAAATGGTCCTGCGCGTGTGAAGTAACCACAGACTTCCCTTTTACTCTTGCAGCTTCTCTGTAACTCTTTATCTGCTCTGTGCGGTCAGAGTTCAGGAGTCAGTTTGTACCCCAGGCAGAGTCTGGGTTTATCCTCCAGAAATCTGATGCAGAATCAGGCCTAATTGGCTCCTCTCATTCCTTAGAAGCCAATGTGAACTGAAAAACTCATTTGGTTAGCCAACGTCCCCCAGACCCCAAAGCTGAGACACCCCGGAGAAAAGAAGCAGATCAGATAGGAAGACACTGAGAGAAGTTGATTAAAAAATTTTTTTTTTTAAAGAATCAGATTCAGGGCTGGTGGAGTGGCTCAAGTGGTAGAACACCTGCTTAGAGCAAGCAGGAGGCCCTGAGTTCAAACCCCCAGTGCCACCGGAAAAAAAAAAAAAAGAATCAGATTCATAACTATACACTTAGAATCAGTGGCTCCTGAGAGCTACAAGATAAAAGGAGAATTTCAACTGGGCACTGGTGGTTCACGCCTGTAATCCTAGCTACTAAAGAGGCAGAGATCAGGAGGATTGGCTTTGGAAGCCAGTTGGGTCAAATACTTCCCCAGACCCTATCTGGAAAATATCCAACACAAAAAAGGGCTGGAGTGGCTCAAGCGGTAAGAGCACCTGCCTAGCAAGCATGAGGCCCTGAGTCCAAACAAAGGGAGAATTTTAGGACAATGGGCTATGTTGGAAGATGTGGGTGGGTTCAGAAAGGATGTCCTCAGACCTGGGTCCTGTTTGTTTCCTGAAAACTGTCTATGTCCAGTCAATTGACAATTGAAATTAGTAGCAAGGATTTTTCTGTATAACCTCTGACTTTGCCCTTTGAGTTGATATAGGTGGCCTCAAAGGCCTCTTGCAGCCACAAATCTTGACTTTTCTGGTCCAAACTGCACCCCCAAGAGCTTTATTTTTCATAAGCTCTTGCCACATATGTGGACTCAGTTCTTTAGGGTGCAGAATCCATCTTGCTGGGAAGCATTTCAGAGGATAAAGATTTCAGGAGCACTTTGCATTTTCATAGAGGCCTTCAAAATTAGTTTGATTGGGCCTCAGGGTATTTTAGAATGATTATTTCACTTCAGGGACTATAAAATGGAGGCTAAATTGGCTCTGACCCTGTGGGGGTGAGCAGCTGAGCTGGGATTACAGGACAGTGACCTTAGGCACTGCCCTTTTCTCTTGAAATAAAGCCACTTTCTCTCTCTCTCTCTCTCTCTGTCTCTCTCTCTCTCTCAGTGCTGGGAATTGAACTCCATGCTTCTGCATGGTAGGCAAGCATGCACTCTACTACTGAGCTACATTCCCAGTCCAGGGCCACTTCTTGGAAACTAATTTCTCTCACTTCTCCCAGCATCCAGCAGGCTGTTTTCTGCTTACAGGTGCACCCAGCATGTCACACCTGTCCAATGAAGGGTAATTATTGCCTCCCCATATCATTTACAAATGAGCTTTGCTCTGGGACAAACAACATTGCTGTGATTCATCTAGAGCATGTTTCTCAGCCTTGGCAGTGTTGACATTTGGGCTACCTATTTCTTGGTTGTGGGGGCTGTTCTGCGCACTGTAGAATGTTTGGCAGCATCCCTGCCTCAATCCATTAGATGTGAATAGCACTTCCCCTTCCCAGATGTGATAGATGTGTCCTCATTGCGAAATGTCTCTAGAGAACCAAATCACCCCCAAGCGAAAATCACCTGTCTATAAAATGCCCATTGCTATGTCCTTTCCTTATGAAAAGTTTGTCCATAGTTTTCATTTATCATAAGTACTATGTACACTATGGTCAAGCATGGTAACTATTTGGAAAATCAGTAGTTTTTAGGGATTTTCCTTTTTTTGAGACAGGGTCTTGCTGTGTAACCCAGGCTGGCTTTGGGCTTGTGATCCTCCTGCCTCAGCCTCTGGAATGCTGGGATCAAAGGTATGTGCCACTGCACCTGGCTAAAATACTTTTTTCTTTTTTTTTTTGTGGGACTGGTTTTGAACTCAGGGCTTCATGCTTGCAAAGCAGGTGCTCTGCTGCTTCAACCACACCGCCAGCCCCTAAAACAAAGTTTTTGAGGAAAGCTCTGTGTTCCTTTCTCAGTTATTTGTCTTTACTGGGTTTTAGTCTCCTCATCTGTAGAAAGGAGCCTAGGAAGGAGTGGGTTTGAATGAGTTTCTAAGCATTTTTTTCAGCTCTAAAGATAGGAGATTTGGCCAAGCATTGGTGGCTCACGCCTATAATTCTAACTATCAGGAGGCAGAGATCAAGAGGATTGTGGTTTGAAGCCAGCCTGGGTAAATAATTCGTGAGACCCTATCTTGACAAAATCCATCACAAAAAAGGGCTGGTGGAGTGGCTCAAGGTATAAGCCCTGAGTTCAAATCCCAGTACCAAAAAAAAAAAAAAAGATTTGGGATTTGATCTAGGTGTAGAGTGACTGATATGCCAAACTAAGACATGGTGGAACAAAACAACTGTTCCTGTTATACTGTGGATGTGCCCATTGTCTGTCCCTCTGATCATACCCCTAAGGCTTGAACTAACTGCTCAACACTGCCACTTTGTCTTCACTCCCATGTGGCCTGTTTCCCTCCTCCACAGTTTCCATCCACACAGCTGGCCTATTTTAAACAGTGGCTCCTCTGTCCTGGGATGAGGCAGCACATGGTGGGCACTCATTAAACCAGTGCTGTCCAACACAAGTGCAAGCTACAAATATGAACCACACATGCAAGTTTCAAGTTTTCTTTTTCTTTTTTGGCAACACTGGGCTTTGAATTCAGGGTCTCATGCTTGCTAGGCATGAACCATTACACCAGCCCAACAATTTAATTTTTGATTAGCCATAGTAAAAGAAGTAAAATGAAGCAACATGCCTGTAAGCTCAGCTTCTAGGAGGGTTGAGGTATGAAGTAAGCCCAGACAAAATTGTGAGAGCTTACCTAAAAAATAAACTAAAAGCAAAGGAACTGGGAGTGTGGCTCAAAGGATAGAGTACTTACCTAGTAAGCATGAGGTCCTGAGTTCAAACCACATTACTGAAAAAAAAGTAAAAGAAAACAGTGAAATTAATTTTAACTATGTATTTTACAGTTAGGGAAGGGAAGACTGCACTCCCTGGAGGGAACCAAGGGACCTCAGGGTTCAGGTTTTGGGTGCTTTCCTACCTGTAAGCTTTTTTACTTCCTCAAAGAATCACCATTTATTGAGAACTGAGCCTTTTTTTTTTCCCTTCTCTGACCTTCCCAGGGATCCTTATAGTTGTTAAAGGCTAGTTTGTTTTGTGTCTTGAGGTGATTTTTGTGTGCCAGAAATAGCTTATTTTGGATGAAGTAAAAATAAGTATTCCATTTATGAAATTCAGAACACTGAATTCTTACTTAAGCTTTTAAATTTAACTCACAAAGGTCATTCTATTAATAAGTAACATTAAAAAAAGAAGAAACCTAACAACAACAAAAAAATCCAAAACAAAATGAGAGAGTGAGAGAGAGCAAGCTAGGTGGAATAGAATGCTTATTTAAAAGGCTTGAGATCATGGGTTTGACTCCTGGCACCACAATAAAACAAATCAAAATAAAAAGTCTAGTATTTTTTTCTTTTTGAAACAGCATTTCACTGTATTCAAGGCTGGCCTTGAACTCCAGATCCTTTTGCCTCTGGCTCCTGAGTGCAGGGATTAGAGACATGCACCACCATACCAGGCTAAAACGTCTAACATTTGAACCATCATTTCTAATGGTCTTTGAACAATATTCAATATCATTTTAGCTAATTAAAAAATTCCTCAAATATTTGATTTTTATTTATTTTAAAAAGCTTTTTGGGTGTGTGTGTGTATAGTACTGGGGATCAAACCCCAGTTCCTCATGCATACTAGGCAAATGCTCTTCCAATGAGCACTTTAGATGTTTTAAAATGCAATTATACATTTTACTTATTTTCTGGTTTAGGTATTACAGTTTGTCAAAAAGTCAATTTCAGAAACTGGCTTGGAGGTATAGCTCATTGGTAGAGCTCGTGCTGTACTTAATCCCTAGCACACATGTGCAAGGGCATGTGTGTGTGTGCACACACACACATATACACACAAACACAAACAAACGAAACCAAACCCTCTGAAACTGCAAAAATAAAAGCCCTTTATTTGGGGTCTTGGGGATGCAGTTCTGAAGACACAGGTTCAGAAGTCAGGGAAGATGGGAACTTCAATGGGCAAGCAGTAAAGATTCTTTTGTAGGCAATTTCTAATGCAATTGAGAAAGAACAAGTGTTGTATGACAGGGGTTATGTGTGGAGTAGACGATAAAGAAAAGAATGTATGTATTTAGTAAAAATGTCCATAAGCCAAGAGCCCAGTAACCTCTCAATAGGTGTCTCAAGTCTCTGGGCTTATTGTAATTATCTGTTCTAGAGACCACAGTCAAAGGAGGAAGGTGACCAAGGCTCAAACCTCAAGCAGCAGTTTATTTGTTTGTTTATTGTGTTGGGTGAGGGGACATTGTAGCATTTACAAAGGTTCTTACGATATATCAAATATATCATACTTGAAAGAGAGCAGTGGAGGGGGTGAATTCATCTCCCCTCCCCTGATTCCTGGAACATTTTCAACAGGTATCACTTTTGCATTTACATAAATGTATATACATTATTTGCATTGTATTCATCCTCATACCCCTTCCCCACCCCGTTACTCACCCCGCCTCCTGAACTTGTTCTGCCCTCCTGTTCTTCAATTTTGTAGAAGAAAAAACAAAAAATAGAGAAACATGGCATTTTTGTTAGTTTGAGATAAAGATAGTTACACAAGGCGTTTCCTTGTGTTGTTTCCATGCATATATGTATGCAACCCCAATTGGTTCATCTCTGTCAGTTATCTTCACTTCTCCCTAGTCCACTTCCCATGGTGACCCCAGCCAGTTTAAGATTTCTGTATTCATTACTGTACCATCAGCACATAAACCACATTCAAGCTTTTGGTTTTCTTCCTTTGTCCTATCCCTCCTGTGCACAGCCTCCCCTTAGTGTTGACCTGTGTCCCATAATATTGCTGCACTTGTTTTGAGTCTGCAATCTGCATATGAGGGAGAGCATGCAGCTTTTGGCCTTCTGAACCCGACTAACTTTACTTAAGATGATGTTCTCCAGTTCCATCCATTTACCTGGGAATGACAGAATTTCATTCTTCTTAATGGCTGAGTAAAATTCCATTGTGTATAAATACCACATTTTCTTGATCCATTCATTGGTAGTGGAACATCTTGGCTGTTTCCATAGCTTGGCTATTGTGAATAGCGCTGCAATAAACATGGGTGTGTGGGTGCCTCTGGAGTAACTTGAGTCACATTCCTTTGGGTATATCCCTAGGAGTGGTATTGCTAGATCGTATGGCAGATCTATGTTTAGTTTTTTGAGGAGTCTCCCTATTGTTTTCCATAGTGGTTGTACTAGCTTACATTCCACCCATCCTTGCCAACATTTGTTGTTGATGGTAGCTATTCTAACAGGAGTGAGGTGGAATCTTAGTGTGGTTTTGATTTGCATTTCCTTTATGGCCAGGGATGGTGAGCACTTTTCCATGTGTTTTTTTAGCCATTTGGACTTCTTCCTTTGAAAAGCTCTCTTCAGTTCATTTGCCCATCTCTTCATTGGGTCATTGATTTTTTGGGGGGGGGAGTGTAGTTTTTTGAGCTTCCTATATATTCTGGTTATCAGTCCCTTGTCTGATGTATAGCTAGCAAAGATTTTCTCTCATTCTGTGGGTGGCCTTTTTAATTTAGAGACCATTTCTTTTGTTGTGCAGAAGCTTTTTAATTTCATTCAGTTCCATTTGTTGATCCCTTCTAGTTGCTGAGCCACCAAGCAGCAATTTAAATCATGTGTAAGCTCTGCTTCCTAATGACCTTCTGACATGTTGAAAGCTCTTTCAGTGTTGTTTTCATGATGATTTTTTCCTTATTTTCACAAATTGACTTAAATATTTTCAGAATGCTGAAGTAATTCTTTCTCCCTCCCCTCCCTTCCCCTCCCTTTCTCCTCCCCCTCCTTTCTTTGTTGTGCTGGGGATGGGACCCAGGGCTTTGAGAATGCTTGGCAGGCTTTTTACCAATGAGCTAAGCCTCCAGCATTACTTAATGCTTATTAAATCAAATAAATTAAATCTATGCCAAGAAAATGTAAATGTTCTTATATGTTTCAAATTCTTTTTATAAATGTAGTGAGATTTAAATTTATAATCACAAATCTAGATCAATTACTCAGTTTCACATTTTAAATTATAGTTACAAAAGTAGCCTGGGCTGGATTCTCTTAAACTTATAAATCTACTTAAAATACTAAGTACCCCATTACTCAAGTACAAATATTAATAGCACAGGTATGATTCTTTTAAACCTGTACATGTTTAATTTTTGATTTTTGCACTTTGAAATTTACCTATTCACAGAGAAAACAATGATGCCAGCTGTGTTGCTTTCCCATTGAATATTTTCTGGCAGCCTTTTTAGCTTATTAAGATTTAGAGGGTTGATTCTGAACCTACTTTTAAGACCTTTTAATTTCCTTTAGATCAAATTACTCAGTATGCCAAAAAAACCCAACAACCCATATTTGGAGGAGTACTGTTTTCTGAGCCCCAGCACTACTGCTAAGAAAGCATGTGAGGATGACCCCTAGTGTTCTAGGCCCTACTGGTGTGGGGTGGAACCCTAGAGTCCTATTTATAATCGCCAATGGGGACTTAATACTTTAAGGATAAGGTGGTCACAGAGCCTGGATTTTTTTTGTCAGTGCTGGGTTTTGAACTCAGAGCCTCATGCTTGCTAGGCAAGTGCTCTACCACTTGAGCCATGCCCCCAGCAAAGCCCGGATATTTTAGGTTTGTGTCTCATCATTGCCTATTTTGAGTCAAATTGGTAACTTCTATCTCTTTGGATGTACTGCTTTTTTTTGTGGGACTGGGGTTTGAACTCAAGTCTTCACACTTGCAAGGTAGGCTCTCTACCATTTGCCACACCTCCAGTGCATTTTGACTTGGTTATTTTGGAGATGGGGGTCTCCTAAATTATTTGCCCAAGTTGGCTTCAAATGACAGTCCTCCGAATCTCAGTCTCCCACTTAATTGGAGTGTCCCCTCCTTTCTTGATCCAGCCCAGGGCCTTGTGCATGCTCTACAAATGAGCTGTGTCCTCAGTCCCAGAGTTAGTATTTTATTTTACTTATCTTTTTGATGGTACCAGGGTTTGAATTTAGGCCCTCATGCTTGCTAGGTAGGGACTCTACCACTTGAGCCAAATCCTTTTTGCTTTTGTTAATTTTTGGATACTCTTGCTTTTTTGCCCATGGCCAAGGTTGGTCAGTGATCCTCTTACTTACAATCTCCGGCATAGCTGGGATAACAGGGATGTGCACCATGTCTGGCATATTTGTTGAGATGCAGTCTCACTAATGTTTTTTCTTGGATTGGCCCAAACCATGATCCTCCTGATATCTTCCTCCTGAGTAGATAGGATTATAGGCATGAGCCACCTTGCCCCATCCAGAGTTGGCATTTCTTTAGCTGTAAGATATCAAAATATGTTTTCCCTATCTGATGTCAAAGACCCAATTTGAACTTGTTCGAATCCTGTGTTCTTTTCACATTATTACTTGATCTTAGGATCACGTAACTCTTATAGGTATTAATATGATAATGGGTTAAATTCTGCTTACCTTTTATGACTTTGTCTCTTTTTTGGTGTTGCGTATTGAACCTTGAGCATACTAAGCATGGACTATACCACTGAGCCCTCAGTCTGTCTTCTTTTCTTTTTAAAAGTAAGAGCCCCTTTATTTTTAATTCTTTATTTTTTGTCTCACTATGTTACAGGCTGATATCCAACTCCTGGGCTCAAGCGATTCTCCTGTATTAGCTCCCCCTTCCCCAGTACTGGTATGACAGTACCTGGCTGGGACTGTCTTTCAAGATTATTCTGCTTAGAGGCAGTTTTCAAGTTAGAAGAAAAGGTTCCCAGAAAAATATGGTCTTGACTTCTTCAATCTCTTCTCACCCCTGAAAAATCTCTCTATACAGCAGTTCTCTCTGTCATTGATGCCATTGCCACTTTATCTTAAAACAGCTCTGATGTTGTTACTCTCTTTAAGAACACCTGGAGGCATCCATTACCTTCAGGAAGAGCCCCTCTTCCTGTGGCTGGAATTGGGTCCTAGCCTCTCCTTTCTTTCACCCTCCTTTCCTGCCACCCAGTCACTCAGCCCAGCCTATCAACATTGTGCTTGAATGCCCTCTTGGCTTCCTCTTTACCAAGGAGGTTTTGGTTTCAAGTCCAGTGCCTGGCTGTCCCAGCACTCAGGAAATGCCTGCCACAGGGCAAACTACCATCTGTATGTGAGCACACTAGGACTCATCTCAGAGTTCTTTAGTCTTTTGGGCCTTTCTTGACTGTGTGTTTCCTGTGTTGGGGCTTAAAGAACAATTACTCCTCCCCCATATGGCATTTTTTGGCATGCCGAGCAATTTGATTTAAGGGAAATTAAAAGGCCTAAAAACAGGTTCAGAATCAAGATCCCTCTAACCTTATCTTGCTTTTCCCACTCAAGCAAATAGGATTTCTCTTGAATTCCCTTGCATGCATTAAGGCTAGACTGCAAGCCAGGAAATGCACTTGTCATCCCAGCTACTCGGGAGAAGTAAGGGGGATCGATGAGGCCCAGAAGTTCAGGGATAGCCTGGACAACATAACTAGACTTTATCCACCCCATCCTTCCTCCCAAAAACACAGACTTCAGAGGGAATAGAATTGCCTTCCATCCCCACCCAAAATATCATTTTGCATCTCAGAAAACAAGACTGAGGAATGTAACCCACCTGGATAGACTTCCCTCACAGGATAATGTCTGTCCCTGGGGCTCAAATTCCAGAAGCTAATTTGTCTCCTTCCCTCCCTAATTATCATTTAAGTCTTCTTAAAATTGTCCCCATTCCTCATTATTCCCTTCCTTTCTCTCTTTAGAAAAGGGGTATTTGAGCTTCAGAATTATGTTGGGCCTGTGGGTAATCACACTGCTATGTCTATTGCACATTGTGCCTTGTCTCCTAGTTAATACATTTCCAGTGAACCGGGGCGGAGGGAAAATTTTCCTTTGCCCCTATACCTATCAAGCTCTTCCCTGCTGCATTGTCCAGGGGTACAGGGGTGGACAAGAGGATTCTTCTCTTATTTCTCCTACTAATAGTGTGGAGCAATGTTGTCTCAGCTCAGTTTGACCCATAGTGGTGGGCCAAGCCTCGGTCATCTGCTGAACCTGTCTACAGCAGCACCTTATCTGTGAAGGTCGGGAGTGGGCCCTTGTTAGACAGTCCCACTCAAAGCCTGCTGGAGCTGACAGGAAACCCTAGGTGCCACATCTCACCCTCGAGGCTTCTCATCAGGTCTTGGAAGTAACCTTGTTGGACCTAGCAGGATGGCCCGCCCTTCAGGAAATCCCTGGAGGCCTGCCCTCCTCTGCCTGCATATTTATCCTCTCATGCCCACTGTGCCCTGTTTTATTTTCAGGGACGAGAGCAGGATGTGAGTAAAATCATCCAGGCACTAAACGAGTGCCTTGCAGCCCTTCCCCAGGATCAACTCCGGAAGGTCAGGACCATTGGAGTGTCTGGACAAATGCATGGTGTAGTGTTTTGGAAAACATGCCAAGGTATGCTAGGTTTGGGGAATGATCACATGCTGCTGACATTCACTTATAGAGCAAGGCTGTGAAGGGCTGAGCAGTGTCAGGTTATCCTGCCATGGGAATAGTGTCTTGCTTCTCAGAGTGAAATAGCATATGCAGCTTCTTGCATTTTGTGTACATTTTGTCTGGTTTAAATGTGTGATGACAAAATGAACTATCCACTCACAACGTCATCAGCACATTCCATGAGCAGGCAAGAGGGAAAGGGAGTCTTGTTTGATCCTTCTGTATAACTCAGTGGAATGGATTTTCCACAGCTTTCTCTTTATTTGTGCCGGTGTCTCAGAACATTAGTACTGGCCACCAAGCAATTGCTTGTAACTGTAAGAGATACCAAGACACAGAGGAAACTTTGGAATTTAGGCATAAGTTTTTTTCTTCACATAATCACAGGTATTGGTGTTTGTTCATTAACAGCAAGTAATCCCTTTAAGAGGTCAGTTGCAAAGCTTTACTTAGTTGGTCATCTGATGAAGGTCTGCCTCAGTATAGTGATGGTGACCTGTTCTCTCGTCCCCCAGAAGGAGAAGGAATACAACAGCTAGCACTTTATTGCCAGGTGCTGAGCTATAGACATTACCTGTATGGTCTCATCAATTTTCCCCAACACTTTAGGTTGAAGGTAATTATCATCATTGTGCGGATGAGGAGTTGAAGTTCAATAGGTTAGAACAGTGTGCTCAGGATTATGTGGCAGCAAGTAGCAATTCTGGCTTTTGAACCCAGGTCTGTGTGAATTCAGATACTGAGCCTTTAAAGGCCTCTAAGAGGACCAGAGTTACAGGAGGGTCCAATGGCCCAGAAAAGGGGAAGGACTTCCCAAGAGAATATCCAAGGAAAGATAAGACTCCTATAGGAAGTCACAAGCTCTGCTATAGTAGATATTGCATTTTTTTTTTGTTATTGTGGTTTTGAGATAGGGTCTTATAGCCCAAACTGGCCTAGAACTCACTGTGTAGTCCAGGCTGGCCTTGAACTTAAGATCCTCCTGCTTCTACTTCCCAAGTGCTGGGATTATAGATGTGAGCCACCATGCCAGACCAATTTTTTTTAATTATAGAAAATGTTATATAAACATAAAATGGGAAGAGTAGTATTATGAACCTATCACTGGCTTCAACATATCAGCAACACTTGAGTGTAGGTAGATTCTTTTATAAAAAATTTTTTTAGATGGGGGGGGTCTCACCCCACCCATAGCTAGGACTATAGGCATGAACCACCACCACATCTGGCTGAGTGCAGGTGTTTCAAGTAGAGGATAGATGGTTACTTTAGACTAATGTAGTTAAGAGGATGTGAACATTGTATTTACCCCTTTCTGCCTGGAGAGCCAATGACTCAGAGCCCTCTTAACTGAGCAAGTGGTGACTTGCCTGTCAGTGTGACTGGTGTCCAGTGATGTGATTCTTTAATCACTGCCTTGGAAGGGGCTAGGTAATTGAGGAAGGCTTCACAAGTTCTTTTCCTCCTGCTTCCTCATCTGCCTGTTGTCAGGCTAGCTGGGATGATGGGCACTGCTTGGCTTCAGCAGTGGCAGGAGCAGAAGGTTGATTTGGGCACCAGAGCTGACCTCTTCCTCTTGGAAGGAGTTGAGGTTGTAAAAGCCTTTTCAACTCCTTAATTATTCATGAACAAGAATAAATGTCCTTTTAATACTAAAACCCTTCCCAAGGAGGACAGCAGAGATCTGATGATTGTGGTCTGATCACACGCCTTCCTTTATGTGCATCTCCTGGACTCTGTACCAACCACAGAAACCATCAGCTGCATGGTTGGAAGGAGCTCCTTAATATTTCATTGAGCTAGTCTGCTGTCTTTTGTTTTGTTTTCTGTTTCTGGGAAGCAGGAGGATAGCCACTGTTTGATGATGATGATGATTCCTGCTTAGGAGAGCTGAGTGAAAGGAGATTTGGCATCAAGTTATGCCGCTTTTAGGGGCAGCCTCAGTTCAGTTTGGTTTCAGTGCCTTTAACATATAAAGGCTTGTGTGGGCCCTGAGGGAGATATAGAAGTGAGTGGATGAAGCTTGTACCTTCCAGAACATAGCCAATAGTTAGGCATTCATAGCATGAGTGGAGATGTAAGTGCTTCAATGAGGGCACAGGAGAATAAGTTGGAGAAGAGGGAGTGATTAGCATTTTCTGAGAGGACTGTGGTTACACCTGTTTTCAGATTCCATTTATAGGCTCAGTAAAAGCAGGAGAGAAATGGGGATTATAAAGCAAAGCTAAAAGGTGAGCATTATACTGGAAGAAAATATCTGTCAGTTTTGGATACATGAAGAACAGACATCAAAACAGAGAAGCAATAACAAGGAAGGACGAGCCAAGGACAGGCAGTTTCTAGAAGAGGAAATACTGTGGCTAACAAACATGTCAGGAGATGATCAGTGTCATTAGTAATTAAGGAAGTACAGATGACAACAACAAGAAACCATTTCTCACCCATTGGCTGGGAAAACTAAAAAAATTTGGGAATGCCAAGTGCTGTCAAATGGGGTGGAAAACTGGTTCTTTAAAATAATGATGCTGGTTGAGTAAATTAGTATAGTTGTTTTTGAGGGCACTTTGGCAAGGCCGATTTAAAATAAGGTAGCTGCTGTGACTCAGGAGTTATATGACTTGGAATCTGTCCAGGAAAAGTACTCTAATATATATGTGCAGGAGGAAGCATCATCATGGACGTGGTCCCTCACTGCATCTTCACTTAGAGGAGTGAAGATTTGACATTTACCTGTGGGGATGCACTAAATAAATGTAGGCAGACAGTAGTTAAAAAGGATAAGATACATTCAAGCATATTGACATATAAAGAACTCAAGAACATTTTGTTGGGCAACAATAAATATAGTACAATACTGTTGGTTACAAAATATACTAAAAACTCCATACCCTTATCAATTAAACAAAACAAAATTTGTAGTATGAGTGTAGGAACTGAACAGTTATCCAGCAAGTGCTGATAGGGGTAAGGAGGGTGGGGGATGGACAAGCAGTACCTTTGCTTTATCTGTAATAGTTGAAGATTTTATATTAAGAATGCACACATTTATCAATGTGTCATTAAAAACTTAAAAATATGGCAATTCTTTACCAAAGGGAAGAAGGGAAGAAAGATAGAAAGAAAATGAGATACCTATTGGGTCAGATTCTAGGACAGATTGCCTAGATCTGAATCCTGTTTCTACCACTTTTTAGCTTTGTCGGATGGTAACATTTGAAATACAAACAATGAACTTCCTGCTTCATTTTTCTTAAGTGTGTTTTCTTCATTTTTCCTATGTGGGGATAATTATACACCTGCTTTATGAAGTTATGTAGATTAAATTAATATTTTTAAGTGCTTTGAATAATACCTGGTACATGGTAAGCACTCTATTTTTGTTTTATAACAAAATTATAGTTCAAGAAAATTAAAATGGAATCACAGGGAATGAATCTGATAGATTCACTATATATGTATGAAAATAGTATAATGAAACCCACTTTAAAACTGTTAGAAAAGGAAAGGGAAGAGAAAAAGGGGTTAAGAAAGACTAATATAGACAGGGTGAATTTGATGAAAGTACATTATATGCATATATGTAAATAACACAATGAAACCCCTTCATTCAAATGGGGGCTGGAGGTGTGGCTCAAGTGGTACAGCCTAGTAAGTACCAGGCCTTGAGTTCAAACCCCAGTCTATTTGGGGGAGGGGTTAAGAGAATATAATAGAGGGGGTAGATTTGTTCAAAGTACACAGTACATATCTGTAATTATCACAATGAAACACCTTTGTGTGCTAAAAAAAGAAAAAAGTAAAATAAAAAACTCTTAAAAGAGAGGCTTAAATTTGATTTTCTGTTTTAAAGTTTCTGCAGGACAAGATCTGAGCCCAGGCCTGCAAGTAGACCACAAGTGACATCTATACTCCTTGATCTGAGATCAAAGTCTTGGGCAGATGCAGATAAAACGAGAGAGAGAGATGTCTTCAAATAGGCATTAAATAAGACAGGGCTTATGTTCTTCAAGGGTCAAAGTCTTGTTCACAGCTCAAGATCCTTCCTCTAAGACCTGGATAGAGCTCTTGGAATGTTACCAGTAGACACTTGGCTTGTTAGAGGAACTGGGAAGAGTCCATTGTTTTCCAGAGTCTTGCATCTTGTTTCAGGAGCAATTAAAAACGAAAACACAGAAAAAATTTAAAATAGAGTTAAAAGTGTTTTGGAAGCAGATAAAGGGATTAAAAAAAGCTGTAGAGATATTGAGAAGTAGAATAAGAATCACATGCATGAAAGAATGAATGGATGGATGATTTATGGCCTACAACTTTCTTTCTTTGCTTTTTGGTGGTATTGGGGTTTGGCTCAGGGTTTAATACTTGCTAGGCAGGTGCTCTACTATTTGAGCCACTTTGCCAGCCCATTTTGTGTTGGGTGTTTTCAAGATAGGGTCTTGAGAACTATTTGCTTGGGCTGGGTTTGAACCATGATCTTCTTGATTTCTGCCTCCTGAGTGGCTAGGGTTACAGGAGTAAGCCACTGGCACCTGGCTTTCTTTGGTTCTTGGTGAACAAATTTATAGGAAAACATGATTTACCTTGGCTCCCAAACTTGGGGTCTGAAATCAGACACAGCCATGAAACAGCTTTCCATGGCATTGCCCTGCTCAGCTGAGGGCAGCACCTTTCTGCAGTGGGAGCCAGATTTTCACTTCCTCATTGCTTTGGGCCTGGGGTAGCATATCATGGTGGGAGCACAAGGTTGAGCAAAACTGCTTACCTTGTAGTTAAGAAGTAGAAAAGAGAGAGAAAGAAACTGGTGAACCACGTGTTCTTCTGAGGGCACAGTCCCAGTGATCTAAAGACCTCCCACTAGGCCTTACCTCTTAAAGTTTCCATCATGTTCCAATAGCACCAAGCCAGGGGCCATTCTTTTAATATATGGGTTTTTGGGAAACAATTCCAAACTATAACTGAAGCTAAAGGTTTATTATCATCATCATCACTACATCATCATCTTTACTAGTTTGTACTGAGTGCTCACTATGTACCAGGTACTGTTTTAAGTGATTTATATATCCTAAATCATTTAGCACACAACCGTACATAAAATACACACAACTCTTAACTATAACCTTAATTCTGACCCTTCTCATTACTGCTAGCCTGAGAGAAAAGTGGCAGAACCACTAGGATCAAGAGTTCTAAGTGCTTTCTGCATCTGGACTTTCAGAAACAGTTGCCATCAAGATGCTGAGCTAGCGTGACCACCAGGTTTGTTCCCGTGACTGGTTTCAGAGGAATTGTAAGAAGAAAAACACAAAGAAAAGGGGAATCAACATGCACAATCTGGGGTGATAAGACTCATTTGTGTTGGTGTGCATGGGTTGATGATTTGGGCCTGGGCAAGAGGCATCCAGCCCTGTCTATGGCAGGACAAGCTATAAGGGAAACTGGCTCACTGTGGTCACCTGATCCATACCCATAGGATGGAACTCAAGTGTCTTCAGAGATAAAATTAAGGAAGCAGAGAAAAGTACTTGCCTCCCCTCCAACTATAGGACTGGTGACCGATAATCTAAGGGTCCTCATAGTACTGTTTATCTTGGGGAGGGAGATGGGAAGTCCTGGCCTGAGGAGATAATTTGTGGGGTGGGTGATGAGGTAACTGTGGATCCATGCAAGACTCATGCAGTTTTCCCTAGCTCATGGGGGCTTGTATGAACCAAGGCCAGGCCCAGTGACATTGCCTGGCAGCGTAACTAGTGTTGGCAGGGGAAAATGAGCTCACTGGCTAGGATAACAAGACATTTGGAGAGCTAGGTTATCAGAGGCAGAACTCTTAGAATGGAACAAACTAAGAATTTAAAATTAGTTTGATATACTAAATAATCCTGAAGGAAGATATTAGCAAGGACACAACAAAATAACAAGAACAACCAAAAAAAATGAGGTGTGAAAGACACATTAGTTGAAACAAAAATGTAATATATGAAATGAATAGCAAAACAAATTAGAGAATGAAAGATCAGATTGAGGAGATTTGTTGGAAGGAAGAAGGAAAGGATAAAGAAGTAAAAAAAATATATAAAGTCAAGAGATAGTGAGGATACAAATAGAAGCATTAAAATCTGCATAATTGGAGACCCAGAGAGAAAAATAAAAGCAGAGAGAAGGATATTTGAAGAAATAATGGAGAAAAATTTCTCATAATTGACAAAATAAGATGGGATATCACAGACTGAAGCATCCACAGCTGATATGTTCCAGTGAACTAAGGATTTCAAAGTGAAAATTTCAAGAGCTTACAGAGCCAAAGATCAGATATAAAAGAGTAAGGAGCAGATTGACAGCAACACTATGGAAACGATAATGGAACAGTATTTTGATTATTTGTTGCTGTGTCATTCTCTCTAAACTTAGTGACTTAAAATAGCCACTACTTTATCTTACCTCATCATCTTTGGCCCAGAGTTTGGGCAGGGCTCAACTGATTGATTTTTTTACATGGAATTGATAGAGGTTGCTTGTTAGTTTCATCTGTGGACAGGCTAGTCAGGAGTGTTCATGATGGTCTTACTTAATGTCTGGTACCTTGGTGGGAAGGTTATAAGGCTGGGCTTTTCTAGAAATGTCTGCCAGACTTACACGTAACCTTTCCCTGTAGTCTCTCTGGCACTGTGGCTTTAGGGTAGCTGGGCTTTTTACCAGGAGGCTGGTTTCTCCCAGAGAGGCTCCAGTGGGAGCTGCAACTTGGATGTCCCAAGTTGTGACTTCCTCTACATTTTCTTGGTCAAGTCACCAAGGCCAGCCCATAATCAAGGAAAGAGGATTTAGATGTTACCTCTTAATGGGAGGTGTATCAAAGAATTTGTGGAAATATACCACAAATAGTGATTTTTTAAGCGTTGGAAAAGAAGGAACATTAATCCTAGAATATTACAATAGATCAGGTTGTCATTCAAATATGTGAACATGAAAAACATTTGGAGGCATATGCAAATACTTTGCCACAGAAAGATATATACCGGAAACAGTTTTTTTTTTTTTTGCGGTACTGGGGCTTGAACTCAGGCCTTACACTTGCTCTAGGAAGGCACTGTACCACTTGAGCCACTCTACCAGCCTTGGAAACAATTTTGGATGAAATATCTAAATCCGAGCAGAAAAAAGTTCCAGAAGATATCACAAGAAATAAGATGGCTAAAATTTTTTTTGGGGGGGATTGGTGCTGGGGTTTGAACTCAGGGCCTCACACTTGCTAGGGAGGCACTTTACTACTTGAGCCACTCTTCCAGCCCTTTTTTGTGTTGGGTATTTTTGAGATAAGGTCTCACTTTTTGCCTGGGCTGACCTCAAATCTTGTTCCTCCTGATCTCTGCCTCCCAAAGCTAGGATTACAGGTATGAGCCACCACTGCCTGGCAAGGATGGCTGAATTTCTTAGTGAAGTTTGCAGCTTGGGACTGCAGGTGTCACTCCGTGGTAGATGCAAGAGGCCTTCAGTTTAAGCGCTAGCCCCCTATAAATCCCGCCCCCCAAAAAATAAAAAGTCAATTAGCTAAGACCAATGGAAAAGAAAATATTTTGGTAACCATCCAGAATCAAGCCTAGACAGTGTTATCATGATAAAGGTTGGAAGGATGGTAGAGACCAGAAAATTTGAGACTGTGCCAAACATCTTGTTTTATGGGGTTGGACAAAATATAGTATCAATTTAAAAATGAATGAAAAGAAACAGAGGAAGTGGGACATATGGAGAGGGTAAGTGACTTGCCTAGGGTCACTCAGCCATTCTGAGATCAGAACCATGTGAAAGCCAAGCATTGTCACAGGGTAGAAATATCTGTGCTGTAAACTTACCAGTGGAGAAGTCTCAAGGACATGTCAGTGCCCCCTTGGGTGTTCTTTTCTCCACTTTTTTTCTTGGCAGTGCTGGGGATTGAACTCAGAACCTTGAGCTGCTCTACCACTTAAGCCATGCCCCCAGAACCTCTTTTTTTCCATTTTTGTAATCTCCTTTGTTCCAGGCTGTGAATGGATGGACAGAGGGGCTGCCCCTGTGTTTGAGCCCAGAGATGTGAGCCACCTGGTCACATGGCAAGATGGCCGATGTAGCAGTGGGTTCCTGGCTTCTCTGCCGCAGCCAGTGTCCCATCTCAGTGTGGCCACAGGGTTTGGCTGTGCAACTATCTTCTGGCTTTTGAAAAACAGGTATGACAACTGCTCTTTGATTCACTTCCAGGGCTGGTCAGGGACTGCAGCTATAACTGGTTAGCTCCTGTGGATTGTGCCTTAGTAAGTATGGCCTGGCACAAGGTGCAGTCATAAAACCTAGATTTGGTTCAAAATAGTTCCATTTTACAGAGGGCTCTCTACTATTATCTAATTCTAATCTAAAGGGGTAAAGAAAGGGTTGAGGAGGGAAGTGACTTGCCAGGTGAGTCCATAGCAGTGTCAGGGCTGCAGATCTACTGAGAGGGACCATGTCCTATTATTCCAAGTATTGTGCTTCCTCCTCCAAGTCCTCTCCCCTAGGTTGACTTGGGATGGCTTTGCTTGGAATGGGTGAGAGTTCCTACTTCAGAGTGTCCAGCTGTATATGAGCTAACAGTGTGTGGAGTTGTAGCTGTACCCCAGGTACCCTGTGTCTAGTCCCCACTGCCCACAGCTAGGTACATCATGTACTTCCGCATCCATATCATACTGCATTGAATCATTTTTGGTGTGAAACGCAGCCCAGAGTTCCTCAAGTCCTATGATGCAGCTGGTACAATCCAAGACTATGTGGTTGCCATGCTGTGTGGCTTGGAAAGACCTCTGATGTCTGACCAGAATGCTGCTAGCTGGGGATATTTCAACACCCAAAACCAAACTTGGAACTTGGAGATGTGAGTATAACCTCTCAGTCAGATCCAGGCTGAAGGGTGTGTCCCAGTGGGAAGATCTTCAGTGGGGGATTTCCCATATGGAACTTTCTTTTTTTTTTTTTTTTTTTTCATTTTTCTTTTATTATTCATATGTGCATACAAGGCTTGGTTCATTTCTCCCCCCTGCCCCCACCCCCTCCCTTACCACCCACAACACCCCCTCCCGCTCCCCCCCTCAATACCCAGCAGAAACTATTTTGCCCTTATCTCTAATTTTGTTGTAGAGAGAGTATAAGCAATAATAGGAAGGAACAAGGGTTTTTGCTGGTTGAGATAAGGATAGCTATACAGGGCATTGACTCACATTGATTTATCTGTTTAATTTTTTTTTATTTTTTCTTGTTATGTTTAATATATTTTAAAATAAGAGTGGGAGGTAGAAGGCTGGAGGGATGCCTTTTAAGTTCTTTTTAAGCAATTATTTCCTTTTCAGGTACAGAAGTCCTGTGCCCTGTAAGTTCATTTCCTTCAGGGCCCAAATTCTGAGCTCTGAAATAAAGCAGGTAGTTCAGGTAAAGGACTTTCTGGCATGTTTCATAAAATTGACAACCCTGTATTCACTAACCCTGATGGTGGATGTGTTGGGTATTCAAGAGGCTGGTGGGTTTGACATTGGTATGGACCATGCTAATCACCTCTAACTTTGCACTGCAGTGCTGGTTGCCTCCCTTGCAAGGTTTATGTTTCCTTTAAACAAAGGGGGCTGGAATGCTAGAATGCCCATGAAATCTGGGCTCTTCTGTAATCCTAATTTAAACCCATGTTGTTTAAACTATGCAACACCCCCGTCCCCAGTGAATCCCAAGCTTTTGTTCATTATCTTTAACAACTAAGCTCATGGTTTTAAAAAAGTCAAAGAGGAAGTCTGAACAATACTGGATTCTGTCTTCACTTCTCCTGTGTATATGACCTACAGCACTTTCTCTTGCTAAATTTCCTGGAAACAACAAAAATAGAAGCTTTAGGTAAATACAGGTGTTTGCTTTTGTTTTGCAGACTGAAAGTCTCAGGCTTTCCTGTCCACCTGCTCCCAGACATTGCTGAACCAGGCAGTGTGGCAGGCATAACTTCCCATGGATGGTTTGAAATCCCAAAGGGGGCACAAGTGGGAGTGGCCATGGGTGATTTACAGGCCTCTGTCTATTCCTGCATGGGTCAAAAGACTGATGCAGGTAAGTTTTCCTTTTGTTCTTATACTGGTGTCTCCTAAGTCTCAGCTTAGTGAGGGTCTGAGAAGCACATGTTGTTTAGCTGCTTTAGCATCCTAGGGGTGCTCATTGGTCTGTAAAAGTGGAAAGCACCCTCAGGTGAATCTCTCTGCTCAGTGAGCTTTCAGGCCAGCAGCTGAGTTCTATACCTGTGCGTTGACCATCTGTGCTCACCCCCTTTAGGACCAGGATTCAATGGCTGTTTTCTGTGTAATTCATGACTAAGAAATTAGATGATGAGACTGGGGAATGTAGCACCTATCCATCCATTCACAGCCTGGAACAAAGGCGATGACCAAAATGGAGAAAATAGAGATGGGGGTGTGACTCAAGTGGTGGAATAACTGGAGACCCTAAGTTCTATCCCAAGCACAGGAAAAACCAAAAAAACAAAAACCAGAGTAGATTAGGACTGTTGTTGTAGTGTGCTTATCAGTGAATGTTATGTCAGATCTGCTTAGAAGTTCAAACTCTTCGGTGTTTAGGGTAAGAGAATCATAGTTAGGTGTGAGAAGCAGTCTAGGACAGGGATTAGCAACCTTTTAATAAGGTGAGGGCCTTCTTACTAGATCATGTCATGGTGGACAGCATCACATGAGGAGACAGAGTAAACTAGCTCAGCTGTGACCTGTCTGTGGGCAGTGCTTGTTGACCCCCTTACCTGAGGGCAGGTGGGGGGGCATGTTGTTTCTGTTTTATAGTCATGGTAGGGGCTTAATGTGGCAGAAAGTGAAGGTTATTTGCTTACTAAAACTTGCTTTTGTTGCTATTACTTCTGACCCCTGGTAGGTGGGAAAGTTGGATTCTGATTTCACTTTGGCCCCTAAACACACTGGCTCCTAAAGCCACACACTATTACTTCTGTTCGTTGTATTTGATAGAAGTGAGTTACCAAGTGCAGCCCATACTCAGAAGGAAGAGAATCAGGTCTACTTCTTGAGAAGAGGAGTATCAATTTATGGACACATTTTTAAAACCACTTTCCCACTGCCCTGTTAGGACTTGTGACTTCCGAGTTAGCCCAGTAGGCCTAAGCTCTGCTCTCTTTGTACCACAGTTCTTAACATCAGCACTTCAGTTCAGCTGGCAGCCTCCATGCCTATGGGGTTCCAGCCAGCGCAGACGCCAGACCCTGCAGCCCCAGTCGCTTACTTCCCATACTTCAAGAGGACTTACCTGGGGGTGGCAGCGTCGCTCAATGGGGGCAATGTGCTGGCCACATTCGTCCACATGTTGGTTCAGTGGATGGCAGATCTAGGTAAGATGTGACCCACACAGTGGTGTGTTCTCTGCTTATTCTTTCTTTGTGGCAGTGTCTAGGTTCCATTTCAGATCAGCTGGAATCAGCACATTCCTTCCTGCTCTAGGGGTCTGAGCTGGCAGCCTCTTTGCATCTTATCCCCAAAGTGCCAGTGCCTACTATTGTCTTTGTGGCAGGTGGTGGGGCACCTTCTCCCAACCTTGGCTGTGGAGTATTGCAACAGCTTCCCTACTTCCTCTGATCCCACAGTCTTACTTTGTCTTCCAGAAAGTCCCAGGGTCCCTTGCATTTAAGGTTTTCCTTCTGATGACTACAAATAGCTGAAATAGAATTATCAAGCATGTATGAGCCAAAAGGCTCCTGGTATAACATTTAAAAAGAAAACTTTCCTTTCTCCTTTCCCCTCTCTTCTTCTTTCCCTCTCTTGGTATAATATTGACAATATTATAAAATCCTGTAGTTCCTATCTCAATTTCTTGGAAGGCTCTCTGGAGACTCTGAAGCCCCCCCCCCCACTCCCTTCTTTTGTTCCCTGGTGAGAATTTACTAGATCTTCCTCTGTTTTGCACGTATATTGACACATGTAACTGCCTTCTTCCAAGAGAAGCTTGTTCTGCAAATTCTTAAGGTAGAAATGACTTTTCTGGTCAGCTGTCCAGGTCTAGGGAAATCATGACCATCAGATGCAATGGTCAACTGGAGTCGCTTAAAACCAGGTAATTGTAGGAAGTGTACAATGTGGGAACAAGGCAAGGTACAGGCAGCAGAGAGTGCTTTCAGAATAGCCAGAAAGTCAAGATGGCAGGGGTTAACTCTACCCATGTGACCTGGTTCTCTCAGGGTGCTTCACTGGAAGAACCAGAAAAGGTTTCAAGTTGCAGAACCAGTCACCAGAGCCTTCAGGCAAACCCTTTATCCAGACACTGGTATAACTGGGTTGGCTCTGTTAATCTTCACTGAGCTGTCATCAGGAAACTGTTTTTCTTACCCCTAATAGAAATGGGGATGTTTCATTTATTTCTACCAGTGCTGGGGATAGAACCCTGGGCCTTATGCATGCCAGGCAAGAACTCTACTGCACAGCTACATCCCCAGCTTTCGTTTACTTTCCTGTAAGACACATTTGCATATTCATCATTCTTGTTTTGATGAAGTGGGGAATGCTTTGAAGGTTAGTATTTGTATGCAACTTAACCTTCTATGAAATTTATGTACGTTATGTCTTTTGATCCAACAGTTTCCTTCCAAGGAAACTGTATACTTGTACAGATCAAGAACATGGCTTATTTTTTATTTTTTACCTTTGCAATGCTGGAAATTGAACCTAGGGCCTTGGACATGCTAGGAAATTGCTCTATCAATGAACTACATCCCCAATCCAAGAATATGATTTTTAAAAACCCAATAATAAAGGAAGATTTATAGAGAAAATCAGTCTCACCATCATTCCTCAGTCTTGGTCCTGACAAGTAGTTGCCTTAAATTTTTTTTTTTTTTTTGGCTGGGGCTGGGTTTGAACTCAGGGTTTTATGCTTGTAAAGTAGGCCCTCTGCCCCATGAGCCATGCCTCCAGTCCATTTTGCTCTGGTTATTTTGGAGATTGGGGTCTGATGAACTGAAGGGGGCGCTGTTTCTCGTGTTCCCTCCCTTGCTGGAGCGAGGTTTTCTCTCTGTCTCCTTGGTTATTACTGGACCAGAAAGGACACAGGATAGACAGACAGACAGAAAGTTGGGGTCAGTTGTGTTGTATGTTTGGCTGGAGACGCACAACTCTTATTGCTTCTTTTTTCTATCTTGATTCTTTAAGGCCTTGCTCCTTGCAGTTCTTTAAAACCTTGTTTAAAACCTCTTTTCTTAGGCTTGCACTGTCCCATGTTTGCTCTTAGCTTATCTTTAGCTTAATTGCTCTTAAAGGCTTTTGCCCCCAGACTTGCACTGTCCCATCTCTCTTTAGCTCTTTCAAAGCCTTGGTGTTCAAATTTGCAAACGAGCAGCAGTGCCTAAAAACTACATATACATAACTCTCCCATGTTCTCTTTGGTTTTTCTGTAGCTTTAGCTTTTCTAAATCCTGTGTATGCAGTTCTTTCTCAGCTTTGCTTTCTGAAGCCTATGTTAAAGTTCTCGGTGCAGACTTTCTATCAACCCCTCTTTAGCATTTTCCCTTCAATGGTTCTTTTCCCTTCAGCAATTTTTTCCCTTTTCACTTTAGCATTTTCCCTTCAATAATTATTTTGCCTCCCAAAAGCTTCCCACACCAAAAAGCCCAAAGTAAAAGCTTCCTCCCAATATTCAAAGGCAAAAAGTCCACCAACGTAAAAAGCCAAAAGCCAAGCAAAAAGTCCTAAAGCCCAAAAAGCAAAAGCCCTTCTTCCTCCTTCAGGGGTCTTTTATAGCAGCAAACAGGGTGGAGCCATGGGGAGGGATGTGACATTGCAATAGGAGAAACCTGAGTTCCTGCTTCTCTGAACTCAGCTGTTCTGCTTTTTTCTGTTTCGTGCCGGGGCTGTGCCTATCTTGGCCTACAAGTAAAAGCAGTTAACTGCATCTCGCCTTGCTTGTGTCCAATTCTCATAGGCTTTAATCTGCTCCCCACAATGAACTGTTTGCCCAGGCTGGACTCAAACCTAGATCCTCCCTATCTCAGCTTCTAAGTAGCTAGGATTACAGGTGTGAGCCACCAGTGCCCAGCAGTCACCTTAAATTCTTACAACTTCTCTCAATGCTTTTTAGAAACTCTAGTCTTTGTTTTGGTTTGGGAACCATATTTTAACTGGGGTAGTGTGTAGCAGCCAGAGTGTTGGTCTAGACCAGCTTTAGGGAAGTTGGCTGGTACAAGCCCTAGGCAACAAGTTGAACACGGTGAAGCCCTTGGTTCTGTGTTCCTGGAGCCATATGCATGGGCCCTGTATTCTCTTGGGGAGAGTGATATGGGATGAGGCTAGAGAGTGTACAGAGCATCTGGAGCAGGTGCCAGGCTAGACCTTTGCATCCTATGGCTTGGAGGCCTCCCAAGCAGGGAAAACTGGGCTGTATTGGCCAACTGGGTGCAGAAGGGCTCATGTATTTTTGGCTCTAGCTCTGGTATTCCTCTGCCTTCTGAAGTGTCCTGAGCCTCCCAGATTCCAGTCCCTATGAAAGAGGAAAGACATGGCTTCTTCTTGTGAGCATTTTCCTTTGCAGACTCCCAGGTGGTAGCTCCCTGGCTCAACTGGAAAAGTCAATTTTCATTCCATGTCTGTTTGTCTTACAAATATGGATCAAAATCTCCCATTCCTGTTGTTTCTTCTCCTATGCTTTTTTGTTCTTATTTTTTTCTCATTTAAAAAAGAAGTTTGGAGCTGGGTGCTAGTGGCTCACACCTATAATCCTAGCTACTCAGGAGGCAGAGATCAGGAGGATTGCAGTTTGAAGCCATCCGAGGCAAATAGTTCACGAGACCCTATCTTGAAAAAACCCTTCATACACAAAAAAGTGCTGGTGGAGTGGCTCAAGGTGTAAGCCTTGAGGTCAAGCCTCAGTACCACAAAAGAAGAAAAAAAACTTCTGTAGCCCAGACCAATTCCATCAGAATGTCTGGGGATGGGGCCCACAGTGCTTTCAAAGCTGCTCAGTCAGTTGCTAGTAGAGAGCCCTGAGTGTGAACAACTTTCTTCCTATCAAAGTCAGGTTTACTTTTCTTCAGTTAATGGCAAATTAGAGAACAAAAGTGATTATTTTCTTTCTTCTGAACACAGCCTTGGTTTATGCATGCTCAGCAAGTATTCAGCTATTGAACTACATCTTAGTCCCCAGAGTGTATAAGGTCAAAGTGTATTGACACCAAAAATTTCATTTATTATTTTTATTATTTAAGCTTTTTAGAATGCAGAGCCAACATAGTGTAGAGTCCTCCAGGACTCTGGAGGACTGTCAGCTATCAGGGGCCAACACATCACTTCTCCTTGGGCCTCAGGTGTTCCATGCATATAATGAAGATAGCCTAGACTGTGACCAGCCTGGAATCCTGGGATTGCTATGGCCAGTGGCTTGAATAGCAGCTTTGATGATGCTTCTTAACCAGCATTTGGTCCCTTTGGTACTAAGGGTCCCAAAGCTCTACCATGGTTAAGTTGCTCAGGGCTGATGGAGTGGCTCAAATTGTAGAGTGCCTGCCTAGTAAGCATGAGGCCCTAAGTTTGAACCCTAGTGTTGCTCCCTCCCACTGCCCCCTCCCCACCCAAAGAAAAAGAAAAAGAGGCTAGGCTAGGTAGGGTCAGGTCTCATTGCAACACTTTGAAATATCTTCCTGCTGTCTAGCTGAGGCTGCAGTGAGACAATAACCCAGGACCCAGGGCAGACCGTGTGAGTCCCTGAGCCTAGAAGCTTCTAGCCACAGTGTGAGGAGAAGCAGCAAATAGACCTACCTATTCCTGCCCCCTGAGAATCCTAAACAATCTCAACCTTCATCCAGGGGCTGCATGAACTCACACAGATCTTCCCTGTTTCTGGCAGGCCTGGAGGTGGAAGAATCTACTGTATATTCACGCATGATCCAGGCAGCTGCACAGCAGAGAGATACCTGCCTAACCATCACCCCAACAGTGTTGGGGGAGAGGCACCTTCCAGATCAGTTGGCCTCTGTGACCAGAATCTCCTCTTCTGACCTCTCCCTAGGGCATGTGACCCGGGCCCTGTGCAGAGGCATCATTCAGAACCTGCACTCCATGCTTCCCTTTCAGCAGCTCAAAGAGTGGGGAGTGGAGCGAGTGATGGGGAGTGGGAGTGCGCTGTCCAAGAATGAGGTGCTGAAACAGGAGGTACAGAGGGCCTTCCCTTTGCCTGTGTCCTTTGGGCAGGATGTGGATGCAGCTGTTGGAGCAGCTCTGGTCATGTTGTGGAGAAACCTCAACCAGAAGGAGTCTTAGTGACCATACTCTAACTAAAGAACTGCTGTTAATTTTACCTAATTAACATTCTCAACACGATCTCTGGGTCATTCTTTTCCTGGACAGTTCTGTAGGCAGCTTTTAAGATTTCAGAGCACCATCTTGACCAAGAACTCACCTTTAGGGCACACTCTAATCATGCAGCCAGGAGTCATCAATCAGAACCCAAATTAGTGCCTTCTGAAAGAGAGCACCTGGAACCAGTTGCAATTGTGAATGTGATTGCACGCATGCATGTGTGTGTGTGTGTGTGTGTGTGTGTGAGAGAGAGAGAGAGAGAGAGAGAGAGAGAGAGGGAGAGAGGGAGAGAGAAACAGTTTCCTATCAGCAGTCTTGTTTGTGATTCATCTGTAGAGACAAAATAAATGTGACTTCAGACATCAATAAGTCTGGTGGCTGTGACTCCAACTAAGCAAAGAAGACCTGATTTGCGTCCAGCTTTTGGACTGATTTTAGAGACATGAAGCCTAGATTTGGATCAGATGCACTTTTGGAAAAGTCTTTTTCTACTGGATGCTACCTGGTGACTGGAGGTTCCTTTCCTTTTTCCCAGTCTCACTGTCATCTCTACAGCAGGTTAGCTGGGCAGATGAAGCAGGCTGCACAGTGACACAGACTGGCTCAGATGAAGAGACAAAGACCTGTGCTGGCCTTCTTGCTATGTGTTCTTACTTCCAGGAAAGACTGCTGCTTAAATCCTTCCAACATAACTGGCTGGAAAGCACATCCCAGGGAAGAATGGGCAGATGGCATGACCAGCAAAGGGTTCTGAAGCTCTTGAATGATGGCCTGCACCATCCTGTTCAGCATGGGATGTGACCAATTGCATCAGAGAGAGAGCCTCTTATCTTACAGGCCCTCTTGTCCCACTGGGGCCTCCTTGCATGGAGGATGAATTGATCCTCCTGGATACGTGGGTAATTGCCATGGTGTTCATTCCATTCCCTAGTGGTGGAAATTTAACCACATATGGCCGTACCAGGCAGGACACCTAGATCTCACTTGTGCTTCATGAATGAGATTAATCTGATCCACGCTGGGAGCAGTGGAGATGTCTTGCACACAGTCGTTACTGTGGCTGCAGTGGTTAGGATGAACAAACAGCTATTGTGGTAGCAAACACTCCCCAGAGTTTAGTGGCTTCATATACCAAACGTTTATTTCTTACTCACCTTGCACATCCCTCACTGGCTAGTGAGGGTCCAGCATGACAGAGTTGTACTCTGGAACATCATCAGTCACTTGTGGAAAAGGGAAAGTAAATTGCACAATGTCTCCTAAAGATTTCTGCCCAGAAGTGATAACACTTCACATTTCACCAGCTGAAGCAAATCAGGTGGGAAAGTGCAACTCTGCCACATGCTCTTGAGACCAGGGTATTGGCATGCAGCCTAATGCCAGCAGCAGCCTAGTTCGTCATTCAAGGAGCAAGCTGGTCTCAAATACTTCCTTGCACCTCCTGGGTATGAGAGCAGAAGCACTGAGTGGTTTATGACTTCAGGCTGGAAAATTGAGATCCTGACAGCTGTGCTCATTTCTCCACTGTACAGAGGACCCAAGCAGATGAAAGGGATCCTTACCTGACAAGCTTGGACTCAGCAAGGCCCTTGAGCAGACATGTGGCCTGGAAAGGGGACAGAGAGGCCCCCGTGCCATGCTGCACAGGATTGAGCTGTCAGGATGCAGGGCACCCACCCAGATCCTATCCACAGCACCTGGAGCATGCAAGGTTGCCTCCCTGAGGTCTTGATAGCCTGGCTCCTGGAACAGACAGGGCTATCTGGGGTCCCTCAACCTTTCTGACCTTATAAAGCCTTCCTTTGTGAGGCTGCAACATGACTATCTCAATTCATTCTGAGAGAAACTCCTTCCTATTTGCCTGAGTGATTTGCGCCCACTTGTTATTTCTATATAACAACCTAACAGGATCAACACAGACTTCTGAGCCATACTCCATGATTATACTGTACTGTGCTCTCTTTCCTGGGCAGAGAAGCATGTGTTTTATTAAAGGGGCAAGGCTCTGGAAAAATGAGCTTTATGCAGTATCTGAAATGCAACCAGAATCACCAGGCAAATTCATCTGAGGGCTTCCAACAATCATATAATTTGTGAAATGATGCTTACAAAGTGACAATATGACTGCTTTTGAAAATTATGGTTGCCTGAATGCCTCAAAGCCCAAGCCTGGGGAGCTTTGGGAAATGGGGAGTAGATATGATGATGGTGGCCTCTCCTGGAAGCCATTGCAAGGCCATGCTTTCCAACTTCTGGAAGACTTAGAATGCTTGAATTCCTATAGGGATGCCAATTTGAGCAGCATTTTTCTGCTGAGCCAGTAATACATGATGAGAGCAGTTATGCACTGTGATAGTTATGCCCATGCCCATAGGGAAGAGCAATTCGTTCTTTGCAAGTGACATCCAACCAAATTTTGGAGAGTTTCGATCCAATGACAGTAACAACAGTTACCATTTTTTGAGTAACTACTGTATATCAGGAACTGATCTAAACTCAGCTTATTTGAACTCATTTGATCTTTACTAGAATCCTGGGGGGTGCCTCCTAGGAGGCACTGTTGTCCTCATTTCACAGATGGGGAAACTGACACACAAAAAGCTAAGTAAGTTACCTGAAACCACAATGCTAGCAGTCAGACCCCAGAGCCCATTCTTTTTGGCACTGTAGGCATAGGGGCCAGGTTAGATAAATGTATTTCTAGTGTTGGCATGTCCTGGGTGTGGCACATTGTCTGGAGTAAATTGGTCAGAGGGCAAATGAAAGAAGGTCATAGGAGTTGAGGTCAGAAATGTTGGCCAGACTGGACGGCAGGCTGAGGGTTTGAACTTCTCCAAAAGCAGTGGTGTTTGGAGGACTGGGGCTCTCAGAGCTGTAGGTAGGAATACAGCTGACCACGTGGAGTCTGCATGGGAGGGTGGCAGCTACAGAAGGCAGGAACCCAATAGTGGAGGCTGTAAAATGGCCTGGAGAGTGGGGCACAGCCCAGCCCTGCATAGGGCAGAGGTGTGAACTCCAACTCACCCAGCTGGCTATCTTGCCCCTGTCACACATGCTGCTCTTGGCCTCTGACTGTAGCCACATAGTTGTGTATGTGGCTTTCATGAACTCTGTGTTTCTTCTCTTTTCAAGTGGACTTAAACTTCCTTGGGGGTAGGGTTCCTGTTAGGTGTTCTGTGCCTTAACTTAGGCTGCTGCTCATGTTTGAACATCCTCACAAGGCTGAATCCTACACCTGGCCTGTGGCACTGGCCAAGGCCATCTGCCTGTCACATGAGTCTCCCTGGTGGCATGTCTACCACTGGATTACAACTGCAGCTGAAATTCTGCACCTCGATCATTGCTCACTGTTGGCATGGGGCCCCTGTCTTGGGCAGGGTGCCCGTCCTGCTCAGTGTCAGTGAGCCTGGTAGCTCTTATCCTCTTATCCATGGTGGGTTCCTGAGGGCTGAGGCCATTTTATTCACTTTATTACACAGATGTTCAAGGCAAGACCTCTTGTGTCAGGCATGGGTAGATGGCCAGGCTGTCTGTGACAGTAACATATTCTCATTATAGAGGTGCTTGCTTGCCTGACTCATGAGACATTAAGCAAATCTTTTTTTTCCATTAAAAAAAATTAGTCACAACCTCTAGCTAATGGCCGGATATAGCTCAGAGTCAGCAGATGTGGCTCTGAGAGCAATAATCCCTCCTGCCTGCCTGGGGCTTTACCAACTCCCATAGCACATTCACTCCCAGTATCCTTATTAATCCCCAGAAAAGCCCTACAGAATAGGTAGGGCAAGTGCTCTTGCCTGCCTTGTGGATAAGGAAGTAGCCTCAGAGGTGGGGCTACTGTCCAGGTTCATACAGCTGCCATTTGGCACAGCTGGGCTTTAGTCTCAATCCATTCTCTGCCCACAGCCCACACTCCAGATGCCCTCTTTCCTCTTGTTCCTGTTCCCTGCCTTGGGACACAGCTCTGCTGAGCAGGTCTCCATGCTTTCTGTGCCTGACTCCCTCAACTCAGATGTTCAGTTCCTTCTCCTTCTGGAGGGTGCTGACTCACAGACTCTTTCTTCCATCAGACTTGGTCTTTTCCACTCACACAGGCACATAGCAACACTAAACGCACAAATGAAACAGATGGGAAAGTAATTTTCCTCCAGGTTTGCTGTTTGCCATTGGATCTGCAACCCCTGAAGCCATTTAAAATCTGGGAAGCAAGACAGAAAAGTCAGGAAGTTAAGTCCCAATACATGATTTAGTGAGCCAAGATGAGCTACGTAGAGCACTTCCTTGAGCAGGCACCTTAATTGTGCCTGGGGTTGGGATTGATACCACCCACTCATTCCTACCTGGCTCCTCTCATAGTTGCCAGGCTGCCAGCTCCTGATTTTGATAATTGGGCTTTTTTTTAGCATATGGAAATTTGCTGGTTCGTAGCTGTATTGGAAAGACTGGTCTCAAAATCTGAGAGGAACCTGGGTAGATGAAGAGAAGAAATTTGGCTCCAATGGCCAGTCAAGAGCTCAGCTTGTCAATTGCCCCCTGGTGGTAGCACTAAAAGAAAACTGTGCCTCAGGCAACCTCAGTGGCTTTTAGCATCTGTCGTACCTGATTTGACCCAACCACTTGGTGTGTTCTCTGCTGTTTTCCTGTGCTGCCTCTTATTCACATAAGCCCTGAGTTTAGAGAAACTTCCCCACCTAGAAAACAGCATTAAAACATGATCAACAGGCTGGGCAAGGTGGCTCACACCTGTAATCTAGCTACTCAGAGGTAGAGATCAGGAGGACTGAGATTTGATGCCGGTCTAGGCATAAAGTTAGCCAGACCCCATCTCAGTCAATAAAAGCAGGGTGTAGTGGCTAACACTTTAGTCCCAGCTTTGTGGGAGGTATATGTATGAGGATCGAGGCAAACTAAGGCCAGCCTGGGCAAAAAGCATGAGACCTTATCTGAAAAATAAACTAAAGGCAAGAAAAGGCTGGAGGAATGGCTCAAGTGGTAGAGCACCTGCCTAGCAAGGATGAGGCCCTGAGTTCAAGCCCCAGTACTACCAATAGCAAACAAAAAAACAAACCAAAAAAACTTCACCAAAACCCTATGATCAACTTCCAAAAGTTTTAGTGGGTACATCATAACATAGATTCAAGAACATCATGTTTCAAATTATGACCCAGAAAATGGCAGATAGCTGCGATGCCCAACTGTAGAGCTTGTCTTGACCACTATGTTGTTAGTTTTACATGAATCACTCAACAGTGCAGGTGCTGTTGTGAGAAAGCCATGTCAATAAATAGTTCCTGCCTACAGCTTTGGGCAAGGCACAGTGCAAAGCTCAGAGAAGGATGCTAGCGCAAGAGCTTTGCCCTGGAGCTATTTAAGATCTGTAAAGTAAGTCACAAAAATCAGAGAAGTAAAATCTCAGTTCAAGCATTTGGAAGCTTCAGAGAGACTAGTAAATTGTCACTGTCCTTGGGCAGGTCTCATAGCCTGTCTATGCTTCATTCCCATATCTATAAAATGAGACATAAAATTCATGAATGTTTTGTCCAATGAGACGGTGTGTGTAAAGTGCTAATTCCAATGGCACATTCTATTCACTCGGTAAATATTCACAACCACTGCTGTTACTGTCATTGTGATTACAGGTGCCACCTGTCCTAGGAAATGTATAGTCTGAGCTTTCTGTAGGAGTTTAGAGGTGAGCACTTTACATCTGGTTCTTGACAAGGGAAGACATTTGGAGGAGGTTGGGCTTGCATGGTAGAATCCTGGCATCAATATGTCTCACCTGGCACCTGAAGAGGGGTTAAGTAAGTTTATGGGATGGATGGTATAAGCAGGTTGGGCAGAGGAGGAAGGCAGTGGAAGAGTGTTGAGGCAGGTGTGGTGAATGTGGCTGGGAAGGAGGGTCCAGTGATGGAAGAGGGTGGGCCACAGTGAGAGAGGAGATGGGCTGTGGGCTCAAGGTGTGAGGCTGAGGGCTTGGGCCTCATTCAGTGGTGGGAACCAGCTCTAGGACTGTTGGTTGGGAGGTGGGGGTGTGGAAGGCTGAACTAGGGAAGGGAGGTGCTTATGGTCCTTCAGGTGAGGGGAGTGTCGAAGGAGGGTGGATATGAGGCACATAAGCGCAGCTCAGACAAAGAGGACAGAGGAGGGCAGATTGGACAGGACAGACAATATAGAATCTGGTGACCAGAAGAAAGTTGATTCCTTTACAGGGAGGGGATGCTCAAGAGGAGCTGAGTAGACAAAGGAGGAGTCCACACTGACACATGCTGAGGAAAAGGGTTTGCTGTCTAGACCTGCAGATTCAGGAAGATGTGGTGGGGATTGGGGGAGGGTTCAGGGAGAGGGTTGGGCTTGACAACTGGATGGAGTCACTGGCTTGGAAATGTCAGATAGGTCTTGGGGAGGAGAGTGGGTTTCCACGTAGGGTGTATGGGGTGGAAGGAGTTAAGGGGACTGGGTACTGAGGAACCCCTGTGTATACGGAAGGACATGATGAGGAGGGCCAGCCATGGAAACAGAGAAGCCAGGGGAGGAAGAGGGCCAGGATTCTCCCTTCATAACTTGGAGCATGCACAGGGCCATGTAGATTCCAGATGGTATTGTTAGCACCTAAAGGCTCAGTTAGTAGGGAATACATTTAGTGACATATGCTATCTTCACTGGAGGCAGAAGTTGAAGGGGATGGCTCTGGAGAAGAAATGCCAACCAACCCTTTCTTTTACATTCCTCTGGCCCCGTGACCCCGGAAGACTGGTGAGATGAAGGATCACTGCTGCCAGTTAAACAGGTTGGAACCACCACAAGGGGACGGAAAGCAAATAAACTCTGGGCCCATAATCTGTTATCGATTAAAAGCATGCTTTCGCTTTATCATAAAATGCCAAGTTAGGTCACAAGGCTAGAACATTTACAAACTAGGAGCCCATTATGACTGACCAAGCTAAAACTAGTGGGTTTTGAGATGGCCACACAAATGACAAAGACCATGGGGGAAAACCTAAATAAGACCTATTGCTTCAGTTGATCTTAGTTAACTTAAAGATCACACAGCTGAACAATACATTATTAACTTTCCACTAGCTTTCTGGAGATAGCACCACTGATACTTGGATTATATTAACAATTGCTTGGATTATTGAAACTGCTCTTGCTAAAAACAAAACAAAACAAAACTAAACTAAAAACAAACCAGAACTCTTTATTTCTTCACTTGAGGCTACACTTTTGACTTATCTGAGCCAGATTCTACTTAGCTCTGCGAGGAGACATGGTGATCATTTGAAAAATGTTTTGCCCAAGACTAAAACACAGGATTAACTTGGTCTGTTCCCTACTGAAATGGATATATGTTTCTTCTACCCACTCTTGTGGTTTTTTAACGACTCAAGCACTGAAAGTCTTTCGTCCCCATCACAAGACCAGGATGCTTATGCAAGATGATGCTACCAGTTATACTCAGCAGTTTCTGAATGCGTTTGACTGCCAGGGCCAGAATGCCTGTGCGTAAGAAGGAAAACAGTTTTTGAAAGTGTGCCCATGACCAATAGATAATTACCAAATTTTAGCCCACTCTAAAAAAAAAAAATCAGTAAAAGCTTGCATATCTCTTTTGTCCAGTGAGCAGCAGCTTAATCTCCCTCTTGACTACTTCTTTTTCCCTTCAGCTTGACCCGAAGTCCCCCAGAAGAGCCTGGCTTGCCTTGTTTGTAATATGTGGCTTGGTCTCATCAGTACTGTTTCCATGCCATAACCACCTGCCATATGGCATCAGTGAGCCTCATATATACTACAGATTCCACTTTTGGATATACAGGAAGGCCAAAAGAATCAAAAGCAGGGGAAGGAACAGATATTCAGGCAGCATTAGTCACAATAGCCAACAGGTGAAAGCAGCCCAACTGACCATCGACCAATGAATAGATTAACTAAATGTGGTGTAGACATACCGTGGAATATTGTTCAGCCCCAAAAGGGAAGGAAGCTTGATGCATGCTACATCATGGATGGTCCTTGAGGACATCATGCTAAGTGAAAGAAGCAAGTCACAAAAAGACAAACACTGTGTGATTCCATATATATATATATATATATGTATTACAATTTAAATACTAGTGATTCTAGGGATCATATTAATTGAAGCTCAAATGGTACAAGTAACAGAAAAGGGGTTTGTTTAAGCAAGGAGTGTGGTATGACATGGTATCCTGTGCCTGCCTCTCACACCCAGATCAACAGTGTGAACTGGGCAATTGTCTAATTGCTTAGTGCCACAGATTTCTCACCTGCAAAATGTGTGTGACAGTTTCTGCCTGTCCACTGTACAGTGTTGTTGTAGGGCCTGGGAGAGTGGGTTTGAAGAGCGCTTTGTAAATTGTTCTGCAGAATCAGTGGCAGTGATGGCACTTTTTTTTTTTTTTTCTGCAGTGCTGGGGATTGAAACCAGGGCCTCAAGCTTGCTAGCCGGCTTGCCAACCCTTGAGCTATGCCTCCAGCCATTTTGTTTTTATTTTGTTTTTGTTATTTTATTTTGTCTTGCTAATTTTGCCTGGGTTGGCTTTGAACTCATGAGAGAGTTACCACACTTTAATGCCTCAGCTTGAGTCAGAGCTACTCCAGGAGGGGCTCAATGGACTTTCTGGCACAGCCTGCTCATTTAGGCTGCATCCAACCTCCGTCCTATCAAGTTCCTTGGGTCAGCTGCTCTGATGGTTTGTACAGGGTGTTGTGGGCTACAACCTGTATGCATACTCAGAAAGAGGGTGGCTTTTCTCCATCAGGTTCTGGGATTAATCTCTTGCTCTATTTATCCACTGTATGTGATTAATGAACTTGTCTCCTGTGCATTTAGGATGGTACTAGGGGAAGTGAGAAAATAGATACTCATAATTTTCTGTGTCCTGTGGTTCACTGAGTAAGCCCAGTTGAGAAAGATTGGGACCTGGCAGACCTAGAAGCTCCCCAACCCCAATCTTTACCCAAGATTTGCGTACACAGGAAATGAGAGGACCAAAGGTTTCAGATAGATCCCTATATGCCAGGCCAGGACTGTGTGATAGGTGACATGAGGGTTTCCTTCCTTCTTCATTTTGAAAGCAGGGCAGCTCCAGGATATGCTCCCCATACCTCCACATGCAGGAAAGGTAGGTTTGGGAGACCGAGCACTCTCCTTCCTTGGGTTGGTTCAGTCTGATGCGGTTAAGTGTGCTGTGGCCCTGGAATGGCCAGAGAGGGGCGGTGGCTAAGTGGTTTCTGAAAAAGGGCAAAAATGATGGGAAAAGCTTTGGGATCCTCTGGGAATTAGAGCCGTGGCAACAGCAGCTGTTGCTGTTGCTGGAAATGTTTCCTTGAGCGCCAATGTGTGCCCATAGCCCACCCCCACTGCGCAGTCTGGGGCGGGGCAAGGACCCTCATGCAGGGAGGCGGGGAGACCACTTTTCTCCAAGAGCAGTCTGACTTGCCTTTAAGAGAAGCTGCTCCAAGCTGTGGTGCCTGCCAGGTCTGAGTGTGCCTACTCTTCGAGCTGGTGAGTCCCTTTGCTTTTTCATTTCAAGGCCAGTGCAGATGTTATCTTTCAGAATGGCACTCTGAGTGCTCACAAGCTAGGCTTGCCACTTTCTGGCTGTGTGACTATGGGCAGTTTAGGCCCTGAGGGCCTCAGTTACTCCATCTGAAAACTGGGGATAGTAGCAGCGGCTGCCTCAGAGGTTGTTGTAAGGCTGAAACAACATTGTGGTGCACTTAGCTTGGCCATCCGTAAGCACCAGGGAAGTGAAAGTATTGGTTATCATTAGTGTTTGTTGGATTTGCTCTTGCACCAGGGCAGAGGAGGCCAAGCTGATACTGAGGTTGGAGATTTGTGGCTAGAGCTTTTCAGTGCACTGCCCTTTCCATGCAGTGGAGAGACACAGGCTTGGGTGACAGCAGCCTGGGTTTTTGTCCTGGCTGTCATTTCCCTGTTCTTGGCTTAGTCCCTCTATTTTTCATTTCTGGCTTGGGAGCTCTTAGTTCTCCATCTTTCCTGAGGAGATGCTAGATGAGAATGATGGGGCTGGGTCCTGGACCAGTGTTGTCCAGCTCTCAAAATCATAGGCAATGAGAGAGAGGTATTCCCAAGATCCTGCAGGAATAGAGGCTTTGGGCAGAGAGGAGAACAAGAGAACCACACTCTGAATGGGGAAGGAGAGTGCCCTCTCCCAGGAGGTGAACAGTGTCTGGATGTGAGGTACACTTGGAGGTCAAGCCAGGTTTTGTGGGCAGTTTTTCAGGACCATTTTTAGTGTATCTGGATGAGTTCATGAACCTGGCATAAACCAGACCCTCGTTTCCATCAGACAACCAATATACATCCATAAAACATGGTTGGAAATTCCCAATAACCATGAAACATTCTGCTGTGATGGTGCATTGCCGTGGGGCTGACATGCATGGCACAACCTAGGCCTGGCAGCTGCAAACTATCTTGTCCCTGTTCCTCTCCAACCCCCTAGCAAATGGCCCCTTTGTACCTGTCCCATCCTTAACCCTTCCAATTGTAAATTGAGTACAGAGTGTGCAGTGCTGACTCAGGGTTTGTTGACTGACTGAATGGTGGTACCTTGTGGATGCTTCCTATTTACTAGATTTAGTTAACTTGGAACAGCCAGAGGAAGACAAAAAGCCCTGACTCAGAACATCGCTGAAAGGCTCATGGAGGCTCCTGCTAATAGGGATGTTGGGATGTTAAAAGCTGGTAGTGAGTGATTCATTTATTCTTGATTTTGTAGCTAGCCTTATCCAAGAGGAAACCACAAACAATCCAGGGAAAGTGAGGCGTGGGATGTGGCCTGAGTTTTATTTGTACTTTCTTAGGATGTTGGATCAGAAGGGTAGTTTATGTTTGGGGCTTATGCCTGGCCCCAGGGTTGGGAGTGCCTGGTCTAATCAGCCTCTAGGCCCTGATATGGGAGCTGGAGTCAAGTTTAACATTTCAGAAAGAGCCCTGAGCTTTCCAGAGAGGTGGCAGAGCACTGGAGATTCTCTGAAGCCAGGCTGCCTGTGATTAAATCCGGGTTCTTCCTCTCACTATCTGTGTGACCTCGGGCAAGTAATGGAAACTTTCTGGGCCTTAGCTTACACATCTGTGAAATATTTATCTTAGAGATGTTGTGAGCATTGAGTGAGTGTAGAGCTGGGGCATGCCTCAAATGGTAGAGCATCTGCCTAGCAAGTTTGAGGCCCTGAGTTCAAAAACAACTGAGAAGGAGAGAGGTGGGTGGAAGTGGGGAGGGAGTGTTGAGTGAATGCAGGTAAAGTATTTGGAATAGTGTTTGTCTCGTGCATAGTATGTTATTCTCATTCACCTCCTGCGCCTTTTATTTATTAAAATTTTTTCTTGTGGTGCTGGGGATGGAACCTCATGCATGCTAAGCATATGTTCTACCCTTGAGCCACACACCCAGCCCTGCTGTGCCTTTGAATGAGTACAGGCTCCCCACACTATGAACAGTCCTTGGCAGGGGATTACCTCCTGAAAGCACGGACAAGCACGTGGTGTCCGTGTTTATGAAGCAGCTCATGGCTTCCACACAATCCTGTCCACATTCTGTTAGGCTTTAAGGCCTGTGGTCATCAGGTTCTAATTCACTGCCTGTCCTACTGTCCCTCTGACTTCCTCTTCTTCGGCTGCTCCTGAATCCTGATCTGTTCCCCGGCCTCAGCCCCATCAGCTCACCTCAGGCCCAGCTCACCTGTCACCTCCTCCACAAAGATCTGTAACACCTAACACTTTTTGTGGTTCCTCTGACATAGCTAGACCGCTCTTCTGTCTCTGATTGGATCTGACTTCTCTCTGAGCTCGCAGCTCAGTGCTGGGCACTTGGGTGGATATGGCAGTTGGGTGCTGAGTGATGGAATGAGCAGATGGGGAGTGGTGGAAGGGGGCTTTCTGTGGCTGGGAACCCCTTCCACCCTGCTTCAGCATCAGGAGGGTCTGCACCCAGGTCCTCCTGAGAGTAGACCAATCGGGGGAGGGGAGAGGGCTGCTCAGTGGTAGGCCCTATCCATGGCTACAGACTGATGAGGCTGCCTTGTCTGTTTCTCATGGGTCTGAGCATCAGACCATAGCTGGTTTATTGCCCTGGCCTTGCCATGTGTTCTGGATTTTTCACTACCTGAGCTTTCCCTTGAAAACGCAGGCTTGAGAGGCTTCCTATTCCTTCAGTGGCTGCTTTCCAGAATCCAGATGCTGCTGGAACTCAATCACCCTAACCACCTGCAGAAATGAGAATGAGGAAAGTCTATGTTTGGTCATTCTCATTTCTTTCAGGAAAGTGAGACCAACACAGCTTTTTCACAGAGATGGATCAGTCATGATCCCTGTCCAGGAGGAGGTCACTGGGTATGGGGAGATAAAACAGTGACAGATAGAAATTGCTGGACCAGAAGGTGGACTGTGCCAAGAGTGCAATGAGGATGGATGGACAATGAGTCCAGTCATATTGGAGGGGAGAGGGCAGCATGACTGGTGCAGGGATAAGGGTGACTTTGTGCAGGTGGCTCTATCTGCTGCATCCTGACAGAGGAGGTACCTGAGAGCTGGTAGGATTTGGGCAAGGGTAGGAGGGGAAAGCACCCCAGATGGAGGCACCATCGGTGCAAAGGCTTCTGAGACAGGACAGCCCTGGGCACTAGGGAAGGGGATGCCTAGCATATGGAGGGGAAGCATGGAAGATGAAGTCAGGGATTGGGTTGGAAAGGGCACCAGCACCCATTTACAGTTTGATGAGCACACACTAGCAGCCAGCATCTCTAGGAGTTTATGGTCTGGAAGGCCTGCAAGCCCCAAATCACTTCACACCTAAAAATATAGGCTGGGATACTTGAAATACACACATTTTACAAAATGACAAAAGTCTCTCTCTCTCTCTCTCTCTCTCTCTCTCTACACACACACACACACACACACACACACACCCTTCCTAACTCATGTTGCAGCAGCTATGTTGAAGAGCAAAGACAAGCATTACATGGGGGTGCTGGCAGTTAGTTATCTGGTATAGGAAGGCTGTAAAGTGCAGAGTGAGGGCATTCCCCTGTTCTGGGGATACAGACTGCTCGGCTCTTTGGGGCTCAGCCATCCTCACCACTGAGCTCTTCCTTAGATGTAGCTGGTGATGGCTATTCCCTTGTTCTTATCTAGAGAGGGAGGCAGAGCAGTGGTCCTCATCCTCACTCTATGGATGAGGCAGCAGAGGCCCAGACAGTCCCAGGGGAGCGATCAATCCTTCTAACCTCAAACCCAGCGCCTGTTGACTGTCAGCCAGGCTGACTGCCTTCCTGGGGCTGATGGCAGTGTCTGCAGGTCTGCCCATGTACTGTAGGCTACTAGGATGGGAGGTACTGTTCTGAAAGCTTTAGTTCTGGGGGTAAGGGCGGCACTGGTTGGACTTTGGGGTGCCTGCTTCCCAGGAGGCTTAACAAGGAAAGCAGGTTTGGGTTAAAAATGTGCAGTCCTCAAGCTGGGTACAAACCCCATCTCTGTGGCTGCCTGCAGGTTGCATATTGGGACACAGAGGATCTGGTAAGGATGAAGAAGTGGGATAGTTTAGATTCAGGGGAGTCTGAGGACCCGCCCCAAGAGGACTCCTGCCAGGACCCTCCAGATGGAGACCCCAACTCCAAGCCACCTCCAGCCAAGCCCCACATCTCCATGGTTAAGAGCCACACTCGGATCTTTGGGAAGGGTAACTCAGAGGAGGCGTCACCTATGGATTGCTCTTACAAGGAAGGCAAGCTGGTCTCCTGCCCGACCATCACAGTCAGCTCTGTTGTCACCATCCAGAGGTCTGGAGATAGTCCTATCTGTGCCAGGTAGGTCTAGAGGTCTCTCCCTGCTTAGGAACCCAATTAGTCTTGCTACTGGTGGCCACCCCAGTCATGGGTTAATACCACAAAGGTCCTACTTCTGGTCACAGAAAGTAGGTCCTACTAAAGATCACAGAGCTGGGGAGCTGAGGAGACTTTAGAAGTGGTGTGGTCTAATGTCTGCACTTATAGGACCTCATGAGACATATGGTCACTGAGGCTGGCATATGCACTGATACCAGCTGCCAGCATATTGCTATGTATCCAGGCTTGGAATGCTGACCAGCCCCAAACCCTTAGATTTCAAGTTCAAGGCCAGGAGCTTATAGATAGAGGACAAACAGTTCCAGTGAAGAGCAGCCTTCTTGTTGCTCTCTGAGGCAGGACAGGGAGGGTACCCCAGCTGGCTGACTTTTGGTTAGTATGAGGATATCTTTTCATTCATCAGAGGCCATGCTCACTCCTGGCTCAACCCCCCCAGGCTTCTGCCTTCTCAGCGAGTGGGCTGGTGGCAAAGACTTGATGATAACTACAGACAGGATTGGGACAGGATGGAGACTAATGTGCCTCACAGTCCCTGTTCTACAGATCCCTTGGAAAGTCACCTAAACTGAGGGGTGGCCTTTGTGTCATGTTTTTCTCCTTGTTGGTTTGTCCCAGGGTTTAGTCAGGTTTCCTTAACAAGCTCTAAAGTCCTCAGGGAAGCCAGCACATAAGATGAGAATATTATCTGCTCCCCAGGCAGCCATCCCAGCACTCTGTCCCTGATGGTGCCGAGAAGCCCCTCAAGCTCTATGATCGCAGGAGCATCTTTGACGCTGTTGCTCAGAGTAACTGCCAAGAACTGGAGAGCCTGCTGCCCTTTCTGCAGAAGAGCAAGAAGCGCCTCACTGACAGCGAGTTCAAAGGTGGCCCCTCAAGGCTGATGTCCTGGGAAGGCCTCCTGTCTGGCCTGGCTCTGTCTGACTCTCCCTCTGTGTTTCAGACCCTGAGACAGGGAAGACCTGTCTGCTGAAAGCCATGCTTAACCTTCACAACGGGCAGAATGACACAATCTCTCTGCTCCTGGACATTGCCCGGCAGACTGACAGCCTGGAGGAGTTTGTCAATGCCAGCTACACAGACAGCTACTACAAGGGTGAGACGGTGGTAGGGTTGGTTTGGCTCAGTTCACAGCACACCTGGAACCTAAGGGTCTGGGATCTTCTTATTTCTTTGTGCACCTTATACCCTGTTCCTGCTACTGTGTTTTCTCCTGGTTCTGATCCCTGCTTTCCTTATCTGCAGTCTCCTGCTGTGGCCCTGGGGTCCCCGCTACCCCTCACTTGGTGATCCCTGCCCCTGGAAGTCATAACCTTTGGCTTCTCTCTCTGCTGCTGTTCCTTTCCCCAGGGTAATTTCAACTCCTCTCCTTTGTAACCTGGTATCTCCTGTTTCCAGGAGTCAGTACTCATGCCTAGGACCTCCATGACCTCCTCTGGAGACCCTCCTGCAGCAGGGTCCATCCAGGCACCTTCTGCTTGGTTCTTTCAAAGCAGTTGCTGCCTGACCAGGGCCCTTCCCTGGGTGCATCTGTCAGGGCCCTTGCAGCACTGTGATCACAAAGCCAATAGTATGTGTCCTCTGTAGGCCAGACAGCGTTGCACATTGCCATCGAGAGACGGAACATAGCACTGGTGACACTCCTGGTGGAGAATGGAGCAGATGTACAGGCTGCAGCCAATGGGGACTTCTTTAAGAACGCTAAAGGGAGGCCTGGCTTCTACTTTGGTAGGGAGACCATGTGGCAGACACGAGGGAGCTGGAGGCCTAGTTGTTCAGGGACTGACTGGTCTCATTTCTGGGGCCCACTGCGGGTCCTGTGTTGGCTGCAGGTGAGCTGCCCCTCTCCCTGGCTGCATGCACCAACCAGCTGGCCATTGTGAAGTTCCTGCTGCAGAACTCCTGGCAACCGGCAGACATCAGTGCCAGGGACTCGGTGGGCAACACCGTGCTGCATGCCCTGGTGGAGGTGGCTGATAACACAGTGGACAACACCAAGTTTGTGACAAGCATGTACAATGAAATTCTGATCCTGGGGGCCAAGCTGCACCCCACACTGAAGTTGGAGGAACTCACCAACAAGAAGGGGCTCACACCGCTGGCTCTTGCTGCCAGCAGTGGAAAGATCGGGGTAGGGGAGGGGACTTTGGGCCCTGAACTGTAGGCACCCCTGGGGTGAGGATGGCATGGAAGAGGACTGTGTGCAGTCCATAGGGCTGTTAGTGTAAGGCAGAGGAATTGTGAGCCGTCAAGCAGAACCTGGCAAGGCAGACGTGGCCGTTTCTGATTTCTAAGACCCAAGGTAGTGGCAGAAATCAGGCCTGGGGGTGGGGTGAGTGGAACCTGGGGTGAGATAGAAAAAGAGGCTGCTAATGTTTTTCGAGTGTGAGCATGATTTTGGGTGACAGGGAGGGTCCTTAGAGAACAGTTTGGATAGGGCAGGTCCAAGCCAAGTCAGAGGCCTTTGGATAATGTCAGGCCATGGAAGGCTAGTGGGGCTGCTGAAATTGGAGGGAGGGAGCGCACGTACCAATAGATTATGGAAGCTTGACCCTGTTCCTCTAAGCCTCTTCTGAGGCTTTCTGACCTTGGTTTTATTTGTTGGAGTTTGTTTATTTCTTTCTGGCTCGAGGTTTTGTAGAATGGACCAGCACTTTCCTTCACTGGGGGATGATAGGGGTAGGGGCCCAGGAGGGTGGGTTTGATGTGGCAGTGAGCAGGTGAATCTTGATGGTGGGCAGGAGCAAGTAGAAGCTTGCTAGAGGTTTGGGCAGGGTCTCAGATGGGGCTGGGAAACTGAGTTTATTTCCCAGGAGAGGTTGGGGCCTGCATGGTGATTCAGCCTGTGTCTGGGCCCCTGGCTGGCCTCTGATGGCTCTTGTACCTGCTGCAGGTCTTGGCCTATATTCTCCAGAGGGAGATCCAGGAGCCTGAGTGCCGGCACCTATCTAGGAAGTTCACAGAGTGGGCCTACGGACCAGTGCACTCCTCACTTTATGACCTGTCCTGCATTGACACCTGTGAGAAGAACTCTGTGCTGGAGGTGATTGCCTACAGCAGCAGTGAGACCCCTGTGAGTAGGCAGGGCTGAGACACGGGGAGGGATGGGGAGGGCGGCTCTGGGTCCTTCATACTACCTCTATCCGGTCTGGCTCTGCCAGGCCTCTCACTGGTGAAACCCTACTGTCCTGAGCCCAGGCCCTGCAGCCTCTCCGTTCTCATTGGATATTTCTTTAAGCATGTAAACAATAGATGATTATTGTCCCATAAAGAACGTTTAAGAAATACATAGACAAGAACAACCCTGCTTTTGTAATATAGAAAAAGTTTCATTTTGTTTATGTAAATGGGAATCCAACTATGTATAATTGTTGAACAACCATTTTCTGGGATGCTTTGCAGATAGTTTTATATCAGACAAATGGGTTTGTCTCATTAAAAAAATTGTTGCATCGTATTCTATAGTGAGGTGAGGAGTAAGTGGCAACAGGATATTCAGATTCTTGCTACTACCATGGCTTGGGTTTGAGGATTTTTCAGTAAAAGACAGATGTAATTAGAATTGTCAAATCAAAAATAAGTTTACTTAATTTTTTTGTTTTTTTTTTGACACATGGTCCTGCTACATAGCCCAAGCTGGCCTCCAATTTACCCTGTGTCCCAGTCTGGAGTAGAACTCTCAATCTTCCTGTCTCTGCCTCTTAAGTGCTGGGATTATAGGAATGAGTCACCACTCCTGGTTTCACTTGTTATTTTAATAGTTCATGAATCAATGTATGTATCTACCAGTGGACATACAGCTATGATATCCTTGCCAGCTTGTATGTCATCCAGTTTTTTTAAAAAGCTAATCTAGTTCCATGGAGCCAAAAATGCTATCTCATTAATGTCTTAATTCTCATTTTCTTTCTTTTCTTCTTTTGCTCCTTCCTCTTTCCTTCCTTCCTCCCTCTCTTCCCCTCCCTCTCCCACCCCTCTCTCTCTGTCTCTCCCTTATTCTCTCTCTTTTCTTTTGGCAGGGTCTCCACATGTAGCCCAGTCTGGCCCTAAATCATTATCCTTCTGCCTCAGCCTCCCGAGTGCTGGGATTACAGACCATTTTTTTGATTGCTAAGAGGTAGAGAATGTTTAATTTTTTATACAAATATCAACCTTTCAATTTTCTTTAGAGAATTTCCTATTCATTGTCTTTGCCATTTTTTTCTACTGGACTGTTTGTCTTTCCTTTTTGGTTTATAGTTGCTCCCATTACAAAATGAATTGGTCTTTTATCTATTGATCACATTGCAAAGGTTTTTTTTTCTCTCCTAGTCTGTGTCTTGCCTTTTCATTTCATCTATGGTATCATTTTCTTATAAAAGTTTTTCATTTTGATAGGGTCAAGCTGCTTTGCCTTTTTCTTTTTATAGGTTTTGTGATTTGTGCCCTACTTAGGAGGGCCGTCTCTACTTCCAGTTATATACCTACACCTCTGTGTTTTCTTCTAGCTCCTTTATCATTATTTTATGTTTGGCACTTTATCTAGAGTTTGTTTTAGTGTAGGTATAAGGAAGTCAGTTTACTTAATTATTCTGGTTCTAAGTGAAGGTTCGGTGTTACTTACTGAATAGTTATCCTGCCATCACTGCTTTCAAAGACCACCTCACCTGTCCCCTTTCTAAGGTGAGACTCCATGCTTCTTAAGCAAATTTGGGGTTGGAGTCTGTGCTGTCGGTAGTGTGTGTGGAACAGTCCAAGTTTGCATTTATAGGAATGGCATCCAGGAAGGGTGGGGCTGGGCCTGTTCTGCCCTTTTGGCCCCTATCTGGGCTGCCATCCTGAATCTGGTGGGGAATGATTAGGATAAGAAATGGCCTCAAAAAGGACTGAGGAATTTGACCTGGAGGAGAGAAAGCTTGGGACCACCGCTGATATCCTCATGTGGTCAAAGTCTCTCTGGGACTGGGAGTGTGGGCTTGTTCTAGAGCCCTCAGATTAGATCTGGGATCACTGGCAGAAGGCAGAGAAGACCAAATTTACTACACCAAGCAGATCTTCCCTACAGATAGTATTTCTGCACAGGCCTCTTGAAGGAGTACGGCATCTTCTGTTCCTAGAGGTATTCAAGAAGACACTTAACCTTATTGACAGCCATCAAGCTTGGGCTAGGGCTTGGACTCAAGGGCCTGAGAGAGGCTGGAGGAGATGATTTTTGCTTATTCATCCTAGGGTCACTTTAATCTTAACAAAGTCTCTGGTTTTGAGAGTTTTGCCTAAAGTATACTTGTAATGACAGTGTCCAGGCACTGGTCCCCAATTGCAGGAAATGCCTCCCAGGTTCCTTCACATCTCATGTATAGTGGTAATTGCCACCCTGACCTGACCCAGGGCTGCAAAATGTGAGAAATGAGGACTCCAGAGGTTCCTTCCTGACCACCCTCAGCCCTTCCTGGAGTATGGCTGCATGCCAGGCTCTGCCTGACCCAGCTTCTTCCTGTTATTATGGGACTAGTAAGGATAAAGTCTCCCTGGCATGAATTACTAGAGATAATGGGCATAGAATGTTGGGCAGTGCTGTGGGTCCTAAAGTGAGCCCCTAAGGCTTTTCCAGTTTTCCCCCATTGATTGGACCCATGGGGACACTGAGGCCAAGAGGGTGGATTACTCAGGAGCCCGGCCTTGGCTGGTGATCAGACCTCTGGTGATTCTCACCTGCTTGATGAGCAGAGGAGTCGTTATGCCCAGAGTGTGGTGACATGGGTGGAGGAGCACTGTGGGCTGACGTGGGTGTATAAGGTGGTAGTGGGCACTGAACCCCGTTTCTCTTTGCTCCCTTAGAATCGCCATGACATGCTCCTGGTGGAGCCCTTGAATCGACTCCTGCAAGACAAGTGGGACAGATTTGTCAAGCGCATCTTCTATTTCAACTTCTTTGTCTACTGCTTGTACATGATCACCTTCACTGCAGCTGCCTACTACAGACCTGTGGATGGCTTGGTGCGACCAGAGGCTTGGGCTTTTTAGGGGGCTGGGAGAAATGTTCCCATAAGGCTCCCCCAGCTCCAGGCCCAGAATCTGCTTCAGACATCTTTCTGGTCACTGGAGAAGTGGAAGAACCACCTGGACAGTCTTGGACTCAGTCTCCCTTCTGTCAGGCTACCCCAAGGGCCCACTCAGTGTCTAGTACCTTGCCTCCCTCCTTTAGCCCACCGTGCTGGATTAAACTGAGCATGTGGTCCCTGAGGTCCCAGAGTGCAGGGTGGAGAGCACTCTGTTAGAAAGAATGCAGGAATTAGGCTCAGGAAGCAGCTTGGCCCTGGGTTGGGTGTCTTTGTGATGAAGGGATGGTGTAAGGTCTGCCCTATGTTGCACATTATTCACTTTCTGGACCTACTTTGAGCACTTCTTTGGTGTCAGGCCCTGTGCCATCCATTGAAGCAGCTTAAGATGACACCTGTACTTCTATCCTGAGCCATGGCTCCATTGAGTTTCTGAGTTGAGTCCTTCTTGTTCAATATCCAGGGCACATAATTTGCTGCTTTTGTTTCTGAGGCACTTTGCCTGTAAATTTGTTCTAAAAACTCTGGGCTGGGGGTAAGGCTCAGGCTCAAGTGGTGAAGCACCTGTCTAGCAAGCAAGGGGCTCTGAATTCAAACTTCAGTACTGCTAAAAACAAAACTACCCCCCCACTTCAATTTCATTGTTAGGTGAAACCTGATTGCTATCCATCTATTTAATAACTTAAAAGAGAAATGTGCTAAAAAACAAGATAAGCTAGTGAAATCGTAATTATGGAACATCAATGGTAACCCTCTTCAGAAATTGATAGCTGAAACAAAAAGATCATACCCATAAGTGTGTGTGGGATTGCCCTTCCCATCCACAGGAAGCTCCGGCACTCCTGGGAGAGCAGGTGTGCACCATGGGCTGTGGGAGAAGCAGGATTCCTGTGGCATTGGGTCTGTAGGAGTGCTTCCACCTACCCCGTTACCCTACTCTGGGAGAGGCAGAGCCCCGGGCAGGACGTGGCCTGGGAGACAGCATAGTACTGAAAAGATCCTCTGCTTGTCACCTGGAGACTGACACTTTGTGGAAATCAGGTGCTACAGAAGGGCCTCCTTGCAGGTGTCTCCATAATAATGCACTCTTTGTCTCTCTTAATGGAGCTGTGTCTCCTAGATAAGGACTGGATCTTACTCACAGGGCTTGGGATCTGGTAAATGTTTGTTGAATGAACAAATGAATGAATGGAGTCACCAACTTCTTTGCATCTCACAGCCTCCCTATGAATTGAAAAACACCGTTGGAGACTATTTCCGAGTCACTGGAGAGATTCTGTCTGTATTAGGGGGAGTCTACTTTTTTGTCAGAGGGGTAAGTATTCTTTTCCATACTGTGAGTTTCCATTATCACAGAAAAGAGACAAAAAGCCAAAAATACCAGTTATTTATCATTCACATTTTAATTTAATAGACACTTAATGGCCCTGCTTGAGTTGCTAAGATATGAGCAGATGGAGCAGAGTCCCTCAGGCATTCATGGCTGTGGTTGGAGGACTTTGCACTGTGCCCCCAGCGGCCCAGAGTAGTCGAGCTTGAAGATACTATGGGATGCCCACCATGAGCCTCCTATTGAATGTAATATTTAATTGCAGAAGTGGAAGCCTCTTAAGTGAGAGGATTACAACTTACAGTTTCATTCATCAAAACAGTGTTAAAGATCAGATGAGGAAGGAAATCTACCTTATATTGGAACCATTTTATTTTAACTGAATACTCATGCATGCACATTCCTTGCCCAATCTCCTAAGTAGGAGGGATCTTTCCTTTGAATGTGGGACCACCTTTTAGAATTTTACATCACCTTCCTAACACAAACCAAAGCTATAGTGATTTATGATTTCTAGTTTCAGCTTCTTTATAGAGGGGCAAGAATGTAGATGCATACAAAGAGATCTGAATGCAGAATTTGAGATTATTATTATTATTTGAGATTGGACCTCCCTGTGTAGCTCAGGTTGTCCTTGAACTCTCATTCTTCCTGCCTCAGCTTCCTTAATGCTGGAATTAAAGGTGTGTACTACTATGCCTGGTGAGATCATTATGATTTTTTTGGCGGCACTGGGGCTTGAACTCAGGGCCTCTCACTTGTTAGGTGGGCATTCTACCATTTGAGCCATGTCTCCAGTCCTTTTTGATTTAATTAGTTTTGGGATAGGGTCTTGCTTTATGACCAGGCCGGCCTGGACCATGATCTTCCTATTTATACTTCCTACATAGCTGGGATGACAGGCATGCATCACCATGTTCAGGTTTTGGTTGAGAGGGGGTTTTGCTAACTTTTTGCCTAGGCTGGCCTCAAACCACAGTTCTCTACTTCCTGAGTAGCTAGGATTACAGGCATGAGCCACTGCATCCAGCTCATTATGATTTTAACCCCCACCTTTTGGTCTAAATTACATTTCTCTTTTTTAGTGACTCACTTTTATGAAGTCTTTACAAATCATTGGACTTTGTCTTCACAGAAACAACCATCTTTCTAGTTTATATTATACTAAAGTATAAACCCTCAGGAGCAAGTGCAGCTGATGTGAACACACCCTTGGCAAACGGAGTGTGTGACAAACCTGAGTGTATGGGGATTAATTTATATGTGTGCCCTGGAGGGGAACTCATAGCTACCAATGATTAATCTGGTGAGTTAGTTCAATGGAAGCTGTATAAAAGAATTTTTGCTATAATGTTTATTTAAAGAAAATTAAGAAAAAAGCACAGTTAGAATGGAAAAAAAAATTGCCCAGTGCCACCTTTAAATTTCAGCAATTGGTAACATTTTGGTGACTTTGCCTTCCTGAATTTAATTCTAGGTATACTTGTAATTCTAATTTATATTTGAAAAAAATCTCGGAGTCACATAACATTACCTACTAGACTGGTCCATGCTGTTTCATTCTTCATAATCTCTGCTTGATCGAACTTCAGGGTCCCATCATGCTGACACTTAGGAAGCGTGCTGGGTGCTTACCATTTGGCTACATCTGATATTTCCTGGGACTTTACTCTGTCTATTCACTTGCAGATTCAATATTTCCTGCAGAGGCGTCCATCTATCAAGAGCTTGTTTGTGGACAGCTATAGTGAGACGCTTTTGTAAGTGACATTTTGACTTTTTATTTTGTGGTGGTTCTGGGGTTTGAACTCAGGGCTTCAAAATTGCTAGGTAGGCACTCTCCCTCTTGAACCATGCCCATTGCCTGACATTTTGACTCTTATGCCTCTTTTGGCTCAGTCCTGAAGTGAGAGCAGTCAGCTTTCATGTATTCTTTCACTCATTGGGCCTGGCATATGGTAGGGCCTCAGTAAACATGTTGGAGCAATGGTGGAAGACACTCGATAAGAGTTGTTGCATGAATCAATATGGAGACTTGTCTACTCCATGCCAGATAAGTACCAGGTGCTGGGATTGACAGAGTGTGTCATGGGCTCATATGACTTAACCGTCTGAGTCATGCGTTCTCTTGTTCACTTTTTCCATTTCTCTGATATTCCCTGTGTTGTTCGCACTGGAAGACTGAGGTGAAATACACATGGCTTTCCCGCCTTCAAGAATTTCCAATTTTTCCTTTTTTTTTTTTTTCATTTTTCTTTTATTATTCATATGTGCATACAAGGATTGGTTCATTTCTCCCCACTGCCCCCACCCTCTCCCTTACCACCCACTCCGCCCCCTCCCTCTCCCCCCCCAATACCCAGCAGAAACTATTTTGCCCTTATTTCTAATCTTGTTGTAGAGAGAGTATAAGCAATAATAGGAAGGAACAAGAGTTTTTGCTGGTTGAGATAAGGATAGCTATATAGGGCATTGACTCACATTGATTTCCTGTGCGTGGGTGTTACCTTCTAGGTTAATTCTTTTTGATCTAACCTTTTCTCTAGTACCTGTTCCTTTTTTTTGTGTGTGGTACTGGGGTTTGAACTTAGGGCTTTCCACTTGCTAGGCAGGTGCTCTACCACTTGAGCTACTCTGCCAGCCCTCTTTTGTGTTGGATGTTTTTGAGATAGGGTTTCACAAACTACTTGCCTGGGCCTTGCTTTGAACCACTATCCTCCTAATCTCTCCCTCCTGAGTAGCTAGGATTGCAGATGTGAACCACAGGCACCCAGCTAAAAATTTCCAATTTTTAAGTCAAGATTTCTTTCCCTGTCCTCTATCAACATTTTAGACTAGAGAGTTCTCAGTTGTGGTGAGGTTGAATCTTTCCTGTGCATTGAAGAAGATTTAGCAGGACCACTGGCCTCTACTCACCAGATTCTAGCAGCTTTCCGCCATCCTCCAGTCTCGACAGTCAAAAACTATCTACAGATATTACCAAAGGCTCCCCACTTGGTGTGATGTGGTGTGTGTATGTGTGTGCCAGAATTGTCCCTGGTTGAGAAACACTGCTTTAGGAGGAGACAGGTGTGAATATATAAACAATGTGAATATCCCAAGAAAGCTCATTTCTTCATAAAATAAGCTGCAACCACGGAGCTGCAGCCTATGGATGGGGCTTTCAGATAGAGAGGGGCTTGATTCCTGGGATCTCCACTCATGGTCTCTGTACCAGTCTCCAGGTTTCCCTCATTCCTGCAACCTCTCTTCATTCCTGACAAGAATAAGGAGTTGATTTCTAACCCTGTTGCAGGTAGCTTGTCTCTAGGACTCATAAACCTCATCTTTTCCTTCTAATCTTGAGATTCCTGTACTTTAGCCCCAGAGGGGAAACTCAGGTTGCAGGGTCTGTGGAACTAGCACTGACTTGTCTAAGACAAGTAACATTCTACATAGGGTTTGCTGATAATCTCATGATTCTCTGCCTGGGAAGATCCATTTTGGTTATGTTAAAAAAAAAAAAACACAACAACACATACATAAAGCAGGCATGGCAGCTCACACCCTGTAATTCTAGGTCCTTGGGAGGTGGCGATTGGGAGAATTATGGTTCAAGGTCAGCCCAGGTAAAAAGTTAGTGAGACCCCATCCCAACCAATAAAAGCTGGGCATAGTGGTGGGTGCCAGTCATTCCAGTCATGCAGGAAGTTTAAATAGGAGAATTTCAGTCCAGGATGATGGGGGCATAAACCTGACCCTATTCAAAAAAAACACCTAAGGCCAAATGGCTGGGGTGAGCTCAAATGGTAGAGTGCCTGCGTAGCCTAGCACAAGGCCTGAGTTCAAACCCCACACCACCAAAAACAAAAACAAAACACACACACACCCATTCACACACACACACACACACACACACACACACACACACACACATCTGAGTGTTTATATATTTTATGTATATGTATACATATACATGTAATATCTTAAATTTTATCAAAGCTATTCATGTACATTGATAAAAATAAACAAATACAGGAGTTTCTGGTCCAAGTCCTTTCCATTCTCTGAAATCTTCCTTTCTTGGGCACTTTCCATTTTTTAGCTCTTTCTTTTGACATTTGTACATCTAGTGAAGATTTAACATCTGCCCTCTCTTCTGCTTCCTATCATTCCAATTGGTTATGTAATCATTTTAAAGAAATTTACTGTTAGCATCTAATAGTTGTATAGGGGATACCTTTTGGTATTTACATATGTACTTACAATATCTTTTAGTTAGGTTTACCCCTTCCATTATTCTCCCTCCCCCCTTCTTAGTCAATTTCAACAGGTTTCATTATTCTGTTTTCACATATGAAATATATCCACTGTATTTGTCCTCATTCACCCTTTCCTATGCCTTCCCCTCTCCCATGCTACCCACTCCTGGAAAAGACCTATTTTCCCTTCCTGTCTTTCATTTTTTAAAAAGTATATATTGAACTTGTGGAGTGACTCAAGCGGTAGAGTGCCTGTCTATCAAGTGCCAGGCCCTGAGTTCAAGCCCCAGTACTGCAAAAAAAAAAAAAAAAATCTAAAGCATCTATTGATAGTCCAAGAGAGTTTTGCCTTGGCATTTCATCTATCTATATATAATTGGTTGTATAATCATTCCTATATCTACACACATATATGTCTGAATATATATATATGTATATGTGTATACATATATAATTATATATATATATATATATTTTTTGCAGTACTGGGGCTTAAACTCAAGACCTACACCTTGAGCCACTCCACCAGCCTTTCTTTTTGTGTGTGTTAGTTATTTTCAGGATAGGGTCTCACAAACTATTTGCCCAGGGCTGACTTCGAACCTTGATCCTCCTAATGTCTGCCTCCTGAGTAGCTAGGATTATAGGCATGAGCCACCGGCACCTGGCTTCAGACATGCATATATTGTGCTGTAATCAGATTAACCACCCCCATTGCTTACTCTTTCTTTATTGCCCTGCTCCCCTATTATTCAACAGTTTACAGTGCATATATCTATATTCATATATAGAAGGATGTTCAGTATTTTTCACTCTTTAACATTTTCTTTCCTTCTCCTGACTCTCTTAGTCCCTTCAGACAGATCCACTAAAATTTTTTCTCTCTCTCTCTCATAGAAGATGTATTAGTGAGCCACCGGCACCTGGCTTCAGACATGCATATATTGTGCTGTAATCAGATTAACCACCCCCATTGCTTACTCTTTCTTTATTGCCCTGCTCCCCTATTATTCAACAGTTTACAGTGCATTATATTATATTCATATATAGAAGGGATGTTTCAGTATTTTTCACTCTTTAACATTTTCTTTCCTTCTCCTGACTCTCTTAGTCCCTTCAGACAGATCCACTAAAATTTTTTCTCTCTCTCTCTCATAGAAGATTGTATTAGTGAGCCTATATATATATGTATAGAAGATTATGTATGTATTTATATGTACACTTAACTTACAGGTCTAGCTTTCTCATAGGAGGGAAAAATGTAACCTCTGACCTTTTGAGCCTGGCTTACTTCACTTAACATGTTCTCCACTTCCATCCATTTACCTGCAAACAACATAATTTCATTCTTCCTTATAGCTGAGTAAGACTCCATTGTGTATATATACCACAATTTCTTAATCCATTCATCAGTTGTGGGGCATCTGAACTGTTTCCAAAGCTTGGTTATTGTGAATGGTGCTATAATAAACATGGAGTATAAGTGGCTGTATCATATATTGGAGCATATTCCTTTGGGTATATGCCCAGGAATGGTATTGCTGGATCATATGGTAGTTCTATTTTTAGTTTTTTGAGGAACCTCTATACTGCTTTTCATAGTGGTTGCACTAATTTACATTCCCACCAACAGTGTGTAAGAGTTCCTTTTTCCCCAACATCCTCCCTAGCGTTTGCTGTTGTTCGCATTATTGATGATGGCCATTCTGACTGGAGTGAGATGAAATCTCAGTGTGTTTTTATTTGTATTTCCTTTATGGTCAAGGATGTTGAGCATTTCTTCATGTATTTATTGGCCATTTGTATTTCTTCTTTTGAGAATTGTCTGTTCAGCTCATTTACCCATTTGCTCAGTGGGTTGTTGATTCTTTGAGAGGTTAGTTTTTTTTTTTGTGGATTTGAGATCTGAAATATCCTTTTTAAATTAATTTTTATTATCATATTATTGTTGTACTGGGGGTACATTGTGACATTTACAAAAGTTCTTACAACATATTGTAGTTGAATTCACCTCCTCCATCATTCTCCTTTATTCCTCCTCCCCCCACCCTGGAATAGTTTCAACAAGTCTGATTTTTCCATTTTTATACATGAGTACGTAGTATTTCCACTATATTTACACCCTTTCCTTTTATTCTTCTCTATCCCACTGGTACCAACCCTCCAGATAGGACCTATTTTACTTTCCTGTTGTCCATTTTTGAAAAAAAGACATTTTTGTTTGTTTAAGATAGCTATATAGGGAGATTAGTTTTTTGAGCCCCCCTGTATATTGTGGTTATTAATCCCCTGTGAGATGGATAACTGGCAAAGGTTTTGTCCCATTCTGTGGGCTGTCTCTTCCATCTAATGACTATTTCCTTTGCCGTGCAGAAGTCTTAGTTTCTTTTAATTGCTGAGCTATTGGAGTTCTATTCATAAAGTTATTACATATGCCTCTGTGGTCCAATGTATTCCCTATTTTTTCCTGGAGCAACTTCACCTTTTTAGATCTTATATTAATGTTTTTAACCCACTTCGAGTTGATACTAGTATAAGGTGAGAGACTGGGATCTAATTTCAGTCTTCTTTAGGTAGATATCCAGTTTCCTAGTACCATTTGTTGAAGAGGCTATCTTTTCTCCAACTCATAATTTGGGCTTCTTTGTTAAATGCTATAGATGAGTGGGTTTGTGTCAGCATCTTCTATTCTATTCCATTGGTCTTCATGTCTGTTTTTGTGCTAGTACCATATTTTTTTTATTACTATGACTCTGTAGTATAGTTTGAAGTCAGGTATTGTGATACCTCCAGCGTTGCTTTTTTGACTCAGGATTGCTTTGGCTATTTGAGATCTTTTGTGCTTCCATATGAACTTTAGGATAGAACTTTTCTATCTCAGTGAAGAAAGTTATTGGAATTTTGATAAGCATTGCATTTGGTAGTATAATCATTTTCACAGTATTCTGCTGATCCATGAGCATGGAATATTTTTCCATCTTCTAATGTCTTCATTGGTTTCTTTCTTTAAGTGATTATTAATTTTCATTGTATCAGTCACCTCCTTCGTTAAATTTATTCCTAGGTGTTTTAATTTTTTTGAAGTTATTGTGAATGGTTTTGTTTTCCTGATTTCTTTCTCAGACTGTTCACTGTTTGGGTATAGAAATGCTACTGATTTTTGTGTATTGATTTTGTATCCTGCTACTTTGCTGAACATGGTTCTGAAATCTAAGAGGTTTTTTGGTTGAGTTTTTAGGTATAAGACCATATCATCTGCAAATAGGGACAATTTGACTTCTTCCTTTCCTATTTGTATCCCTCTTATTGCTTTATTCTGTGTTTTTGCTCTAGATAGGAATTCCAGTACTATGTTGAATGAGTGGGGAGAGTGGCACCCGGTTTTGGCTTGTCATATAGATATATATATATATATATATATATATATATATATATATATATCATACATGTAAATAATGTACTTTATTTATATTCACCCCCCGTTACCCTCTACTGTCTTTCTTCTGCCTGGTCCCTTACTGTTCCAAAATAGTCCCCCTTCTGCTTTCATGTACTTTTTTCAGCATATAAGAGAAAGCTTGTGATATTTGTCTTTCTGTATCTGTCTTATTTTGTTTAACATTATGACAAAATTTCATAATGGGGCTGATATATATCACATTTTCCTTGATGAGCACCTAGTCAGATTCCTTAACTTGGCTATTGTGAATAGTGCTGGAATAAACTTGGTCATTTTTGATAATGTTTTTAACTTCTAAAAGTTCTTTAAAAAATTCTGTTCATTCTTTACTAGTAGCACTCTATTCTTGTTTCAGGATGTGATATATTCTTTTGTCTCTCTGAGACTATTAAGATAGTTTTTTTTTGTTTTGTTTTGTTTTGCAAGCTTTTTTTCTTTTTCACATAGTTTTCCCTTTATCAAAGTTGTTGTTTCCCATTTGTTTACTTGTTTCTCTCTCTTTTATGTTAGATTCTGTCATCAGAAACTGGAAATCCCTGGTATCTGCTTGTGATTAAGAGTAGAGCACTGGTTGCAAACTCTTAATGTGTGGCTGGGGCTTATTAATTCTGGACCTCACTACAGGTTGATCTAGATAAACCATTTACTGGAGAAGAACCAAAATTAGCCTATTTGGCTTTTTGTCCTTGGGTCTGTCAGATTTACAGAGGACATTTTTTTTCAATTTTTTTTTTACCTGGAAGGAAGAAATCTTAGTCCTAGTTTTCTGAGAGCTGAGGGGGATATAAGGGCTTGCTGTCAGCTATACTGTAAAACTCACACAATATCCAGTCTCCCTAGTTTTGGTAACATACAGTTGCTTTCAATGATGCTAGATAAGCCTGGGTCAAAGGCCTTTTGTTTTTCATTTTCGTTTTGCATTGAACTCTAGGACTTTATTCTGCAACATGGAGAGCTACACCTAAAGACCCTTTATTTTGTCTTCTTCAGAGCTTATTTTTGTTCTTGACAATACTGGAATTTGAACTCAGGGCCTTACACTTACTAGACTGGTGCTCTACCACTTGAGCCATCCTACCAGCCCTTAGACAAAGCTTCCAGACCTCCTTATTTTAGGTCCTTCCTTACCTCCCTCCAGGTTGCTTGACTTTGTGGGCCCTTCACTGAAATAGCTGCTTCTCAGCTTTCCCCATGGCTAGCTCTGGATTTGGCATTCTTGGGTCTGCTAAGTCACTTTTCATTTGTCCATGATTTGCAGCTTTCGAAATTCACTGTGGGGACCTATTTCAACTGGCATTAGTTCTCATTTTCATCTTTTAATGTTTTTTTGGCATGGTAGACTATAAAGTGAATTTGAGTTGGTAAGTCAGTTTATTGATACAGTCTTCAGTTTTCCATAGACTCACATCAGCACAGTGGTGACTTTTGCTTAGCTTCTCACACAAATGGAAGGTGAGGTAGTCAATGTGGTCTGCAGGGTGAATTCAGTAAGGAGGATTTTTGGAGGCAGTCACAATGAACCAGGGGACCTGGGCTGAATAAGTAAAGAAGGGATCATTGAGTCGATTTGTCATAGGATTCCGCACCGCCCCCCCCCGCCCGCCCACCACCATAGCCTCTACCTTGTCTACTGGTCTAGGGCACTGAGGGACAGTTTTTCCTGCCTTTGCTTCTGAGTGTGAGGTGTGGTCAGCAGCCTCTGCCTGTGAGTTTTTGGGAGAGCATGGCCTGCCCCCATCATAGGCATCAGTGTCCAAAGAGTTTCTTGTTCCTGAGGATTGAGCTGGAAGGTTGTTGGGGCAAAGCAGTATTTCTTAGACTTTTTTCCCATTATTGCCTTTTTAGATGTTTTTATTCCCTAATTGCTCCCACCCTGGGAAATTTTAATACCACAATTAAATTATATATTTGTTTACGTACAGATGGTCACCAACTTAACATCCCCAGCCCAGTTTTTGACTTTGTGATGGCATTTAACCGATAAACTTTGGAAAGCAACTGCACTTTTTATAACAAATTTGGGCCTTCCCTGGATTAGCTGTGTCATATTTTCTCTCATGATAGTGGGTGGCTGCAGAGAGCTGCAATTCCATCAGCCCTGTGATCATGAGGGGAACAACCTTCTGTGGGTTGTGCTAAGCTCTGCTGTTCAGTAGTTTAGGTGCATTTAATTTATTTTTGACTGATGGTGGGTTTTTCAGGACATAGCCCCACCATAAGTCAAGGAACATCTGTGCTATATTTATATATGTGCTTTATACAGAGTAGGACTTCTTTCACTTCCAACCCATTTTTGCCTCTTAAAGGGATGATAATTGTCCTGTTGAGACTGTGTGAGCTAAAGGAAGCAGTACAGCCCACTCCCAGCTCCTACACGACCTGCAGCCTCAGTCTTCAGGCCCATGCAGCCTGGAGCCTTTATTTGTAGGGGGCCAGTCCTCTCAGGCACCCATAAATAGAGCTTCCTGTCCCTCTCCCCTCAGCTTTGTGCAGTCACTGTTCATGCTGGTGTCTGTGGTGCTGTACTTTAGCCAGTGCAAAGAATACGTGGCTTCCATGGTGTTCTCCCTGGCCATGGGCTGGACCAACATGCTCTACTACACCAGAGGCTTCCAGCAGATGGGTATCTATGCTGTCATGATTGAGAAGGTGGGTTCTTTGGAGTTCTGTTTACCCCACAGGTGTACTATGCCCAGTTTCTATTTTTTTTGGGGAGGTGCTGGTTTAGCTCCCAGACTGTTCCCCAACAATCAAGCAATCTGGCCTTGACCCAGGTGTGGGGGATCCCCTGAAACTTGACCTCTGTACATTCCAGGCATTCCTCTCCCAACCAGAATGAAGACCATGGGGGAGGTGTGGATGAGTCCCTCATGATACTTGAGCTAAAAACTACCAACCCCAGCTGTTTCTTTGACTCTGGGCTGATGCTGTCCTGGCCCTTCCCTTGCTTCTCCCAGGGCCTGGGCTTGCCTCTGATAAACCTGCTCTCTTCCACAGATGATCCTGAGAGACCTGTGTCGATTCATGTTTGTCTACCTTGTTTTCTTGTTTGGGTTTTCCACAGGTAACAGACTTGATTAAGGCTAGTGGGAGGGTAGGGTTCCCACTCACCTGACCTCCTGAGGCATCTGCCAGGACTGGGGGAGGAGGAGCCGGATAGGGTGGACAAGTGCATGCCTGTAGGTGGCAGAGTAGATGGACAGAGAACACACCAAATCCAGCCTGAGTACTCGGAAATGTGGTTCATAAAATGTTTTCAGTAATTTTTGAGATAGGGAGTGCTGCTTGCTTGTAGTATAGCTGAATTTTGGCTCAGTTTTTCCCCTAACTTTTCTATTTTGACACTTAAGACTTACAAGAAAGTTTCAAGAAAGGCACCAATAACTTCTTTATATTCCTTACCCACATTCCCCATATTTTACCACATTTTAAAATCACTTTCTCTTCCTATACAAACAGCTCACAGTGAAAAACTATTTGAAAGTAAGTTTCAGACATGATCAGCTTTTACCACTAAATACTTCCTAAAACATTCCTAAATGTTCCTAAAAGAACATTCCTATATAAGCACTGTGCAACTATCAAAATCAGGAAAGTGTTTCCTTTCCTTTTGCTTCCTTTCTCTCCTCCCTCTTTTCCTTCCCTTTCCTTCCCTTTCTTTCCTGGTTCTGGGGGACCTCATGCACACTAGGCAGACGTTCTACCACTGAGCCACACCTCCAGCCCTCAAATGATTTTTTTCAACTCCACCATTCCTTGCTCATTTATTTCCTGTCATTTTATTGTAAGGAAAAGCTCTTGGTTCTATCTATCTATCTATCTACCTATCTACCTATTCTTACACTAAGATGGCCTCATAGATTCTTTTTTTTTTTTCCTTCATTGATTCTCACCATTAGCTGAGTAAATCCTTTCTACTATCATTTATTTTGATGTTCAGATTGAGATTTGATCCTTGGGAGCCTTTCAAAACTGATTGCTGTTTTTTTTTTTTTTTGAATGTGCACATCATGTTTTGAGCACACGGCCTTGCTTTAATTTTCATCTGAGTTTTGCAGTTACATGGTTCCCATGGTGCTCCCACCCCTGTTCGCACCCTGCAGTTTGCTCTGGAACTTTTCCTGGCAGGGATGGTCTGTTGTGAAAGGGGTGGGCTCCGACACTCCAGTCTAAAGTCCCTGCATATCAGTTGGTTGCAGGAAAAGTTTAAGCCAAGGGGATTAGTGGATACCAATACCAGTAAACATGGTGCCCAACTGCTATAGAAACTCTCAGACTCTCCACCACACTTCCAAAGAAGAGACCATTCTTCTCTGAGCTCCTCAACACCCTAGACCTCTAAGGGACATAGCCAAGCAGGGTGTAGCTTACACAGTGGGTGTGAGGCAAAGGGCTGATGGGTAAAGTTAAGCAGGATGTACACTGCACAAAAGTGACTATTCACAGTCTAAACATAAATTAATGTATTTGTTTTTACATTTTTCTAGCACATAATGAAAAAGTTCTTATTATGACAAGGCAATATTTCTGGCAATTTTTTGATAGTTTGGAAGAAAGGGGTGGTTTTGAAAAACAAATCACAGAAAGGTCCTGCATGGCTGTACAGCATTCCTGCTGTAGATCCATTCTGGGGTAGGAGGGTATATGTCAGGGACCCTGGGTTCTTGGCTTTTATTTTGCTGTCCCTCTCCCTCTCATGGCTTGTAGCGGTGGTGACACTGATTGAGGATGGGAAGAATGAATCTCTGCCAGTTGAATCCACGTCACCAAATAGGCGGGGGCCTGGCTGTAGGTCCCCGCCACCGAACAACTACAACAGCCTGTACTTTACATGTCTGGAGCTGTTCAAGTTCACTATCGGCATGGGCGACCTGGAGTTCACTGAGAACTATGACTTCAAAGCTGTCTTCATCATCCTGTTACTGGCGTATGTGATTCTCACATACATCCTCCTGCTGAACATGCTCATCGCCCTCATGGGAGAGACGGTCAACAAGATTGCACAGGAGAGCAAGAATATCTGGAAGCTGCAGGTGGGCAGCTTGTAGGGTGCGCAGCTAGGAAGGTCAGCTGCTCTGACTGCTGCTTTGGCACATGAGGCCATGCCATATTTGGGATGGGGTAGGAAGCCCAATCAGGTCCTGGACTGAGCAGCAGCTTCTCCCTCTGTGAACTCCCTTTCCTGAGGGTTGTCTGCCTTTGCCAGGCTAGCTTAGCTGGTGTTCACAGATACTGTGCTTGTCTGGGGGCTGGATAGTCCTGGGGAGAAGTTGATACTGGGTGTCCACTACAGAGGAACTTGGCCTAGGGTGGGCTCCAGACACCAGCTCACATGGGGCAGGACCTTGAGAGCTGCCCTTCTGGGCCATGTTGTCCATATCTTCCTCCCTGAGATGGTGCGTCCTATTGTGTCTTATTCCCCTGCTCTCATTTAATGATCCCACACTCCTATGAAGGGGATTCTATTACTGTTCCATCTCTGGATAGAGGCAGTGAGGTAGAGAGATGCTAGGTATCTGTTCCAGGCCGCAGAGCTGATGAAGAGGCAGAGCCAGGATTCACCCCAAGTAGTCTCACACTCTGAGAACTTGCTCTACCCACCACACAGGTGTCTTTGTGAGTTCCTCAGGGGAGTGTCTGGGATACTCTACATCACTCACAGTGCTGTGCTGGCCAGGTCCCATAGGTACCAGCAGGCCCAGGGCAGGTCTGGGCAGGTCTGATCAGGCTAAGCTGATCATGGAGTGTAGACCTGCCAGACTTTGGAAAGAGGCCTGGTAATGGAGGTACTAGAGGGCCAGCTTGGAAGCACCAGGAGCAGGGAGAAACTCTGGAGAGGCTGATCCTGGCTGGTGGCCCCTGCCCTTCTGCCCCTTGTTCTTCCACCCTTTGTGTGTCTTCCCTCAGAGAGCCATTACCATCCTGGACACAGAAAAGAGCTTCCTGAAGTGCATGAGGAAGGCCTTTCGCTCGGGCAAGCTGCTGCAGGTGGGGTTCACCCCTGATGGCAAAGATGACTACAGGTGGTGTTTCAGGTAAGGCCCAAGCAAGAATCGAAGCTTCAGAAATGTGGAACTTAGTTGTAGGTAAGGGAGAGCCAGCTACAGGTACAGAGACCTCCCTCAGGACTTTTTGGGGCCACTTGTGAGCACAGAGGACTCTCAAGGACACTTACAGATACAAGCATCGCCCCAGGGCTCAGCTGTGTGTACAGGAGACCCACCTTACATCTCAGCAGTTGGGACGGAAAATTTGAGCTGTCTAGAAGGAACCACATGGTGAGCAGGGTCTGAACCAGGAATCCAGTATCTAAAGTACCTGGCTTCATGGTAAGGTCAGGGAAGGGTTGTGTCCAAAAAGCAGGCCCTCACTGCCTCTTGGCTAGCTACCTTTCCATCCTGTCTGTGGGCCATGGGGATTGGGAAATTGGGCTGGCCAATAGGTCCTTAGCTTCCTGATCCTGTTCCCTCACCTGCAGAGTGGATGAGGTGAACTGGACCACCTGGAACACCAACGTGGGCATCATCAATGAGGACCCGGGAAACTGCGAGGGTGTCAAGCGCACTCTGAGCTTCTCCCTGAGGTCCGGCAGAGGTGAGGTGTGAGAGGTGGTGCTGGACATGGAGGGGCCTCCTTGGCTGGTAGCCTGATATTGGGCAGGTAGGTTCCCCACTCTTTGCAGGCCTTCCTCCCCTTCTCACAGGACCTGGGCTCTGAGACAGGCCCAGATGTCAGCCATCCACACACAGTCACAGGTATTCTTGTGTGTCTTTAAACATGTGCATATGCTGAATGCTCGATGAAGCCCTGTGGGCCAGCTGTGACAGAATCCCTGGCCCTGGCACTGTCCTTGGTACCCCTAAAGAAGCAGCTGAGGTCATGCCCAGCTCCTAGCATGACCAGTTCCTGAAGGCTGCCTATCTCCTCAGTGCTGTCCATCATGCCCCATGTGGACAGTCAGCTGTGTGAAGCTGCAGAGGCACAAACAGGTGCATGTGACACTTCCTTTATGTGACGTATTCAGGCAGGTGGAAGGAGGGAAGGAGAGATGAGAAAAGGGTGCACCCAGAGCAGAAAACAGTTAATGGTAAACAGGAAACATGAAATTAAAGGTCTGATTGGGGATGTTTACTTCAAAATGAAGCAAACATAGTTTACATTAAACAAATTTGAGTCATAATTATAAACATGTACTAATTTAGTTTTTAAATCAAGTTTAGTTTTTTAAAAATCAGTAGTAGAGCATTTGCCTAGCATGTGTGGGAAGCCCTGGGTTCATTCCCCACTACAAAATAAAAATCATGGTAAAATATGTATCACATAAAAATTGCCATTTTAATAATTTTAAAGCATACAATTTAATGGCATTAATTATATTCACGTTGTAGAACCATCTATTTCTAGAAACTTTTTGTCATCCCAAACAGAAATTCTGTACTCATTAAGCAGTAATTCCCATTCCTTCTTTCTCCCACACCCTAGTGACTTCTGTTCTACTTTCTATTCCTATGAATTTGTCCATTTATAACTCATGGCAGAATAGTGCATTATTTGTTCCTTTGTGTGTGGCTGAATAATATTCCATCACATGCACAATACTGCATTTTGCTTGCCCACTCATCTGTTGACTGATATTTGGGTTGGTTTTACTTTATTGGCTATTGTGAATAGTGCTGAGCACTGCTGCACACAACTCTGATCAATTCCCTGTGATGTGGGGTGCATTCCTAGGAGTGAGATTGCTGGATTACATGGTGAGTCTGTTTAACTTTTTGAGGAGCAGCCAACTGATTTCCAAGGCAGCTGCATCATTTCACATTTGCAGTAGCAATGCACGAGGCTCCACATCTTCACCACTTGTTGTTTTCTTTCTTTTTCTTTTGAATATAGTTATCCAAATAGGTTTGAGGTGGCATCACATTGTATTTTTGACTTGCATTTCCCTAATGACCATGACATTTGAGCATCTTGTCACATGCTTATTCGTAGAGATTCTTTGGAGAGATACCTATTCAAGTTCTTTGTGCATTTAAAAAATTTAGTTTTTTTGTTGTTGAATGGTAGAGTTTTTTATATATTCTGGATGCTAGTCCTTTATCAAATATATTATTTGCAGATATTTTCTCCATCCATTCTGTTGGCTCTTTCAATCTCTTGAAAGAGTTTTTTTTTTTTTTTTTTTTTTTTTTGGTGGTATTGGGGTTTGAATTCAGGACTTCACGTTTGCATTATACCTCTTGAGCTGTGTCTCCAGTCCTTTTTTGCATTAGTTGTCTTTTGGATAGGATCTTACTTTTTTGCCTGGATCTGGCCTCAGACTGCAATCCTCCTACCTATGCCTTCTGCATAGTTGGGATTACTGACATTCACCACCATGCCCAGCTTGTTGCTTGAGATGGGAGGGGTCTCATTAACTTTTCCCTGGCTGACCATGAACCAAGATCATTCTGATCTCCACCTCCCAAGCAGCTGAGATCACATGTGTGAGCAACTGCGCCTGGTGGAGAGATTTCTTTGATGAGCAAAGTTTTAAATTTTTATGAAGTTCAATTTTTGTAATTTTTTTGCGGCCTTTACTTTTGGTATCATATCCAAGAACTCATTGCCAAACAAAGTGTTGTGAAGATTTTCTTTTCTTTTCTTTTTTTTTTTTCAGTACTGGTGCTTGAATTGAGTACTACTGAGTGGGCCTGCACTTCGAGTCACCCCACCAGCTGTCTTTTATGATGGGTTTTTTTCAAGGTAGTGTCTCTTGAACTATTTGCCTGGGCTGGGTTCAAACTGTGATCCTCCTGATCTCTGCCTCCTGAGTAGCTAGGATTACAGGTGTGAGCCACAAGTGCCTGGCTGGACTATTTCTAAGATTATCAACAATGGTTTTGAAGTTTTGGCTTGGTTTTTGATATTTATGCAGAGAGGTGGGTACATGGAGCTACATACTTTGCTGTTTGTATGATACCATTCTTTTTTCTTTTGCATTACTGGGGATTGAACTCAGGGCCTCAAGCTTGCTAGGTAAGCCCTCTACCACTTGAACCACTCCACCAGCCCTAGCTTTTCTGATATTATGATACTGTATCTTTCATATTCTATATGGTATTATAGAAAAATTCATCTTAAACACTTCATAAACTTAAAAAATCAGCTTTATTGAAATGTAATATACATATAAGTGCAATAAATTATTTAATTTTATTTATTTTAAAATAAACTCCTAGGCTCAAGCAATTTTCCTGCCTCAGCCTCTTGAGTAGCTGGGACTGTAGGTGTGCCACCCCACTCAGCACAAAAGGCACACATTTAAATGTATAGTCTCATAAGTTTTGTTTTTGTGGTACTGGGGGTTGACCTCAGGGCTTTGTGCTTGCTAGGCAGGTGCTCTACTACTTGAGCCATGCCCCAGCCCACTTTTATAAGTTTTGACATGTGTACATTACACACTCAGGCAACTACCACCATACTGAAGATACAGAACTTTTTTTTTTTCTTTTTCGTGGTGTTAGGGTTTGAACTCAGGGTCTTGCACTTGCCATGAAGGTGCTCTGTCACCTGAGCCATGCCTCAGTCCTTTTTTTTGCTTTTGTTATTTTTCAAATGTGATCTCACTTTTGCTCCTGGGCCAGCCTGAATTGCAGTCTTCCTATTTATGATCTGACATAGCTGGGATGATAGGTGTGTGGCACAACACCCAGCTTTTTTATTGATTGAGATGGAGGTCTTGCCAACTTTTTGCCCAGGCTGGCCTTGAGCCGTGATCCTCCTGAGTAGCTAGAATTACAGGTGTGAGCCACTGTGGCCAGCCTAAGATACAGAACATTTCTATCATGCAGAAAGCACCCTTATGCCCCTTCAATTTAAAATTCAACAACTATCTTACGGGTAGTCAGTTTTACCCCTTCCCATCTTATGTAGCTGTTTATCTAATTTCTATCATTATAGAATTGTTTTATATCAGCTTTTGTTCACCTTAAAATGTCTATTTCATTCTCATGCTTGTTTCACTGGCAACAGAACTCTGGGTTAAGAATTTTTTTTTTTCTTTCTAAATCTCAACACTGTTTCCTCATTGTCTTTTGGCCTTACTTGTTTCCAAGAAGTCATTATTTGTACCATGTTCTCCTGAATGCAGTATGTCTTTTTTCCCTTTGGTTACTTTTAAAATATTTTCTTTATCTGTGATTTTCAGCAGTTTGACCAAGGTATAATTAGATTTGATAATTAGATTTTTTATTCCTGCTTGAAGTTTGTTGATTATTGGATCTGTACATCAGTGTGTGTTAGGAGAATGAAGTATGTCTTATCTTTATGGGACTCCAATTGCATGTATGTTAGACTACTTGACATTGTTCCATAGGTCTCTGAGGCTTTGTTCACTTTTTCTCAAGCCTTTTCTCATTATTCCCTAGATTTGATGATGTTTCTTGATCTGTCTTCACATTCACTGACTCTTTTCTTAGCCATTCCAAATTGCTGCTAATCTCATTTGGTGAGGTTTGCACTTCAGGTATTGGGATGTTTGGTTTTGTAATTTCTGTTTTGTTTTTTGTTATAGTTTAATTTTTTTGCTAAGATTCCCTGGATATGCCACAATTAAGACCATGTTTTCCTTTAGTTATTTGGATATATTTACAATAGCTGCTTAAAATTTTCTGTCTGATAAATCTGAGCCAGTCCACTTTCGGGTCCATTTCTTTTAACTGCTATTTTTTCCTGACTATGGGCCATACTTCTTTTCTTTTCTTTTTTGTATATCTAGTGTTTTTTAAGTTGTAAACTGGGCACTGCAGATAATATATCATGGAAACTCATTGTAGATAATATATTGTGGATACCTTCCTTTAAAGACTATTGAATTTTTGTTCAGTTAGTGGTTCTGTGACTAAGGAATCACCTTGAATTTGTGCAGGCTTAGTTTTGAACTTTGTTATAGCAGATCTGTGGAAACCCCAAGGTATTTTCCCAACCAATCAAACTTGTGGAACTCAACCTTTAAACTCTGTCTCTACTGGGGGTCTTGTCAGGGCTTGGTTTTAGTTTTTTTTGGGGTGGGTCTTGAGTAGACCTTAGTACTAGGGAGTGTTTCTTACTCCTAATTGGGGTCTTTCCGGTATCTTACAGTATTTAAAGGATGCTAAGGAGATCTCTCCACACTGGATGGGGTCCCCCAATATCACTCGACCCTCCCCCTTTAATGTCTCTGCCCCACTCTCCACCCCATAGCAGCTGCTGTGTAGCAAGCCTCATGCAGTCTCACCATGAGCAAGCACAAACAACTTTCAAGCAAGGACTAGTGGGATACCAGTCTGCCCTAAAGTCTTTTGGGCCTCCACCCCCGTAACTCCTTCTCCCTCTTCCCCTATGCTTTGCCCCATAGATTCTAGAAGCTTCAGGTGCCCCAAACTCTGATTTCTTCTTCCTTATCTCAGGGTAAAGTCCAAACTCTACTTGGTTTGCTGCTCTCTGCACTCTAGTTGGGAAAATTGTGCGAACTAGAAAGTCAGGGCAAGCATAGGACTCACTTTGTGAACTTTACTTCTTTCAGGGCTTGCAGTTGTCATCATCTGTTGCCCTGTGCCTAAATGTATTTGCTGCATGTGTTTACCTAGTTTAATGGTTGCCAGCCACAGGATGGCTAGCTTGGTATTAAATAATCCATTATTTTTGGAAGTAGAGATCAACTTCATCAAAGAACTTTTGGAAAACTAACTTTTGGAAAACTAACTTTTGGAAAACTGCTCAAAGCCTTCACAGTTTTCCCTCAGGCCCCTGAAATCTTGTTACTTTCCCAAGAGTCTAATCAGAAGGACTCCCTGTGTCATGTCATAACACTTTCTGATTAAATCTTCTTCAATTGTTAGGTGATATAACTTTGTCTGAGAGCTATTTAAAGATGGCTTTGTATGTGATTTGAGCAGTTTTCTGATATCACTCTTACTAATTTCATGAATTTCCACATATTTTACAAGATTCACTGTTTTACTTTGTCATTGATTTATATTATGTTTGTGTGACATTGTTGACTGTTTACAATTTTGCACGTTCACTGTGATATTAATAATGACATTAGCTTCGTGTCAGGGATACACACATATGTGTTAACCGGAGCAGGCATTGGGGATGGTGAGAGGTTTCCTGATTTTGTACTTATCATTTATTAGGGAATATTTCTCAAGGACTCTGTTTCCCTACCCAACTTCAAAACAGTATAAATCCCAGAAATGAATAGCCAGATCATTGAGATAACAAGGTCCTTTCCCCACCAAACAGTGCAAGTAATAGGAAGAGATGAGGGCATATAGGAAGGACAGGCCAGGGAAGAAAAGTTATAAGTAGGGGAGCTAGGGGAGCATGAGGAGAGGTCTTGGCATCAGAACAATAATGAGTTCCCAAGGTGGCAATAGGAACCTCTTATTTCATTTGAGGGCCCTGGAACTGGGGCTAGGCCAAACAGTCCCTGAGACTGGGTGCCCACCACCCATTCAGCCAGAAAATGGTATCCCAGTGGGTACTTGGTCTGTCTCCCCATGGTCCTTCCTGTTTCTATGCACAGGGTTCTGCAAGGGATTCTTCTTCAGCAGTTGGTGCTTGGTGTTAGCTTGGGATTGGGGGACAGGCCAGTACCCACTGGGACACAGTCAGCCTGCAGACCTGGAGAATTCAGTTGGAATAGTCACCATGGGACCAGCTTCTGGCATTCCTGATACCTTTGAGATGTGGCCAGTGTTGGACACCAGCAGAGGGGCCTGGATCACCACCTGAGGCCAGGAGAAATGACTTTAGGCTGTTTTTTCAGAGAGATCAGACCAGAGGCCTTGACTGACCAGAAAAATGAAAGGAGTGTACCCACAGCTTGCCCTGTTGGCTGTCATTCCTCTGAGGTAGCCAGAGGGTAGAAGTGGCTGGAGGGACGGTGACAACTGGATTCAGGAGCTCCCTGGAATTCCACACTTGAAGTTCTCATTTGAGGCCCAATGTCACTATGCTTCCCTTGGTATTGTTCCCAATCTATTCTTCTCTAGGGAGTCTGGGAGACAGGGTTTACCCCAAATCCTAATTCCTTGGCTGATATTCATCATCTAGAGCTGAGTTAGTGTGGATCCACTCATGGGTCAGGCCACAGTGTCACACTGGAAACCTCCTCTCCCTCTCATTTGGGCAGAGAGGAAACAGAGGCTGGCAGAGGTGAGTGATGAAGAGAATATAAAGTGCAACCTAAAGGGATGAGGCTCCTTGAGCAGCTGAGGGAAGAGGAACCTTACTGATCCAGGGGCGGCAGGAAGCACCTGCAGGTCTGAACCCCCTTCTCTCTGGAGATTTGTGAGATCAGTAAATAAACCTTGTTTTGCTGTATCCAAGGTAGTAACGATGTTTTGCCTTTCAGTTTCAGGGAGAAACTGGAAGAATTTTGCTTTGGTTCCCCTTTTGAGGGATGCAAGCACTCGAGATAGGCACTCTGTCCAGCCTGAGGAGGTTCATCTGAAGTACTTCTCAGGATCCCTTAAGCCAGAAGATGCTGAGGTCTTCAAGGATTCTGTGGCTCCAGGGAAGAAGTGAGGGACCCCATGCAGGGTACCCTAGATGCTGGGCCCATGGGTGCCCCACTGCCATTGGGGGACTGTTGAGGGAACACCAGCACCCTGTCCCCAGCCTGTTCCTCTCCATGCCTGCCTGGATGTGTTCCTACGACTGCACTGGACACATTTCAGGAAGTGTGATGGGGTGGAATACATATGCATCCAGCCATCACTGTCTCCAGGTGAATCTTCAAACAGGAAAAGACCTGGCTTTCAACATCTTACTGTCTTCATTTTACAGTGTGAATATAAATCTCTGCTTGGACACCTGTTAGGTCTTTTTTTCTTTGACTCTTACATTACTGGGAGTAAAAGTAAATAAATCCCAGGAAAATACTTTTGAGACCAAAACACTTCTTTTGATGTCAAAGGCTGAACCTCTTCTTCTCCATGTTGTGGTTAATAATCACTGCCTGGAGTGTTGATCACACAGACAGTATGGGATGCTGGTCCCATTCCCAGCTCTGGCAGGATCAGGTTGTCACAAGTGACTCTTTTCCTTTGGTGTGAAATAGCAGAGTCCCCAAAATATTAGCTCTATTGCTATTTGGATAAAAGTCTAGAACTATCTCCAAGGGACACGGTGAGAAGTTTTCAGTGATCTTCCATTTGTAATTCCCCTGCAGTGCTAAATGCTTCCACCCCATCCATCTTGTCATCCATAAGATAAATAAAAGTATATATATATATATACATATATGTATGCATATGTGAACTTTGTGCCAGACATTGGGCTGGCATAGCTAGTTGGTTCTGTGCTGTGTGTGTGTGCACATGTATGCTTGTGTGAGTATGTGTGCACACATGTTCAGTATTGCGTATGGCTAGGAGTCTGTGTTCACTCTTTAGTTGTTACCCATGGGTGAGGGCACTCCCTTGCAAACACCCCTACCATAGTCAGCAAACTGTTCCATGGGTCAGATCAGGCCTGCCACCTGTTTTTGTAAATAAACTTTCATTGGAACGCAGCCTCACGTGTTCATTTACTGTTGTCTATGGCTATTTTCATGCTACAATGCAGAGTTGAAAGTTGTAATGGAGACTGAATAGTTCACAAAGCTGAAAATATTCATATCTGGTCTTTTACAGAAAAGTTTGATGACCCTTCCTTTATGAAATGAGCTTAACACATAATCAGAAGAAATATCTGTCTAAGACATGAATGGATGGTGTTAATGTCTGTGGTGAGTGGAATGAGTTGCCTAGTCATGAAATTGTTGGATATTGGTTTATGGAAGGATGGGTGACTTTAAGCTTTGGCCCTACCAGGAAAAGTGAATGTGTAAGAACTACTGAGACTCCCTGCCCCATGTTCTCTAGTATCATGCCTGTCTGTACAGCCCATATAATAGGTGAGTGTGGAGGAAGAATGTGTGTTTATGAAAGTGCTTGTTGTGCATTATCCTTTAAAGAACAGATCCTTTAAAGAAAGAAAAGAAGAAACTTTCATTAACTTCGTTTTATAGATGAGAAAATTGAGGCTCCAAGATTCGCCAAAGTACATAGTCAGCACAGAGCATGGCCTAAGTCTGACCCCAAGAGGGCCAGCTCCAAAGCCATGCCTTCACTGCCTTGTCAGATGGCGTTGGGGCATGCTGGCCCATTCCCAGGTCAGAAGGGAGAAAGGAGGACTTTCCACTGCCTGGCTGCCTGTCATGGGCCTGGGACTCCTTGCTTTACCTGTTGGCCTTTCTCAGAAAATGTGTGAATGTCCAATATCTTGAAAATTTTGCAAGTTGGCCAGCTTTTGAACTTACTTAGACCTGGAGGAAATTCTGTGGGTCTCCCTTTGATCAAAACCTTTTATGTAAACTTGATTTTGTTAAAGGACATACCTACACCTGGCCCATTCTTTCTTTCTTTTCTTTTTAACTTAATAAGCTATTTTCCAAGCAGTTTTAGGTCCACAGCAAAATTGAACAGAAGTTCAGATTCTCCACATATTCCCTGTTGCAATGAACCTACTTTGACACATCATTACCACCCAGAGTCCACTGGGGTCACTCTTGATGGTGTACATTGTATGAGTTTTGACATGTGTATCAACTATCATAGTATCATGCAGAATAGTTTTACTGCCCTAAAAATCTTTTGTGCTCCACTAATCCACACTTTCCTCTCCCTATCCCTCAGCCTGTGGCAACCACTAATCTTTTTGCTGTCTCTGTTATGGTAGGTGGTCTCAGAAGACCCTGGTTGAGAAGATCTCGGGCCCTTGCATCTTGTGAACAAAGAATTGGACAGAGACACAGATTGCAAAGCAGAAGGAAAGCTTTACTGAAAGAGAAAGGGAAGTATAGGTAAAAGCATGCACTGTGAGGGTGTGGTGGCTCTGGCCAGGAGCCCTGACCTTTGTTCAATGGGTAATTTATAAATCGCAGGGCAAGTGGCGGGAAAAATCTGCAAGGTTTTTGTAGGAGGGGGCAGAGTAATTGACAGGTGTTGTTGACAGGGTTTTGTTATATATAACACGGAGTGTTCGTGCTTGCACTCATGCTGATTTCCAGGTTTTTAATTGTATGTATAAGATGTGACCAATGTTTTTAAGGTCATAAGTAGAGGCTTCACCTGAGAGGTCAGATTGAGGACAGATTTGCCTTTACTGAGCATGAGTCATTTTCTGGTCTGAACCAACTAAGAGACTCCCTTGACTTTTGGGGGAATTTACAACTGCAGGCCTGACCATAAAATGACCATAAGAGGGGATATCCAAGGACGGTACTGGGCTGGGATGTTGAGTCTCATAGTATTTTTTTTTCCCCTTTCCTTCTCTATTACTGGCCTGCCTCAACTGCATACTTTTGCCCTTTTCAGAACATCATGTAGTTGGACTTATACAGTATGTAGCCTTTTCAGTTTGGCTTCTTTCATTTAGTACTATGCACTTAAGTTTCCTTCATGTTTTTTCACGTCTTAATAACCCAAGTCTTTCTAGCATTGAGAAAAATTCCATTATTTGAATGTATCATAGTTTATTTATGCAAGACATCTTTGCATAAATAAAGATAAATAATAAATATAAATAATAATAAAGCATCTTTGCTGCTTCCAAGTTTTGGTACTTATGAGTAAAGCTGCCATAAACTTTACTCATAAAGTTTATGGCAGGTTTTTGTGTGGACATGTTTTCAACTCTTCTGAATAAATACCAAGGTACATACTTGCTGGATCATATAGTAAGAGTATATTTAGTTTTGTAAGACACCACCAAATTGTCTTACAAATTGATCCCTTTTGCATTTCCACTAGCAATGAATGGGAATTCTTTTTTAATTGTTTATTAATTTATTCATATGTGCAAACACTGTTTGGACCATCTCTACCCCCTCATTCCTTACCCACTCCCTCTGCCTCCCATTCATGCACCAGGCAGAACCTGTTCTGCCCTCTTCTCCAATTTTGTTGAAGAGAAAACATAAAAGATGATAAGAAAGACATAGCATTTCTGCTAGCATGAGATAAAGATAGCTATACAGAGAGGTTCCTAGCATTGCTTCCATGCACATGTGTATTACAACCCGAACTGATTCATCTCTATCTGATCTCTTCACTACTTCCCGGTCACCTACCATAGTGGCCTCTGTCAGTTTAAGATTACTTTATTAGCTCCTCTACAGTGGGCACATCAAACACTTTCAAGTTTTCGGTTTCCTACCTTTCCCTATTCCTCCTGTACGCATTCTCCCCTTAGTGTGTGACCCATGTCCAATAATATTACTGCATTTGTTTTAGATCTAAAGTCCGCATATGAGGGAGAACATAAAATTTTTGGCCTTCTGAGGCTGGCTAACTTCGCTTAAGATGATGTTCTCCAGTTCTATCCATTTACTTGCAATGACAAGATTTCATTCTTCTTTGTGGCTGAGTAAAATTCCACTGTGTATAAATACCACATTTTCTTAATCCATTTGTTGGCAGTGGAACATCTTGGCTGTTTCCATAACTTGGCTATCGTGAATAATGCTGCAATAAACATGGGTGTGCAGGTGCCTCTGGAGTAGCCTGAGTCGCATTCCTTTGGGTATATCCCTAGGAGTGGTATTGCTGGAATTGTATGGCAGATCTATGTTTAGTTTTTTAAGAAGCCTCCATATTGTTTTCCAAAGTGATTGTACTAGCTTACATTCCCATCAGAAGTGTATGAGGGTTCCTTTTCCCTGCATCCTTGCCAACATTTGTTGGTGGTGGTGTTTTTGATGATAGTTATTCTAACAGGAGTGAGGTGGAATCTTAGTGTGGTTTTGATTTGCATTTCCTTTATGTCTAGGGATGGTGAGCATTTTTTCATGTTTTTTTTTGGCGATTTTGATTTCTTCTTTGAAAAAGTTCTTTTTAGTTCAGTTGTGCACTTCTTTATTGGTTCATTGATTTTGGGAAAGTTTAGTTTTTTGAGCTCCGGGTATACTCTGGTTATCAGTCTTTTGTCTGATGTATAGCCAGCAAGTATTTTCTCCCCCTCTGTGGGTGGCCTTTTTAATTTAGAGACCATTTCTTTTGTTGTGCAGAAGCTTTTTAACTTCATGTAATCCCATTTGTCCATCCTTTCTCTTAGTTGCTGGGCTGCTGGAGTTCTACTGAGGAAGTCCTTGCCTATACCTATTGCTTCCAGAGTAGTCCCTGCTCTTTCCTGTACTAATTTCAGAGTTTTGGGTCTGATGTTAAGGTCTTTAATGCATTTTGAGTCAATACTAGTACAGGGTGACAGGCATGAGTCTAATTTCAGTTTTCTCCAGGCAGATAACCACTTTTTTCCAGGAACATTTGTTGAAGAGGCTGTCTTTTCTGCATCGTGTGTTTTTGGCACCTTTGTCAAAAATAAGGTGGGCATAGCTGTGTGGATTCATATCTGGGTCCTCTGTTCTGATCTACTGGCCTTCTCATCTGTTTTTGTGCCAGTGCCATGCTGTTTTTATTGCTATGTCTCTGTAATATAGTTTGAAGTTGGGTATTGTGATACCTCCAGCATTGCTCTTTTTGCTGAGTATTGCCTTGGCTATTTGTGGTCTCTTGTGTTTCCAAATGAACTTTAGGGTAGATTTTTCAATGTCTGTGGTGAATGTCATTGGGATTTTGATGGGATTTGTGTTGAACATGTAGATTGCTTTAGGTAGTATAGCCATTTTTACTATGTTGATTCTACCAATTCATGAGCACAGGAGTTCTTTCCGCCTTCTGTAGTCTTCCTCAATCTCTTTCTTCAGAGGTTTGTATCAGGAACGAGACAAGGGTGCCCACTCTTCCCACTCTTATTCAACATAGTCCTGGAATTCCTAGCCAGAGCAATAAGGCAAGAAGAAGGAATAAAAGGAATACAAATAGGTAAAGAAACTGTCAAAGTATCCCTATTTGCAGATAACATGATCCTATACCTCAAAGACCCAAAAAACTCTACCCCAAAACTCCTAGACACCATAAACAGCTTCAGCAATGTGGCAGGATACACAATCAACTTACAAAAATCATTAGCTTTTCTATACATCAACAATGAACAAATTGAGAAAGAACATATTCCATTTACAGTAGTCTAAAAAAAAAAATCAAATACCTAGGAGTAAACTTAACAAAGGATGTGAATGGCCTCTACAAGAAGAATGAGAATTCTTGTTCTACATCCTCACCAGCATTTTGGATTTTGGCCATTCTAATATGTGAAGTAGTCTCCTTTTTTCCTCTGTCTAATATTTTCCTTTAAATTTTTCATAGCATTGACTAATGTACTGTATGCATTTACATTTTAGTGTGTTATATTTTTGTTTAGGTCATGTTCCTTTTCACTTTTCAGTACTTTTACTTTTTAAAAAAGACTATATAAAAAAGATTTTATTAGTATATATTAATTTTATGAAAGGGTTTCATTGTGATGTTTCCATACATGAATACAATGTACTTTTAAAATCTAATCCTCTCATAAAGAGAAATGATAAAAAAGAGAATGAAAACAAAATCTTCATTTTACAAGATATTATTGTAGATTTATATTAGATTGTACATTTTTATGGTGCAAACATGACTTTTTTATATTTTTACTAGCATATATTAGCTGTACAGGAAGTTTCATTGTGACATTTCCATATTGTAATGTACCTTGGTTACGTTTATCCTCACCATCATTCTCCCTCATTCTCTTCCCAACTACTTAAAATTATTTCAACAGGTTTCAATGTTCGTTCTTCATACACGTGTATAAAGTACATTGACCATATTCACACTCCCTTACCCTCTCCATTCCCTGCCCCTCCCATTTACAGCCTCTTCCTCCCAGGTCCTGTTTTATATTATTGTCTGTCATTATTTAAGTGTATGTTCATTGTTCAAAGGGGTTGAGATGTTTTGATATACATATACATTGTGGAATGGCTGAGTCAAGCTCACTTTAGGCTACATCACCTAACTGCTTATCACTTTTTTTCTGGTGAGAACATTTAAATTTACTCTCTTAATAATTTTCAAGTCTGTAGCTGTCTCTTTATCTCTGTTTCCAAGACCTTCCCTCCATAACTGGGAAGCATCCAGTCTATACCCAGAATCCCCAGTGGGACAGCTGCTCAGCTCTCCTAGCCTAGGAACAGTTGTGTCCTGCCACAATGCAGCTGGACCCTGACCATGTCAGGGTCGGCCCCTGCTCCTTCCTCATTGCACCAAGCAGCGTGTTTCTTAGAACGTGTGAAGGTATTGGCCCCTTCCAGCCTGCTTGCACCCCACAGAAACTCCTGTCTCCCTCCTGTCTCTGGGAAGGGGGAACCTGTGGATTCGTTGCTTGGTCCTGGTGTCTGAGTCTTGAGAGGTTTGGGGAGGGCACGGTCTGCCACATTCCTGGGTTTGTCCTCTGTGGGCATTTTACAGCAGGTGGGAGGGCAGCCTCTGCACATAGACACTGTGGGGCAGGGCTTCTGCTGTGACTTTGGATGTGGGATGGGGACACACATGGGTATCCTGCCAGATGTCTAGAAACTGCCTGATGTTCATGCCTCTGGGAGGCAGAGCTGGGGTTGGAATATCTGGACGCTGCCCTTTCTTTCTCCCTGCCTGCATCCCACCTCAGGCCTGGGCCCTATCTCCTTTGGTGTTCTCTTCCACATACAGAGTCAGGCCCCTTCCTGGGGCTATGGCCTCTTTAGTTTCTATGTGCCCTATCCACTGTCACAGAGAATCTGAGTCCCTGAGGAAAGGGGTGCATGGCCTGCCCCATGACTGCTACACAAACCAGAATCCTGGTCATGGAGGACAGTTATTAATTCCTTCAGGCTCCTGGGTGTTGGAGTCTTGGGAATGAGCCCTAAAGGACACTTACTGGCAGTCAAGGGGAGGCAGGCAATGT